CACTGTCTTCTTGCTTGCCCTCATGCTCGATCTCGATCTCCCCCAAGAGGCTCGTGAGCATGTCCAACAATTTTCTGTTGCTCTTTCCATTGTGTGCCGCTTCCAATCGCATCAGACGGCCGAACTTGGCCATGTCCTCCAGGATATCTTCCTCAACTTCTCCAGCAATTTTGTTCAGTTTCTTGAGGATTTCTGGAGGTGGGGAGAAGAACGTAGCATCAATAGTCTCGCTGGCTTCTTCCTTGTCATTGAGACTGCTTCCCTCTTGGTCATTGTCGTCGAGGGCTGTCTCAGCAAGAGAGGCTTCACATGGAGCAGCATTGCCCTAGAGAGTGTATAAAATAATAAAATCATGTTCTGTGTTTTGCCTTATTCATTGAGGATACATATTAGACAGTGAGTTCCGTCTGAAAATTAGTTATTCCAAATTTTTTTTTATGATAAAATTTGACATTTAACCTGTACCGTACACACGCGCACGTACGCACGCGGTCTGAGCAAATGGCCGTCTACGATAGATTCCATTTGTCGCTACTTCAAGCCTTTGGTTCATTTCCAGCAGTACAAACCTGTTATCGCACATGGTCACGCCCGGCGGTCCATGCACATGAGAAAAACTTTAAATGGAAGTATTTTCAGACGGTGATGTTACTGGGTGTACTCGGATATGTATAATGATTACCTCATTGGGGGCAGTGTCAACAGTAGAAAGAAAGTTTGGTACAGAAGCCATAGGCGGGACTTCAGTATCCTGTACAATGTACATGAAGTATAGTTAAAAACTCTAGTGCACGAAACAACACATTCATATTATGCTAGTGCCTGTGGCTGTGAGTGGGAGATTCTAGAGCGGAGAGGGCCGCGGAAGCTGGAACGCGGCTGGTTTTAGCTCCCAAGGTGAGTGTGCATTAATTAGAGATAATGCTTACGGTAATACTAGACGCGCTTCTTGCACATGCACGAGATGCTTGCAACTAAGACAGGGAGTGGGTTTGGTGCAACTGAGCTTGCTGGGAAGCTAACAAAGAGAGGGGAGGGAGCCTTTTCGCTAACAGTCTGTGACATTGGCATAATAATAATGCAGCGAATGTTATGCACTGTAAAGTGCCTTTCAGTGTACGCATGATTTTACAGTACATTAAGACTATGTGCACTTCACCTCATCCTCGCTCTCTTCATCCTCGTCTTGATCAGTTTGCTGCTGGTTCTGCTCTTCCTCCTCCCATTCATCCGCCTCTTCACTCTCATCACCTTCACTCTCTTCCTCCTCCTCCTCCTCCTCCTCTTCCTCATCTTCCTCATCTTCGTCTGACGTGGCTGCCTTATTCAACATGTCACGTACAATCTCCATCGTTCGCTGAAAGATAGGAAGAAGCCTTGCTTATTACAAACACAACAGTGAAAATCACCCTCAATTTAGCAAAATTCTAAAAGACGAGTGAAGCGATTTCTGCAGCGTTGCTATATCATTTGTGTGCCGTACTAAGCAGCACTGAACAATGCGCATGTGCCAACAATGTACCTTCGTTCTGTAGTGTTAAGTCCCTTTAATTAAGTATGAAGACGTACCTCAATAATGGCTTCATCGTTGTCATTCAGCTTCTCAATCTCCTCCTGCAGTTCCTCCTCAGGACTTTTCTTGACCCTCTGTATCAAGCAGGATGGGAAAAGGGTAATTAAAAAAATCAACACTTTAGGCCACAAACGAGGGGTTCATACAAATAGCGAGATTAGCATGATAGACTCTAAATGGTGGCAGGATTTCTTTTTTCTTACGTACTACATAACCGTCTAATGCATGTAGTAACCTTATAGCCCTCCTTTCTCTCTCTGTTTACGTACTTCTCTTTCTTACATGCTAAGTGTGTACTGTTAAATTCTCAGTGTACCAACCTCCTCATTTTCAAGTTCAGCGACAAGTTGAGATTTGTTGAATGAGAGATCCTGCAGGTGAGCTTGCAGGATGTTGAACTCTCTTTTGTGGTCACCACGTCGCTGAGCTTCATATGCTTCTTCAACAGCAACACTGAGTGGTGGAAGACCAAGCATGATAAGTGAAAACAGATTATTAAAAGAAGGATAATCATACCGATTCCTATAACTCTACGCTTTTCCATGCCATACAAACAAAGTATAGTGCTGTTCTAGTAAATGTGTAATAAGAAGGCACACGTAAATGAGAAGACAACAGGCAGCACATCTACAAATTAACTTTGTTGTCTGACCTCTTCCTCAACGTGAGCTTGGCGACCTGCTCCGGATGTTTGGCAATGAAGGCTTCACTCTCTGCCACCGTACGCCTGAGTTCCTCGAGAACTTTGGCAAACTTTTCTTTCTCGGCCCGAGCCCTGGCATACTCTTCCTTTCTCCTGGCCAGGAGAGTTTCAAAGTCTTCCTCGGGATAACGCTTCTGCCGTGGCTTGCCAGGGGGTAGGCGCTGCTGCGGTACGACAACGCCGGGACCGTACTGGTGACTTTGGACCACCCCGGGGTACATGACCACTGGTGCGCAGTAGGGCTTTGGCACGATGCCTGGGTAGCACTGCTGCTGTGGAGGACAGCACGGATTGTGTACAGGCATCGGTTGTGCCATCCTGGCAAAATGTTGCATGTGCATCATCGGAGGATGCACTGGTACCATCATAACTGGATATGGGTACCGCTGCATGATTTTGGGATGGGGCTGCCTCTGCACCGTTTGAGGACGGGGCTGTTGCTGCTCCATTTCACGATGGACCTTCGGCCGCACCGTTTCAAGATTGGGCTGTTGCTGCACCATTTCATGATGGGGCATTGGCTGCACCGTTTGAGGATGGGGCTGTTGATGCACCGTTTCGCGATGGACCTTCGGCTGCACCATTTCGGGACGGGGCTGTGGCTGCACCGATTCGAGATGGGGTTGTTGCTCCACCGTTTCCAGATGGGGGGCCTGCTCCACAGGCTCGCGAGATGCTCCGCATGTGTGGCTTTGCTGGGCCACAGTCACGGGTTTCTCCTGCACCACCTCCGAGTAGCTGTGTTGGCGTGGCACCTCAGGCTCGAATGCCATCTCTTGAGGGAGCTCCTGCTCGGGATACGCACCTGGTTGTGGAGTCGGGTGTTCGGATCCACTAAGGACACCACGGGCCACCTCAGAGTATGAGAGGGTCTAGGGGAAAATATTAATACAGATTATTATAGCAAAGTATAGAATTCCTGTACGCATACATACTGTATATACATGCGTGTAGGTGTAGCATAATTTCACATGTAATTTTTTAAATTTATTTGCTTTGCAAACGCAGGTTGGCAGGCATGTGAGGCATGGTTGCAAGCTGCATAAAATATTCTATTACGACTATTGGTGTATACAGTACATTTCGTGACAAGGAGACAAGGATCACTGTTAGCGTTAAAAGGTAAACTTTTCATAATGTTTATCGCCATGGTTGCAGGCCATGAAACTACGCTTACTGGTAGCTTAATTAAGTTGCAAAATATTTAATTTTGAGCACATTTTATACCAGCTTTTTGCAAGTTACGTTTTAGACACGATTTTCCTCAATATTATTTGGCATGGTTTGAGGCTGCGTAAAAATATTCTATATGTCACCCCAGCCCTTTCCCTCCATCCCCATTGGAAGCAACATCCCCCCTCCCCCCTAATCTGGCGTAGCCATACCCCAACAAGTGCGAGCAGTGTGAGGGTCTGGCATCAAGCTTGATTGTGACTTGTACTGCAGGATTTTTGCAGCCCAATCAGATTGCAGCCTTCATTAGAACAATGGCTAATCGCTTGTCCTCTCGTAAATTAACGTCACAAAACGTAACAATTTTGGGCAAGGCATTACATAATCGGTAGAGCTCGACGCCAGACCCTCACGCTACTGGGTACTGGCCCCGCAAGACTACCCCCAGCAGCTGCTTGCACATATAGCTATATACTGTGTATTGTTAGATGTCTCACTCTAAGAGTTGCAGTGTTGGTGGTTGATGAGGCACTCTTCACACTCGACTTGCTCCCCTCTCTCTTGAGGGATTCAGCACTGGCCTCCCGAGATGCTCCCTAAAGTGAGAAACGAATAAGCTAGAAAGAACAAAAAGGAATCAGTAAGTTGTCTTCATACCTGGAAGGGTTTCACTTGGTCATCAGGGGGCACAGCAGCAACTTTGCTCAGCGGTGGAAACATCTCGTCGAACTTCGCGCGCTCTCCCTCTAGGAAGGCGGCGCGGGCGCGGGACTTGGTTGTGTGCCGAGGTGCAGCTGCGGTAACCGGTGTCGGTGGTCTCCCCCGTAAGAAGGCGCCGGATGACTTGGTACGCTTGTAGATCCCTGGAGGTCTTGGGTCTTTGCTCTCGAATGGGGGCAAACTGGCCCGACGCACGTAGCGGACGCCGGGGCGATCCTTCAGCTGGTGATCGGGACAAGGTCCAGCTGGAGGTTGAGGAATAAAGCTTGCCATTTCCAATGCAGGCTAAATGGGTGTAGAAAAAATTTGCGAAAAAGCTTGAAGGCTCGAAAATAGAACACAAAAACGCAACCGTCTGGTTGAAAGGCTGATCTGCCGAAAAATAGCGATCGCGTGTGCGTTGCGCGGCGATATATGACGCGCCGCGTCGTCGTATGCGCATGCGTAGTCGCTATGCCTGCGACCTTTAACCTTTCTCGGCGATTTTTGAAGCGGGCTTCTTTTCTCGAACATTCAGCGACAATATCTTTGCGGCGACTTCCAAAAGCACTTGTAGAGCAAAGATCAGTTCTTGGCCATCCACTTCACGCAACAAACTGGAGGTTAGTTTCGCCTAGACTGGCCCTCTACCTGCACTGCTAACGTTTTGTAGAGTGCACGTATTAGCTAACTGCTGTTCGTCCCCACTGCTTGCGTCTTTTTCTCTTCCGAACGCTGCGAACTCTACTCTCGTAGGTCAAACCCTCACACGGGGATAAGAATGTCTGGCACGTAAAATCAAATCCCCTCAGCCCCCTATCTATAAGTATAGCTGTGCTGTATTTTACGTTGTTCTCGTATTTACTGTATCATAATTATATAGAACAAACACATTGGTTCTACGTGACATGGTAGATGATGATAAAGACAGAGTGATAAAAAAATGTCTTCCTTTTGGGTTCTACTAGCTAGCTACTGTCCAAAAGATTGTGCTCAAGCTGCTTCAGTACATCTTTCTTTCTCAAACTGCGAGAAAGCAAATTTTTCATCAAAGAGACCCTGTACTTGGTAATCTGTGTACCGCCCCTCAATCACAGACTCATTTTCTTCCCTCTCGGCTGTGCGTCCACCTTGACCATTTCCAACATAGTAGCAGGGACCTGCATAAAAACAACGTCAGCTGTAGTACACATGCTGTAGTGTGTACTATGTACATACATGTCAGTGTGCACTATGTGTGTCTGTGTGTAATGCAGCTGCAATAATTGAGGTACCTTTGCTCATGTACTTTTAGTTTGTGTGTCTCTGTTTCTTATCGCAATTTCTTCCCCCATGCCAAAAAAGTGTAGAGAAATCCATGCCGTGGGCCCTGTGTGTATAAATCTCGTGTCCTATAATCGACTTGCGGTATTTTCCACCATTCCACCTTCTAAGCAGTGTGGCTCAACTACATGCACGCTATTTCCCAGACATCCCTGTCATATACTGGCATATTGGGGAATCCCTGTATGCAGTTGTGCATGTGATTGGCTTGACCTCTATGTACCCTATGTAATCGAGCATTTTAGCACGCTTCAACTGCATCAATTGCCTTACAGTGACACTCTCTTTAACCATAGATCTTAGCCTTTTGTGCTTACCAGACTTTCGGTCCCACGACATATTATTCAGTTCTCCCAGGAAGCTTCTGGTGTTGCCAGTGATGGGAGTAACAGTGATGAGGTATAGAGCGTCTCGATCCGACTCGTATTCCGGGTCCAGTGGGCCACTGTATTTGGTCACCATTACAGGAATGTTCCAAAACTGACCTGTGACAAGAAGTACGATGGACTAAGTCATTACTCATTGTTCCACAAAAAGGGCTTACACTATTCTTCTACATATGTACACGTACAGTACCTGACTCAACTATAACTTCTACTTAATACTCCCACAAAATGCACGTAATACAGTACATTTTTCTGCTCGCTCGCAAGCTTACCAACAAGCCCATGAGAAGTTGGAGCAAGGTTGCAGCCTCTCATGATGACGTACTTGAGCATATGTTGACCATCCATCTCCATGTGTATCACCCACATGACCAGGTCGACCAGCTCGCAGTTGGGCACCGATATACGAACTCGATTCGAGTATGCGCGAACTCTCACAGAGTCTCTCTGTGTCACTCCAGACACCTCTACACCATCCACCAGAACTTCCATGGGAGAACTTGAACCAGGCTGTGACAAACGTACTTCTATAGTGTGGCAGTTTCCGTCGGCATCGGCCGATCTGATGCCTACTGCTCCGATAATGTTCCCGTTCTCGGCCATGTTCATGGCTACGTAGTGTGCATTCACCAGTGTGCATCTATCTGACACCAAGTTGAAGATTGTGTCTGGTTTCCCGTGAATCTCATAGCAGAACTGGCCACCGCCTACCACTGGGGCCGTGAACAGTGGATCAGCAATCACTGTGTCGTTCACCAGTTTGGCATCTGAAGAAAGAATATTAAGCCTTGATCGAACAGTGTATTATGCATGCAGATAAAGTTGTTGCATTTTAGCATACAGCCACAGCCTTGTTCCCGGGGCTCTCAGTTCGTCTATGCCATTCCCAAAACAACCATGCTTGAAACTCAGAAGGTTCGGGTAGTCTCCTCTGTACTAGCAGTACATTTTTTGGTGAGTGAACGCCCGAGTTACTGGCGCATGCAGTTATGTGCATACGATGATGTAGGACATTGGATAAGGGTAGCAATGTGTGCATCCACCATTCAGGCGACCAGGTATAGGCTCGCTTTGCTTGCCAAAAAGGGTATATATTGTGAAAGGAGAGCCAGGGGACGAGATCCACATCATTTTACGTCACTTGGGTACACACAACCAGTGTAAACTGTGTTTATGTGAAGATGGAGGCACGCTTACCAACGTCATCGTCTATGATTGTCACAGTTGAGATAGTGTTAGGGACCTCAATACCCTCCACTGGCTGTATCACCCGGAATGACACTTCAAACTCTTCTGGAATCTCGTTAATGATGTCATCATTGATGATGTCGACTTTGGTGCACACCTCACGGTCAAGTGGTCCGAAAACAATGTTGGAGGTTAATGGGATAAAGTCAGAGCCAGCTATGAAAAAAAAAAACATTTTTAGTAATGTTCATGGTAAGGTTTTTCACTCATGACTGTGCGCTTTGTACCTGTTGCTTGATTTGAAGAAGATGAAGTTTCTTGCACGACAACGTTAACTTGAATTGGTTGAGTCGTATTGATATTCTTCATTAGACAAACTTCTACCATTCCCTCTGACTCTAAGACAATTTCATTCTCAGTAGATGGCCTGACACTGACAACTGTGGAGCAAGATAAACTAGCAATCTACTATAGCTGATTTAAATGCAACATACTGTCATTATCTTCAATGCTGATAACAGTACGATTGATCCTTCCAATTTCTACTGGTCCTTCAAATGCAACAACATCAATAAAGAATCTCTCGACATCTTCCAGTCCCAGTAGGTCGTCAATGATTTCAAAGCTGGTACACACAACCGAGTCTCCAGGAGGCTGGAAATTTACAAAGTTCAAAATACCAGGAACGTAGTCCAGACCAGCTGGATGAAGAGAATCATTATATCTACATGACAACTGAAAGGTATGATTAAAACATTCTTCCGTACCTTCAGCGGTATCTGGAATAGCAAGCAGCTGTACTACGGCTGGTGTGCCGATCATGCCACTCATCCGGAGACACACCTCCACTTCACCGTCATCTTCAGACACTGTGTAAGCTGGTTCTTCAAACTCCACCACTGCCACTGGTGGTGTGATAAGATAGCTGTACATGCTTAGTGCTCTTAGTACTTTGTGTGCTTTAATCAACGCATGTAAAGTATAGTAAAGCCATCAGACCACATGGCTGAAAGTCAAGGGCCTAAAATTCAACCATTTTATAAAGTACCGTGTTTGTGTGGCCTTACCCTGGTCGTCATCAATAATGGTGATACATGTGGAGCTAACACTCCCAGGAACAGCGTTTGACCCAGATGCAATCCGGAAGTTCACAAGGAACTCTTCGTTATCTTCAACAATACTGTCATCAAGGATCGGTACTTCAAAGCAATTTTCGGTCGGTCCAGAAGTGGCTGGAATTAGAATGACCCGAGACTGATCCATGTAGTCCTGTCCAGCTGTAATGGGTCAGATTAAAAACCATTATCCTCTGTCACTGAGTGAGAGTATAGTACTCTGCCACAGCACGGTGGTTTGAGGTTTGTATTTGTGTTGTATTGTGTGGAAGATTCGAACCCCTACCAGCTGAGTTGCTCTCTTAGTTCAGTTGGTAGAGCGTTTGCCTAGAAAGCTGAGTGTCGTGGATTCGAATCCCACCTAGGGCAGCTCAGTTGTTCTAGGTGTAGCTGACTTGTTTGCTTTGCCTTGCCTTTCTACCTTGTTAATGTCACATGCTGAGATGTGTTAGGGTATGTTGGTTCTAACAGAGTGTTTCAAGATACTCACCAGTAGCTGATTTAGGAGCAGTTGATATGATCAATGTGACAGGCTCATTGTTGCCTGCATTGGTCCTAAGGCACACTTCAACATTTCCATCGTCCTCGAATACAGAGTATGTTGGTGCACCAAAGTCAACAGTCACAACTGAAATGAAAAACCAAACACACATGTAACAATCTTGCACTCCTTTTGGGTGTGATTGTCAATACATGTTTTCTTGGCAGTGTGTCAAAAAATGAATGAGAGTAATCTCGTTATTAACCAAGTGTCCCATAGACACAGGGAATTGTTTACAGCCAGCAACAGCCAACCATGTGGCCAAAGGGTATGGTCCAATAAGAATTGTATATACTACTGTGCAAAGTACGGAAAACAGCACTGGCAAGCAAAGCTACCTATACACCCAAAAGTAACTGACCATCGTCATCCACAATTGTGACAGTGGTAGAGGCAATAGACCCAGCCTCGCCATCAATACCAGTTGGAACTCGGAAATTCAACACGAATTCTTCATTTGGCTCGACAACACTGTCGTCACTAATGTCCACATCAAAGCAAAACTCAGAAGCGGCACTTGAAGGTGGTATTGTCACAACCCGGGTACTGAATGAATAGTCTGTGTTGGCTGTGGGGAACACATAGCACAAACGTTATTGTACGGAATGCAGTATTCAGCAAATTAGTGTGCTCCAATATTGCTACAATGTATATACCTGATGCTGTTGTTGGAGAAGCAGATACAATCACGGTGAGGGGTTCGTTGCTGCTCCCACTGGTAGTGAGACACACACTCACACTGCCGCCGTTTTCATTTACAGTGTATGTTGATGAACCAAAGTTGATTGTAACTGTAAATATTAACAACAACTCAGTTCTGCAAGATTGAAATGAGCCATAAATGCACTGTCGTAAGGAGTAAAAAGTGCACGGAATGTGTCTTTTGTCTGTTCAGTGCAGTTGAGTGTGTACCATATGTATCATGTTTAGCACAGGTATGTAAATATTTTGTGATCTGTATTTTAGTGCAGGTAAGTAAAGCAAAAAAAATATCTGTGACATTGGAGATAGCAGATTTGTAGCTGCAAACAAGGCTGTGGTTAAAACTTGGCTACCCATGATTCCAGGCCAACTTAATTCGTCCAAATGTTCCTTAGCACCTGGCAAACCCAGTGGGTCATGGTTCTGACTTTACACCTGTTGCTTGGTTGCAATAGGGTTAGTTACTTGAGAGTAATGGCAACAACAAACTGCTATAACTGTATAAGTCAGAATAATTATTTTCTCTATCTTACCATCATCGTCTGTGATGGAGATGATAGTGCTATCAGGATTGGTAATAACCACTCCACTGTCTGAAGGGACTGATAAAATATCTGCTGAGAATGATTCAGTCCCTTCGTCAAGTTGATCGTTCAAAATCTCGATGTCGAAGCACTGGCGGTTCTCATTCGGTTGAAATGTGACCGTTGTGATCTCCATTCTGTAATCACTACCATCTGTTCGTGGAAAAAAGACCTGATACTGATTTGTTTCCAAACGTTGCTAGATCTCACCACTAGCATCCACTGGATTCAAGTTTCCTGTTCCCACTTGGACGGAGAGGGTGTCTGAGCCTCCTCCCTCCCTTATGATGCATGCCGTCACTGACCCGCTATCCTCAGCCACTGTGTAGCTATCGCTCTCGAAAAACACCCGGATCTCTGTGTGTTGTTGTGCAAACATTTATTCCAGTGACAACATTAGTATACATTTTTACTAATCTCAGGTAACCCAGTGAAGAAAGCTATCCGTGCCAGAGCTTACACACTTATTTTGCAGAGCTTGCGCACTTATTTTGGTGAGCAAGCGCGAGCAGTTCGCGCGTGTTTCGCGGGTATTTAGAATCACATAGAACATTACATACACATAATTCATAGGACTAGGTAGGCTTGCTTCGCTCGCCAATTGTTTATGATGCTCATCCTTATAAATAACATCTAATCAGCGCACAGTTTACCTTCATCATCATCAAGGATCTGAATGCATGTTGATCCTACTGCACCAATTTGTGCATCAGATCCTGCTGATATCTGGAAATTTACTAGAAACTCTTCATCTGTCTCAACAGCAGTGTCATCATTTATATTGACATCAAAGCATGTCTGTCCTGGTTGACGAGATGCTGGAATTTGAACAATCTGAGAACTTCCATCGTAATCAATTCCAGCTGTGAGAATGAACTGTTAGTTGATGGCAAGTCCGTTGCAATGCCAAGGTTTACCTGTAGCTGTTTTGGGAGCAGTACCAACAATGACACTGAGTGGCTGGTCACTGCCAATATTAGTTGTCAGACACACACTAATAGTGCCTTCATTCTCAGGCACAGAGTAGTTTGGTGAGCCAAATTCTACCGTTACGACTGTGTAACGAGATGACAAAATGTGATGCAGCATGATGCATACAGTAACCTAAAGTGTGTCTTCTTACTGTTTGCATCAAGAATTGAAACAACGGCATCATCAGGTTGACTAATCAGAACACCATCGGGAACTGAAGTTATATCCACTACGAAATCCTCTTTCCCCTCGTTCAGCTCATCAATCAACACAAACACTTGGAAGCATTGTTCTTCATCCTCGGGATTGAAAGTCAGTGTGGTGGCCACTGGTACATAATCACTGCCGGCTGAAAGCAGTCGTTAGTATCAGTGCATTTAGGTAGTTTACAGAGTACCTTGCGCTTGCACAGGATTGCTTTCAGTGGTGGCCACGTTTATGGTAAAGCTCTCTGTAGCATCTCCCTCTCTCCTTACACAAACCTCTACTGGCCCATCGTTTTCTGTCACTTGATATCTATCTCGATCAAAGAATACACTGACGACTGCAAAAGCGAAAAGCAAATTGAGAGATACGACTACAAGTAACACACAGACTTACCATCATCGTCTATGATTCTCACAACAGAGATATTATTGCTTGGGCCTGGCTCTACACCCTCCGGTAACTGACTTATGTCAAATTTGACCACAAAGACTTCGTCACCCTCAAATGCAAGTGAGTCATCAATCACAGAAATGTTAGCGCAGTGCTCCCTTGTGCCAGATGGTATCTCGATTCTGTACTCACCACCACTGAAATCTACACCATCTGTTAACAGCAAAAACAAAAGATAAGGAGATTATAGATGCTATAATTACACATACCTCCCGCATCAGCTGGTACCCTTTCTTGTGCGAGGACTACCACTGTCAGTGGTTGAGATAAAACTTCACTTGCTGTCAGACATACTTCCACACTTCCCCTATTCTCCGGTGTTACAATTTCCGGGGAAGAGAAGGAGACTATTATATCTGCAGAATTGGTGCAAAACAAATTTACAGATTAATCACTTAATGACCCAACTCCTACCATCAACAATAGTTGTAGTGGCAGTGCCTTGCTGACCAATCTCAACACCACTGGAGCCGGGAACTAGTGACAGTGTGGCTGTGAATGATTCTTCACCTTCAAACACATTGTCTTCAGTTATGGGCACCATCACAAACTTGATAGTTTCGGATGGCCCAAAAGTCACCTCTTCATTAATCAAAGGAGAATAGTCTGATCCTGTAAGTTTGTATAATTATATACAAGACGTGTAAGATTCTGTATTGTTGTAAGCAGTATACCTGAAGTTGCTGATCCACCGACTGTTGAAATCTGGACCGTCACCTCCTGAGTTGTAGGTGTCCTCTTCACAAGAACAAAGCTCACAATTCCATCGTCTTCACATACAGTGTATGAATTTGGCTGGAACTCCACCAAAACTGTTCAGAGAAAAAAAGAATTACATAATAAACTAACAGACACAACAATGTACCGTTTGCTGTTTCTTCGATAGTGATGTCAGCAGAATCTTCAGTAATAATTACTCGATCTGATATCGGTGCAAGAGTAACTGTGAACATCTCGTCTCCTTCCACCAGGTTGTCAGCGTTGGTTTGAATTGTCACCCTTCTCTCAGAATCAGAAGTTCCAAATGTCACTGGTCGATTTGAGATCTGCACAAAATCTGAGCCTGTGGTGGAGAAATGTACATTAGTTTACATCCCCGACCAATGCACAGCACTAACTGGTTGCAGTTCCAGTCTGTGTTGTGAGTGACACAGTTACTGGCTCTTCTGACGTTCCTATCTTCTCAATCACAAGCTCCGTGGATCCACTTTCTGTCACAGTGTAGAAACTTGGGTTGAACTGAATTACAATCTCTATTGGATAAGAGAATAGCAAATGTCACGTGTGATTTGCATGTCAGCAACAGTTTTACCATCGTCGTCCGTAATTTGAGCAGTGGCATCTGGCTCAAAGATGTTCACACTGCTGTCGGTGGTTGTTAAAACAGCCGAGAAATCCTGTATTCCCTCATACACACTGTCATCAACGATCATTACTTGTACAATAGACAAGGTTTGACCAGGCATGAATGTAACCGTCTCTGTTGTTCCAATGTAGTCACTTCCATCTGAAAAACAACCAGGGTAATTTCGCAGTGTGAGGAAGGGTGACAGTGTTATGTACCAGTTGCTGTTCCTCCGACTGTCATGAACTCCACGACAACTTCTCTCTGAATGTCAGGGTTTTGATTTTGTATGAAGAATATAACACTTCCAGAGTCTTCTGTCACAGAGTAGGCGGAAGGAGCAAACCCAATATCAGCAACTGTTGGTAGAAATGAAAAAGTGCTCTTACTACCCTAAACTTCTGGATGATGAGTTGCAAACTTTGTACTCACCATCATTGTCAGTAATAGTTACTTCGCCCATGCTTTGGCCCAAACTAACAACACCGAGATCGACTGATTGCTGAGTGAGTTGGAGACGGCCCAGGAAACGCTCCGTTGCCTCCACCACGTTGTCATCCTGCACCGGAATTCTGACCTGGAACCCGTCTCCCTGTAGTTGTGTCCTTGTCAGTGTGAGAGAAGCAGATCTGTAGTCCCCAGGTGCTGTTTGAATTGTAAAATTCGTATTTTCATCACAATACTAACTTACAGAGATGTACTCACCGCGAGCACTTCCATCTTCAGTCTCGAACGTAACTGAGTACGGCAATTCCGAGTCTCCTGTGGCCACGATTCTAAAGACAGCATCAGACCCTTCGGTCACAGTCTGAGTTGATGGTTCCAGGCTGATGACAATACCTAGTAGACATAAAATCAGTTATCCCAGCTCAATCGCTCAGATGATGTGACTTACCATCATCGTCTATGATAGTGACCGAAGTCATACTATTTCCCACTTCCAGTCCGGGTTGAGGTCGGATGGTGAGAGAGAGAGAAAACAGTTCTCTCAACTGCTCGACAATGTCATCGTTGAGGATGGGAATGCTGACTGTTGTCTGCTGCTCATTTGGCCCAATCGTGAATGGGTATGATCCACCAGTGAAGTCGGTGGATCCTGAAAGTGTTATGTTGTATTTGCTGGTGAGAGGGGAAAGCTTTTGCCTGTGTACCTGCTGTGCCAGTTGATGCAGTTATTGTTCCTGTTACAGGAGTTGGAAATATCCCAGACTTTTGAACTGTTACCTGTACAACACCAGCCGACTCGTCTACTTCATATCCAAGGGGGCTAATAGAAACCTCAAGTGCTGCAACAAAAATAGATCACTCTTCACCCCAGACAATCAATTATTATTACCATTATCATTGTCCACAATTTCTGCTGTAGCTTCAGATACAACAATGTTAACTCTCCTATCAGAAGAAAATAGTTGAGCTGTAAACTCCTCTACGATCTCAAAAAAGGTGTCATCAATGATTTGTACAGTCACTGTCTGCTGTTCATCTCCTTGTGAAAATGTCACCGCTTGTTCTGTTCTCAAATAATCACCATTTGCTGCATAAAATCAGTTCACAATTACTAGATAGTCCTTGTCAAAAATAAGAAAGGAGACAAGACAGGGATGACTGGTGGATGCGATGCAGTGATGAGGGCTACATACCAACTGGCATAATGTCCACCATACAATACCTATCATTGTCGCAAGCCATTACTAATGTGCTCTCTATGTTTAATAATGTGTTGAAATGTGTACCGGGATTCTAACATGCAGTAAGCTTTTACATTTTGTACAAAGGTGGATCTTGACAAAACTTCACACATGTCAGATTATTCCTGACCTCCATTTGTTGATTCTACGGCTGATCCTGGGACTGTAACGAATTGCACTGTGTACTCTCCACCCCTTTCTGGATTCCTGTTTTCCACTTCGAATGTCACCAGCCTCTCTCGCTCATTTACCCGATACTGGGCCGGATTAAATCCAATCTCAACTGGAAGAAAAATAACGTAATAAAATATCGTCAACTCTTTCAATTTTTACCATCATCATCCACAATTGTAACAGCTCCCTGAGCATTGCCGAGGCTAAGTCCAGCCTGTGGCTGAAGGGAAAGGCTCACTGAGAACTGCTCCCTCAACTGCTCAACCGTAGTGTCATCAGTAATGTTGATGGGGATGGTGACTTGCTGCTGTTCAGGTTGAATCACAAATTGATACTGTCCATCAATGTAGTCAAGTGCTGTGGAGAGATAAGGGCAGTGCAGTGTTTAGGAATTGCTGCAATTCAGTGTACAGTAAACAACATTGGCAGTTGGTTACTGAATCGTTCCCTTTATGTTAAGGGTGTGGACACAATCAATAGCGGTGAAACATACTGCCAAAACTAAGCTCTGTATAATGCGATTAGCATTCCACAATAAAAAAATAAATGCATAGTGGATGTATTGCTCATACCTCCAGCAGACACTGTTGCTGTTGTGAGGGTTCCTGCAATTGGCCTTTGGAAATTTCCAGTCTTTGTAAGTACAATGTTCACAATTCCATCGGATTCAACAACTTCATATGTCAGCGGACTTAGGGATACTACTGCTGACTCCTCTGTTGGTGAAAAAAAATTTGCTATATATGAAAAACAAATTTACCACACTGCACAGTACCTACCATCATCATTGACGATGATGATTTCAGCTCTGTCTTGGGTGATGGACACATCTCCTATTCCTGTACTTTGTAGTCTGCCAAAGAATGCCTCGTCTGGTTCAATTGCCTCATCGTTCAGAATGGGAACGGTGACTGTTGTAGATGATTGCCCTGGCTGGAAATTTACAGGGATGGCTCTAGTTATAGAAACTGCGGAATAGTCTTCAGGAGCTGTAAAAGAGAAGCAGACTTGAATGCTTCAAAATACATAATATAGTTATTGTTGTCAGGCGCACCATTCAAGAACTAGGTCTGGTGATCAAGAATGTGTTCTACCCTGCCAGGTATTTGTATGCCGTAGGGTGTATAGTGTGGTCTCCAAGGAAGAATCTTGATCTGCTCTAACAATGCCTTATAAAAAGGTGGAGTCCTACAGTCTTGGCAGATGTGCTCACCCAGGTAGTTGACTGCCCTTGCTATAGAGTTCTTGGCAGACACATGCACTGGCACACAAATTGGAACATAGGAACTGCCAGAGGATCATCCATTTTTACCATAGGAATTTGGCTAGAGTTATTTAGCACAAAGTCTGTTGATCTTCGTGTGGTCACCTAAGTAGATTTAGCCAGATGACGGCACTGACCACCATATGATGTTAACTTTTAGAAACTGGCTCTTTTCTCTATTTCTCACACTTTACTGAGGCTAAGCCATGTGTTCAGGTATTGAGTATAGCCTTTGATTGAAACACAATACTCCTATATAGTGCTACCAAGTCCCCTGTGATGAAGGAGCATACCTGTGGCAGATCCATCTTCAGTGTAAAACTGAACAGCGCCATCCACTGGACCTCCAGGAACATTTGTTCTGACAGTCAGGGTAGCTACACCAGCATCCTCATCCACAGTGTAGGAAGTAGGATCAAAGAACACACCTGGCGTCACATCTATTGCAAGATAATACACGGGGTAAGAGAGGGAAAGAATGCCCGTCCCTTGTATAGTGACTGGAAGTTCAGGGCACCAACCACCGGGTGATGAGGTTCCAATCCCATTCAAAAAGTCCCCTTTCTCTGATCTTTTCCCCCAACCCCTCTGTCTACATGGCTACACCAGTTATCACAGCTATGTACATACCTCCATCATCGTCGAGTATTGTGACCGTCATGAAGGGATCTGTAAACAAAAGATTTTGTGTGTTGGTTCCATGTATTTGAAACCGCTCCGTAGGCTCAGGAATGTCATCATCCTGGATTGTTATCTGGAACTCCAGAACATCAATTTGTCTATTTCCGCCACGATAATCCAGTAAAATTGGGCCAAAGTCCACGAAATCCTCCCCAACTGAAAGAACATAACTTTTTACACTGTCTCTGTTTTTCACATTAAACCTCCAACCTGTTGCCTCCTCTGGGCTTAGTATCTGGTAGGTCAGTTCTCCTTTTGATCGTTGATTCAAGTCTCCAACACGACGAACAAGTATAGTAACTGTTCCAATACTCTCAGGCACGGTTATGTCTTCAAAAATAGCTCTTGTAGCTGAAGAGGAAAGCACACATTTTTGCATATTAGTATACATGAACCAAGCAGGTCATACCTGATATTGGGGTAAGTTCAAAGCCCTGAGGAAATCCAAATGAATTTTGCTGTTGGTAGGCATAATAAGCTGCCATAACCCCGTACGAAGGAATCTCATGGTATATATTGACTACACCAGCAGGGACAGCAACCTGTGCTCCATATCCACATATTTCATTGTTTGAGCAGTAGAACGGTACATAACCATCTATCGGTGAAGCTCTAGAGCCGTTGATTTTGATCTGACTTCTAGCCGCTGCAGAATTATCAAAAAACTCGGCTGCTATTGCAAGGTTAACAAAGCGGTCGGGAAAGGGCCCTGCTGACCCTTGGATTGAAGTCAGAGTATAATTATTCATGTACTGGGTAACAGAGGGAACTACACTCATGAACGGATCTCCTGCTTCCGGTGATGTTGTTTTTCCAAGAAGTGCTGAGTCAGTCGTGTAGCCAGTTCCATACTGAACAACAAGTATTGGTTCGTTAGCATCAATGCAACAGTAACTCGGTTTGTAGGTAGGTTGATTAGCTTGATTGCCTGGAGTCATAAAAGTCAGGTACTCGCCCCTATCGATTAGATTGTCACCCTCCACAGGCGAAAGAGGACGTGGGCTATCTTGTGAGGAGGTTACACAAGTTACAGTTACCTGGGTTCCGTCAGTGAGAGTAGCAACTCGAATCATATCGCCAGATACCCGGCCAGCAAAGGGCACTACAAAAACAGTCTGCCCAAATGTTAGCCCTGGTGGCATCTGTTCCACCATGTGGTCACAAGCAGTGCTACCTACTGGTACATTTCCACACTCGTGGCCACTAAAGAGAGCAAGAGGTTTCGATGAGCGAATGACAGTTCCGGAAAGATCGTTTGTTATGATAATCAAAATCGTTTGACCAGCATTGGCTGTAAAAGTTGTAGTCATAGGTGGTTGGACGCTTAGTACACGTGGAGGAGTTGGTAAATCCGTAAGTCCAGATAATGTAATGGCTTGACTTGGTTCAATCAACATAGAAGCACCATCCTCGCACGGGATAATGAGGAATGCACTCCTTCTTGTTTGACTGCCTGGGCTTCTTGTTTGATCTGCTGAAACGATTACATATTCGTAACGATTAAACAGTGCCGTACGCATCCCATCGCAGGAGTATGCCGTAAAACCATCAGTTGTCCGAAATTCATCATTAAATCCTTGAACGGACACCTTTTTCCCACCTTCGGTGACTATACGAATTGCTTTCGATCTTTCGATACTATTTGTTCCCGCTGATGTTTGAGTTGGAGCAATATCTGCAGGCAAATCAATGACTTTGACTTCTCCGTACGAAACAGTAGTTGTGAGTGGAAATCCTGCTCTCATGTCGGCTGGCAGATTCTCATTCAGACTCACAGTGAAAGTGACGGGCTCAGGTTCATCAGTACTGACTAACAGCTGACGTAATTGGCCTTCTAGCCCCTGTCCACCTTGTAAATTAGGAAGAAATCCTACCATGAAGTCGGTTCCACTTGTTGTCGGTCCATCTCGTGCTTCAAGGTAACATCAGCATAACAATAATTATATTCTTTTTAGATTCAAGAGTAACTCACTGTATGGAAGGTATTGGCTTGCTCTTACATCTGGTAGTGCATTACCAGAACATATCACAGATAGCAATGCCAGAAACACGATTGCTATCGCTGCCATAGTAGTCAATGCAGCGGCAGTCTTCTCGCGTCTGGCACCGTGGCCCGCACTTTTTATACCCTACGCAACTATGCACGTCATTGTCTATGCGGTCTCAAAGGGCGACAACATCACATTATTACGCGCGGGCGGTGTGCGCCAGGACCGGGCGGAGCCAAGCTCAAGCGCGTAGGCATACGCATGCGCACTTTGACGATGCGACTCGCTTAATTTCTGCGACTGAAATCCAAACATGTTGATGCACAATGGAGCGCGTTTTCTTGCAGGCATTGTAGCTTAAAATTATGTCACGATTCTACCGCGCACTACGATATGTGCAGTGCGAAGCTTTAGCCGATTGTAGCTATAACAAGTGGAAAAATCTTTTCTTCAAAATGAAAGGGGGAAGCACCAAAAAGGAAGAAACAAGGGGTCATTACACAGCAAAGTTGCACAAAGCTACATGACACCATCCCTATATCTTTGTTCGATATTAAACTTTGCTTATGAAACAATCATAATTATAGGGATGGTGTCATGTAGCTTTGTGTAACTTGCTGTGTAATGACCCCTTGTTTCTTCCTCCCCTTTCATTTGGAAGAAACGATTTTTCTACCTGTTTCCACTACTTTTAACAGCTTATGACAACACTGCATTTATTGCACTCTGATGTTCATGGGTATGTTGTAGATAGGCTACAAACTGTAACTGTTGAAAGTAGTAGCTAATGGGGCTGCTAGTGCCTGAAGCAGGGGCTAGATACCGCATTCACCTCATGTATTGCAAGCTAGCCAGTTGGAAATGTGCACACTTACTTACAGAAGGTACTGGAGGCTGAGAGTTCCTCTGCAGGTCTGCCAACTCGCCTGGTTACTACGCTCGCAAGCGCATTGGACAACGCCCCTGCCTGGCGCATGCGCGCGGCTCATATGCTGAGTTAGCAGCAAATGGCGTTGTTCAGTGTCGACCGTGGAAGAGCTCCATGATCTACCGTAGTGACTAGAGGCAAGAAAGAAACGATCGCTTGATGTCCGTGCACACCTCCGGCTAAGTTGGAGACGTTCAGTGAAAAAATCAGCTCTTCAACTTGTTCCAGTAAGGAGAAAGCGGGTCTAAATAAGAAGAAGCACGAAATCGCGTATGAGCGAATTCTCGCGTGGACGACTGAAGGTGCGTATGAGGTCTTTGGGAGCATGTATAGGTAGATATGGGCCCCTAGACTATTGCTAGTATGTTTTTAAGGCCTAGGGAGTGATTCTCACCGAGTTTTAGTCGTTTTGTACGCGGATCACGTGAGATTTCACACTTGTCATCCCTATTTAGAGAGTCTACCGACTCTCTAATACCTTCTCGTGTGCGACTCGACAGTTGGGATCTGTTAAGACCATTTTTTGGCGAGTCACGTCAAACCCTGCAGAGTCGCAGTTTAGACGACTTTACACTGCCTTCCATCGCCAGCTAATGTTAGCTCTACACTCTAGCTATATAGAACATTATGGCAGTTCCACTTGTTGAAATTGTGTAATCATGGCCATTTGGTTAACGTATAACTTCATTTTGAACAAACATAATGGGAATAGTGCAGATTTATCAAACAACATTAATACAGTTAACACTGAACTAAAAAGTTTCTCTGTTGCAAAAGTTTTGGTTAATGTTCAGGAGATGACACTGAGTGGAAAATTACTTGGCTGGTTCAATGAGGAGAGCATTCACAATGTCTCGCAACTGGACATCTTGAACATCGAGTTTATCGCAGATTTTTTGCAGCATTGCTTCAATCTTATCGAGTCTGTCACACACTGTAAAAGAAAATCAGTTTTGGACTTTAAATCATCACTTGCACACTATCATACTTACCACCTCCACACACTTGTGCTGTGATCACTGTGGGTTCTGGAATGTAAAAAGTTGCACATGAACAGCTTACAATTCAGAATAATTTCGTTACCATCATAGATGGAGATAATTGTTCTGTTAGGTGTTCCAAATAACACTCCAGGCGGTGCAGTTGTTATGATTACAGAAAAATCCTCGATATCTTCTGGCTCATCATCGCGTACAATAGAGATAGGCCGGCATACTCTGTACTCATCAGGCCTAAACTGGATGGGGATTCCACTTAGTGGTAGAAAGTCTGCACCAGCTGCGATAACCAATGCTTTATTAGTGACAAGACTCTTGGTGATGGAGTGAAGGGTGTTCACCTGTAGCTTGAGGTGGCACCAGTTCAGCGGTGGAGATTTGAATTGTGAGCGTGTCTGCTATCTCTCCTTCTCTCACAACACACACTATCACTGGACCGTTTTCCTCATCCACCGAGTAACTGTCATTCTCAAAGTAAACTCTCACCACTGCGCAAAAACAATTAGAAAATTTAGTCAAACACACAGGGAAACATCGTTACTTACCATCGTTCTCATTAATATGCACAGTAGCATTTGGTTGTGTGATTATTACAGCAGCATCTGTTGTCGTTAGTGTGCCTTTGAATTCCTCAGATCCTTCAAAAATGGTGTCGTCTACTATTGGAATAATGATAAACTCCAGTGTTTCACCAGGAGAAAATGTCAAAACTTCTGGGTGTGATTCTGTCACTCCAACGAAATCTGTGCCATCTGTAACACCACAATTATAGTTTTCATAATTATAAGTTTTAGGGTGGAAAAAGTCACATACCAACAGCACTTCCATCAACAGTGTAGAATTGAACGATAACATCTCGCTCTAGCTGAGGAGTCAAGTTCTCTACGATGATTACTGCTGCTCCATCCTCACTCACAGTGTACACGGAAGGGTTAAAACCTATCTGTGCATCTGCAATTGAAGAATAGGGACCAGTAACGGAGGAGTACAGTATAGAGTCATAATTATAGGCTCACAGTCGTTATCCACGATCACAACACGTGTGAACGTTGTTGTTCCACTGGTCCCAGGCGGACCCTCAAACGTGACAATGAAATCCTCAGTGTTTTCAACAATGGTGTCATCGACAATAGGAATATCGACGCATACTCTGGAGGACCCAGGAGAGGCTGGGATTATCACTTGTGAAATAGTTCTGTAGTCACCATCTACAATAATGTATATTCTTATGAACGTCAACAAGTAAGGCAAATTTTTGCTCGAATTACCTGAGGTTGTTACGTGTCTTGTACTGAAGACAACAGTCACTGGTTCTGCATTTCCTGTGCTGGTTCTCAGGCATACGGAGACACTTCCTCCATTTTCTGACACGGTGTATTCTGGTGCCTCAAAGTCAATCACGAAGTCTGTTGATAATATGAAAATAATAGAGTCATTGTTTGCATGCATTGAGAAAATTGCTGACCATAATTAATACAGTGCAACCTCTGATAAGGGACCCTCCGAGATAGGGGACGATCTCTCTACAAAGGACACTTTGTTTCTGCCCCATGCTAATACTTTAGTGTAGTATTTGACCACCAATATAGGGAAAACCTCTCAACAAGGGACAAAATCATTGTCCCCATAGTGTCCCTTTTCGGAGGTTCCGCTGTAAAATTAATGAATGTGTTGTCTCACTCGGCTCATCATCAGTTATGGAAATGGTCGTAACTGCAGGATTCCCAATGGTTACTCCAGTCGTTACAGAAGTGATTCGTGCAGTGAAATTTTCCTGTCCTTCACTTATCTGGTCATCCAGTATGTCTACGTTAAAGCATGCCCTATCTTCATTCGGTTGGAAAGATAGCACTTGCAGCTCTGGGTGTAGATCAACGTAATCTACTCCAGCTGGAGGTGAAGAAAAACATAAAGCGTGACTTGAGCACTATGGACCACAGTCGGTAAACATACATTGTGCTTGTGTAGGGATCAGTTCTTCAGTCGCTACATAAATTGTGAGACTTCCTGACGTGTCGCCTTCTCTCCTGACACATATATTTACTTGTCCGTCTGTTTCCGACACTACGTAACTGTCACTTTCGAAGTAAACTCTCACATCTATGTTTTAATAAAAAAAAGAACTGGGGTACTGAGTTTTTACAAACAGATGAGAAAAACAAACCATCATCGGTAATGGTGATATCTGCAACAGGTTGAAATATCTCCACAGCAGAGTCCGTGGTAGTCAGTATTACTGTGAAATCTTCCGTTCCCTCATACAAGTTGTCATTATTGATGAAGATCAAAGTGCTGCCACTGCTGTCACCAGGTCCAAATGTTAGCACCTCATTATTCCCAACGAAATCTAATCCTGTTTGTATAATCACGGAAGGAATTGATCAATGATCATTGATTCACTATCAATATACAACATACCATCGACTGCAGTTCCAGAGACTGTTTGAATGTTGACAGTAACCTCTCTCTCCAACAAGTTAGGGTTTCTACTGATAACAGTGACAATTACAAATATGCCGTCTTCGGCCACTGAGTATACTGATGGACTGAATCCCACTTCAACAGCTAGGGGGGAAAACAGCACAGCGAATAGATGATAAAGTGTAGCTAAAAAGTAATATTTTGATCCTTACTGTCGTCATCAATGATCAGCACACGAGTCGAGGTTATAACACCTTCGTTTGCATTGGTGTCGGGAGGAATCTCGAATGAGACCAGGAAATCCTCATCGTTTTCGACAGTGTTGTCGTTAGTAATGGCAATGTCGGCGCAAGTTCTGGAAGGCCCCGTAGAGACAGGAATCAGTATCACTTGGGGGGCTCCACTGTAGTCACCATCTACGCAGACACAAATGTTAGCATTTAACCACAACTATTCTACACAACTTACCAGAAGTTGCTACGTTGCTAGTGCTGACAATTACATTGATAGGTGCATCGTTTCCAATGTTAGTTCTGAGGCACACAGCAACCGTGCCTTCATTTTCAACGACTGTGTATTCTGAAACTTCAAATTCTACAATCAAAGCTGTTGAACAAATAATTAAAAGATAATAATCTCATCACACAAAAGACGACATTTCTTACTTTCATCATCCATTATTGATATGACAGCTGTATCAGGATTTCCAATGTCGACTCCACTCGGAACGGATGAGATTCTGGCAACAAAGTTCTCAACTCCTTCACTCAGCCTATCATCCAGTATCGTCACATTGAAACACACTCTGTCTTCATTCGCAGCAAAGGTGATTGACAGCCTTAAAGCCACATAGTCACTTCCGGCTGTAAAGTGATACACATTATTAATGTACACAGATAGTATACGGGATACAAGTACTAATGTACATAAGTAGTATAGGGGAATAAGACTGCGCGGGACTGCTGTGGGACTACAGACAACTCCGCAGTGCTTCACCACTGCCCCCTCGTATCATTAACCCTCTTTTGATCCCTCTTCAAACCTCATTTTTCACCTCGTCTGTGTGTAATGCTTGTCTATGACCATGTTTAATTGTTTGGCCTATTATCAGTTCAAGCCTATTTTTTACCTCTGTCTATGTGCAGCTTTGTCAGCTTAGCCCTTTCATGTATTATGAATAGTTATTTCTCACTTCTTATTAGTTCTAACCTCACTATTCACAGGTCAGCTAGCTCTTTCATGTGTAGTGCTTCTCTAGGCAATTTTAATTTCTCACCTCTTTTTGCAATTTGCTTACTCTTTGGTTGAAACCTTAGGTGCCTTGGTTTGTGCGTCTGTCACCTTGCTATTTCCTCTATCCTTAACCCCCTCTGTTTTGTATAAGCTTGCTGCTCAGTTGTCATAACAAGGATTATTGATTGTAATACTGAGACCTCTTTTTGCCGCACAGCCATATCACAAAGCCTAACAATACCTTCAGCTTGGAGTGGATCAAAGTCTCCAGTTGATACTTCGATGGTTAAACTTCCTGAAATGTCTCCTTCCCTTCTCACACACACTTCCAGCCTTCCATCAGTTTCCGAAACTTCGTATGTCTCCCTCTCAAAGTACACTCTAACATCTGCATTAGATAGTATAAACACATAATATGGCTGGACCTATGCCGTGTGTGAAGCATCCCTACCGTCATCGACAATTGTGATAGTTGCATCTGGTTCAAAAATGTTCACACGCCCGTCGGTTGTTGTCAACGTCCCATAGAATTCTTCTGTGCCCTCGTACTCATCGTCATCAGTGATAAATACCAAAACACTTTCACTCGATGTCTCCGACGAGAATGTAACAGTTTGAACATTGCCACTGAAATCCGCTCCTGATGAAAGAAATGCAGTGTTAGTTATCCCCAGCATTTTTGCTTATATTTGCTTACTTTCAACTGCAGACCCAGAAACTGTGCTGACTTGTACCACAACATCTCGCTCCAAGTCCTCACTCCTGCTTACAACAGTCAGAATAACAAATATGCCGTCTTCATTCACTGTGTATGCTGATGGACTGAAGCCAATCTCGGCATCTGTGACAAAGGAAAACGGTAAATTATACAGGTGTCAAATTCGAGAGTGGGTATCATTACTATCATTGTCAATGATTGTAACTGTGGCTGTGTCTTCTACAATTTGAACTCTCTCCACTCCAACGTGGCTTAGACTTCCAGTAAACACTTCGTCGTCTTCAATAGCACTGTCATCGTTTATAGAGACAGTTATACTTGTGATTGATGAACCATCAGCAAATGTGACCGGTACAGCTGTGAGTTGACTGAAATCTCCTGGTGCTACAAAGATCATGGAGATTACGCTATATTGCATAGTGATCTATTGGAACTTACAGATTGCTGTACCATTCACTGTGTGGAACTCTACTTCACCATCAGACGGTCCTCCAGGGACGTTAGTCCTTACAATGAGCGTGACTCTCCCTGCACTCTCATCAACAGAGTATGCTGTCGGCTCAAACCATACTCGTACTATAGGATAGAGTGTATATATTAAAGGATATGAGTACAATACACAGAGATACTAACCATCGTTGTCAATGATGTTGATGTCAGCTCTGTCTTGAGATATTCGAACGTTGGCATTCCCCACAATGCTTAAGCTTCCATAGAATACTTCTTCCTGTTCTCCAACTGAATCGTCCACTATCGGGACAGTCACGGTTGTGGTAAGGGAGTTTTCTCCAAAGACAATGTTAGACGATGTCTCTGTGTAGTCACTAACAACTGCATGGAAAGAAAAACTATATGAACTGTAGCTACCCTGCAGTGATAGATATCGTCCTAACCAGTAGCTGTTCCATTGACTGTGGTAAACGTCACTGATCCAGGCGGAGGTCCTCCCGCAAAGTTTGTTCTGATGGTCAGAGTTACCGTTCCTGCATCCTCATTCACGGTATAGGAAGACGGTTCAAACCACACCCGAACTGAAAAATGTTGGGTATTGATAACTTTACTCTAAAAACCGAACTGCTTAACGCACTGTCATTGTCATTGACATGTATGTCAGCTCTGCTCTCCGTTATCAAAACATTGTCACTGGTAGTTAGTGTGCCATAGAAGACCTCTTCTCCCTCAGCAACTTGGTCAACTATTATTGGAACCTCAACAGTGGTTGCAAATAATCCAGCTTCAAATGAAATGCTATTCGAGGTAGAGGAATAGTCACTCCCAGCTGTAATATTATAGAAATAGGCAAGAAAATGAGCAGGGGGTGCCAATATGCTAAGTCAATACTATACCTAGTGCTGTTCCATTTTCTGTATTGAAAAGAACTGAACCAGCTGGAGGGCCACCAGCTATGTTTGTTCTTATAGTCAGAGTCACTGTCCCGGCATTTTCATCCACCGTGTAAGAAACTGGATCAAACCAGACTTGTATAGCCACTTCATCACATATACAGGGATCCACAACACCTGTAGCAGAAGATGTCAATACTAATAGCATGCATGTTCTATCTAAAGCCTTACATACCTCCATCATTGTCGCAAATAAAGACCTTGATGACATTGTTCCGTAGATATAAATTTCTCGTTGGAGTAAATGAAACTTCAAAGCTCTCTCGTGGCTCTGCAATTGCATCATCGAGTATTTGGATGTACACAAAATCAAGGGTATCCTGGCGTATTCCTCCACGGTAGTTAAACCTATTCTCATAGTGTGTGTAGTCAACACCAGCTGCGTACAAGACATGCACATCAAAACAAATTTTTTCACTAGGAAATAAACGACTCACCAACTGCCTCTGCAGGAGTTGAAGGTCTGGTAGCCACGTCAAATCTTGACTGAATGACAAGGTTTCCATATCTCTCAACCGGAATAACAAGTGTTCCTGCATCTTCCCGAATACACAGGTTCTCAGGGAGTAATGCTCCAGTAGCTATAAAGGGGATAAATGATTCAGGATTTAAACACTCACAAAGGAGGATTAATATTCTATATACCTGCCAGTGGCTCAAGCTCGAATCCAAGAGTAAAGGCGTTAGAATTTTGCTGCCCGTATGCATAGTACATGGCGTAGAGTCCTACTTGTGGTTGCTCGTGGTAGATTGTGTGTGTGCCTTTTACAACTTCTACTTCAGCTCCATATCCACAGATACGGCCGTTTGAACAGTAAAACGGGATGTATCCGTCGTAGGGAACAACAGTTGTGCCATTGATTTTGATTCTATTTCTATCAGTTTCGGTATTGGTGAAAAATTCAGTTGCTATGGCAAGGTTGATGTAGCGATATGGGAATGGTCCAGGTACTCCGTCTACTGATTTAACAGTGTGGTTGTTCATGAACTGGTGAACTGGAGGAATCAAAGTCATGAATGGGTCACCAGCTTCGTAATAGGAGAAGTCGTTCTTTCTGGCTAGTGATATATCGAGAGTGTAACCAGTACTGTATTGAGCTACAATAACAGGTTCTGAAGCATCGAGGCAGCAGTAACTTGGTTTGTAATCAAGCCTGTTGTCAAAGTTTCCTGGTGTCATGAATTTGACATACTCTCCTCTACTGATCAACCCATTTCGCTCCAGAGTAAGTCTTGTAGGGGTGTCAGTTGCTGACGTGACGCATGTGACAGTCAGTTGTGTGTTGTCTCTCAGTGTGCCAACGCGGAACTGGTCTCCTGACACCCTCCCACCAAGTGGGGTGAGGAAGAACGTGTGTCCATAAGACATCCCTGGTGGTATCTGCTCTACCATGTGGTCACATGCAGTCGAATTGTAAGGGATTTCACCACACTGATGACCAGATAAAACTATGAGTGGCTTGTTTCCTCGAACAATTGTTCCCGACAGGTCGTCCTTGTGTCCAATCATGAGACTCTGTCCCGAATTGGCTGAGAATGACAGGGAGGTGTGAGATGTTCCAGGACCTGCTCGGAATCTGTTGGGACTCAAATCTCCCAACTGCCCAATTGTCACCAACTGACTGGGTTCCACTGTGACGGTTGTATCATCGTCACACGGAATGACGATAAAGAAACTGTTCTTAGGTGGATCTTCTGGAGATGGAAACTGGTCTGCTGCAAGTACGAAATATTCATATTCGTTAAACACAGGTTGGCGAATTGCATCGCACGAGATTGCAATAAATCCGTCAGTTGTTCGGACATCATCGTTGAATCCCTGAACCGTGATCAGTTTGTTGTTTTGTGTACGAACCCTGACTGCCTTTGCTCTCTCAATGACTGCTGAAGAACCTGAGCCAAATATAAGAGCAATGTCGACTGGCAGGTCCACTGTGTGAACTTCTCCATATGAGATGGTAGCAGTGTAAGGAAATCCTTCCCTCATTGCAGCTGGTAGGTTATCGTTGAGAGACACCGTGAAATGTAACTGGAGTAGACTCTACAGTGCTGATGAGAAGCTTGTATTGAGGCTGCGAAAAGAGAACTGGAGAGTTTGGTATGAATGCAACTAAAAAGTCAGTCCCTCTCGTGTTTCGTCCTCTTGGATCTGTGCAAATTTAGAGAACTAATAATAGCCAATGCTACTGGGATTGCTATTAACTAACTGAATTGAAGAGCATCCCTAAAGGTGTCCTCTGGGAAGCCTGTCACCGATAGCACCACAGAAAGCACTACTAAAAGACTTGCTGCCATAGCCACTTCTCTCCGTCACCCGACTATTGCACTTTCGGGCTTGGTTGATTCAGGCTTTTCAACCGTAGAATTTATAGGACCAGAGGTGTCGCGCGAGCATTTCCTGCCAAGTGATGCAACTGCCCACACTCGCCAAGGGAACGGTGTTTGCGCACTCGTGTATTTGTGGGTCATGACGCAGCCTTAGCAGGGATTGCGCGGTTGATAGTCACGGACTAGGAATTTGACGGTAGTGAATATACATCCCGCTATGCTCTTTGATTTTGTTTACGGTTGAAGTAGCTAAACCTTGTCGCGCTGGAGCTGACACCAAAGTTGGCCAATGTCCTGTGTGAGTCACCTTTTCTCACTGCTATGGAATGCTGGTGTCTTTGTTGTGTTTATACTCTGTATAGCTTCTTGGAGTATTTTGCTCTTGATGCTGGCTTCCTGTCCAGCCTGTGGTCTCCTCAGGTGCTAGAGGCTAAATCTACCATATTTGGTTGGTTTTTCATCGCTATCTGCACGATGACACCGCTCACATCTGCCGTCTTGTGCAGCGGCAGTAATTGCAGCAGTAATTGCATAATGCCCGGCGAGAAGCAATTACTAGCGCCGCCTGCAAAGACACTAGACAGAGGTTTTCCAGCATGCATTCGTAACGAGTATATACGCATGCGCAGAAAGTTTTAAATCGAGCGCGCGCGCGTCTCGACATTGGCGCCTCGCGAAGCCACGCCTTCTCGCGGGTTGGAGCTGTGAGTTCGCGGGCTCTTGGCCGAGTATAAAGGACTCTGCGTTGTACTAAAGCTGGTGGCTGTTCATACTAAACGTCTACTCTAGGTGCAGGTAGAAAATGGTATTTTTAATACAGAGACGAGGAAAGGGATGTGACTGAATGCAAGTGCTAGCTATATAAGTATTTCCGGTCAAAATACGAATGGATGGTGCTGTGAATGGCATCGATCATTCAGTCATCACCACGTACTTCAGCTTCAGTAGCGTTTTTCTGTAGCCTGCATAGCAAAGCTCCTTTGTGGGTCTCTTGGAGAGACTCATTGACGCTCGCGCGGCTATCTGTCGCTCGTCGCGGGCGTGATCTGTCGCTCGTCGGCTCTGTAAAATTAGTGCACTTGCAGAGCCTTAGCTTGGTCGCTAATTGGGCAAATAATAATTGTAATGTCCCAGCACACGCATATCGTTTCCATAAATCCATCCCCTTTTCACATCTTTAAATGATCTTGTGCATAATGAACGATAATTATATAAGAACTTTTGGTGCAACAGATATTTGTGCATTATTTTTCTGGCAGTGTGTTGGAAAACAGTCTTAATACTTCCACGAGCTGATCTCCCTGAATGTTCAGTTTATCACAGATTTTATCCAGCAGAGCATCGATTCTATCCAGTCTGTCACACACTGAAAAACCAAACAATAATAATGAATAGGTAGCTACCAATGAGTATAGATCACTCACCATCTCCACACAGCTCAGCAGAGATTGGTTCTAATTCTGAAAGATAAAATTTTGAATATATGAGTAGGCAGATGATAACCATGAGACTGTCCCACTGTGTCTTAAACCAAAGCATACTCGGAACAATTTGCATGCACCCAGCCCAGACGACTCACTATCATTGTCAAGAATTGATATAGTGGTCGTGTAAGACTCTCCAAGGCTCACTCCTAGTGGTAGAGTTGCTATGGTGACTGTAAAGTTTTCTGCAAAACCCTCGTACTCGTCGTCGTTGACAATAGCAATTGGGAAGCAGGTCCGGTACTGATCAGGTCTGAACTGAATTGGAACTCCGCTGATTGGTAAAAAGTCATCACCAGCTGTTATTGAACATGAGAGATGATTAGTTAGCTAATGTAGGATTAACACTCTCTACAATGCTGCCATGCTGCCAATCATTACTTGTGTATGTCATCTTAGCACAGCAGTCACGCATGCGCAGTGGTTATACGACAATTTCCCACCTTTGGCCTCAAGTGGCTCCAACTCAGAGGTGGAAACTTGCACTGTGAGAGTCTCTGATATCTCTCCTTCTCTGGCTATACACACCACTACCGGTCCTCTGTCCTCGTCCACCAAATAGATGTCAGACTCAAAAGACACCCAAACCTCTGGAGGTTAATGGGAGAGCTCACTGCTATTGCGCTACATTACTTTTAGCACCTTTACCGTCATTGTCCTGTATGAGGATACTCGCACTGGACTCAAAAACAGACACGCGAGAGATAAACAGCGTTGCCCTGGCATAAAACTCTTCGGTGGTTTCTAACACGACATCATTGGTAGTTGGCACTGACACTTTCACCTGTGTGTCACCAGGCAAAAGGGTGACATTGACAGCAGACCCAACAAAGTCCTCTTGAACTGCATGGGATTAAAAAGTCCAGTCACAACAGTAATATAATAGCGTTGACTCGGTGACTATCAAACCTGTTGCAGTTCCGCTAGTAAACTCCACGCGAACTGTGACTTCAGTCTCCATGTCAGGATATCTATTCTCAATGAACAGCACAGCAGTTTCCCCCTCTTCAATAATGTAGCTATTTGGAGTGAATCCAATCTCAATAACTGTTGGAAAACAAATCGGTAGAGAGGCAGTAGCACTACTAGAGTATGGACAAATAATGTAACTCACAATCATTGTCAGTTATGACAACAGTAGCATTTTGTTCCGTGATAGAAACGCCACTGTGTTGAGTTACTAGATGTCCATAGAACACTTCACTTCCTTCAAAAATGGTGTCATCCATTACTGGGACAATGACGTACTTCTTGGTTTCAGCAGCAGAAAATGTCAGTGTATGTGAGAAGATACTTTGGACGCCAATAAAGTCGCTTCCATCTGGTTAACATAATATGGAATGACAGTTGTACAGTTGAATTATGGAGTTTATAAAAGTAGTGGAAGGATACGTACCTGATGCGCTGCCATCGCTGGTGTAAAATTGCACAATTACATCTCGCTCCATTACTGGAGTCATGTTCTCTACTTCAAAAATCACAATTCCAGCACTCTCTTCCACAGTATATGAACTTGGGTTAAAACCTATTCTTGCCTCTGTGTTACATTATTCAAGATGTTATAATACAGAGAACGGGCCACAGATAAATTACACATACCGTCGTCATCAACAATGACTATTCGTGTGACATTAAAGACTCCTGATTTGGCAATTGTGCCTGGAGGAATCTCAAAGGCCACGTGGAAATCCTCATTCCACTCCACAATAGTGTCGTCTGTAATGGCGATATCTGTACAAGTCACTGAGGCCTCTGGAGATGCTGAAATTATCACTACTTTAGCGCTGGTGTCATAGTCACCATCTACATGGTATTATGAGAAATATTATGAAAGATAATGTTCACAGTGCTTTTTCAGTATTGACTAACCAGAAGTTGATATATGCCTTGTTGTGATGATAACATTGACTGGTTCATCAATGCCAGTATTGGTTCTCAAACATATTGAAACGACAGATTCATCTTCAGAAACGGTATACTCTGATGCAACAAAGTCAATGATGAGACCTATTTATTGGGGGGTGGGAAGGCAATAGGTATGTGATGTATGCAATTGCAATTTCACTGTAGTGTTGTCTTACTTTCATCGTCTGCAATAGATACAATAGTTGTATCAGGAGTGCCTATATGAAATCCACTTGTTTCGGATACAATTCTGGCGATAAAGTTTTCAGGCCCTTCACTGAGCGAGTCATCCAGTATGACTACACTAAAACAGGCTCTGTTCTCATCTGTTCCAAATGTCACAGACTGCTGAAACGCTTGATAATCATTTCCATCTGCCGCTTGCTGTGAGTTGAAATCCCCAGAGGTGACCTGAATAGTCAAACTTCTTGAAATATCCCCTTCTCTTCGTACGCAGAGTTCAACACTTCCATTGGCCTCTGAGACTTCGTACGTATCCACGTCAAAGAACACCTTCACATCTACAAGAAATCGGGAGAAATGCAATGAAGTCAATAATGGCATTTTACACATACCATTATCGATGATTCTGATGTTGGCATTGTCTTCAAATATTCTGACGCTAGTGTCGATAGTTGTGAGCGTAGCATAGAAATCTTCAGTCCCTTCGTATGCCTCGTCGTCAATGACGTACACCGACACACTGTCACTTGTACTTCCCGAGGTGAATGTAATAGTTTGGACACTTCCTATGAAATCTGATCCTGAACAGAATACAATAGTTCGCATGTGAAATTCACTTTCCTTTATACCCTGATAATGGCCACAAACCTTCCTCAGCAGAACCAGAGAGTGTTCCAATTTGCACTACGACCTCTCTTTCCAAGTTTGGGTTCCTATTGACAACATTGAGGACCACAAAAGACCCTTGTTCGTTGATGGTGTACTCCGACGGACTAAACCCCATAACAGCGACTGCGGAAGAAGATATTTATGCACAAAGACTCGAAAGGCAGATCTTTTGCTCACTGTCATTATCAGCTATCATAACTCGGGCCTCTTCCCCCACAATGTTTATTGTCTCTACTCCAACGTGGCGAAGTCTGGCGAGGAATACTTCGTTTTCTTCCAGTATGTTGTCGTCATTTATCATGACTGTTGCTCTCGTGGTGAAGGAACCTTCTGGAAATCTCACGGGAAACCCCAAGACTTCTATAAAGTCTCCGGACGCTGTATTTTAACAAAAGGAGGATGCAGATTTGATACCGTGCTCACAAACGTTCACGTGTTGGGCTTACAGATTGCAGTGTTGTCCACCGTGTAAAATTCCACTTCTCCAAGTGGTGGACCTCCAGGTACATTGGTTCTCACAATCAGAGTAACTGTCGCTGAACTCTCATTAACAGTGTAGAATGTAGGCTCAAACCATACCCGTACTGTAAAGAGAGTGTAATGTAGCGTGAAATGGACATGAGAGCTTTTCTTACTGTCATCATCGGTGATAAGGATATTTGCTCTGTCTTCAGTGATGTTAACAGGAGAGCTCCCAACAAGACTCAGGGACCCGTAGAAAACTTCTTCAGGCTCTCCTATTGAATCATCAACTACTTGGATGGTCACAGTTGTGCTGTAGGAAGTCGCTTCAAATGTAACGTCATAGGTTGTGGTGATATAGTCGCTAGGAGCTGGAAAGATAGGAATAGGCGTGATGGCTACAGAGATCTTTGATCTGAGCTAGTGCGATTTTTACCTGTAGCACTTCCATTTACTGTTGTGAACACCACAGAGCCATCTTCTGGTCCCCCCGCTAGGTTAGTCTTGATTGTGACGGTGATTGTTCCAGTAGCCTCACCGGCAGTATAGGCAGTTGGCTGAAACCATACTTCCACTGAAATGAGAGTAACATACATTGCTGAGGGCACTTTGAGAGAATCCCAAATACCACGTACCATCGTTGTCAATTATATGAATTTCTGCTGTGTCTTGTGTTATCAACACATTGGCATCTCCGATTGTAGCTAATGAGCCATAAAATTTCTCTTCCCCTTCTCCTATGGAGTTGTCTATGATTGGAATCGCTACAGACGCTGTGAAGGAACCTTCGCCAAACATTACTTCATACATTGTCGTTGAAGTATAGTCACTCTCGGCTGAAAAGCAACATTTTGAACTATAATAGGAAAATGGTCGCGGATCTTTATATTATACCTGTTGCTGTTCCATCTCTTGTACCAAAGCTTAGAGTACCAACTGGTGGACCACCTGCTATGTTTGTTCTGATAGTCAGAGTAACTGTCCCAGAAGCTTCATTGACTGTGTAGGCACTAGGCTCAAACCACACTTCAATAGGTACTTCGTCACATATACAAGGGTCAACGTGATCTGTAGGGAGTGATAAAGCTTACTTTCTGCTTGCTATATCATTACACTGTACCTCCATCATCGTCGCAAATTATGACTTTGATGACGTTGTTACGAAGATAGAAATTTCTTGTTGGGGTAAATGTAACCTCAAAGCTCTCTCGTGCCTCTTCAATAGTGTCATCAATTATTGGAATATACACAAACTTCAGGGTATCCTGGCGGATTCCTCCTCGGTAGTTGAAATTAGACTCATAGTGCGTGTAGTCAACACCAGCTGTATATAGTATTAGATAATTATCTCACATTATAATATTTTTTTAAACTCTCACCAACAGCCTCTACTGGAGACGATGGTCTTGTGGCCACAGAGAGCCTTGACTGAATTATCAGGGAACCGCGTCTCTCGATGGGAATAACTAGAGTTCCAGCATCCTCCCTGATACATAGATTCTCGGGAAGCACGGCTCCAGTAGCTACAAAAATGAAATTTCGTATATATACAGTGTTGTGTCATTGAGAATGTATTTAGATTACCTGCCAGTGGCTCAAGCTCGAATCCAAGAGGAAAAGCGTTAGAATTTTGCTGCCCGTATGCATAGTACATGGCGTAGAGTCCTACTTGTGGTTGCTCGTGGTAGATTGTGTGTGTGCCTTTTACAACTTCTACTTGAGCTCCATATCCACAGATACGGCCGTTTGAACAGTAAAACGGGATGTATCCGTCGTAGGGAACAACAGTTGCGCCATTGATTTTGATTCTGTTTCTATCAGTAGTGGAGTTCATAAAGAAATCTGTTGCTATGGCAAGGTTGATGTAGCGATATGGGAATGGTCCAGGAACTCCGTCTACTGATTTAACAGTGTGGTTGTTCATGAACTGGTGAACTGGAGGAATCAAACTCATAAATGGGTCACCAGCTTCGTAATAGGAGAATTCGTTCTTTCTGGATAATGAAACATCGACAGTGTAACCAGTACTGTATTGAGCTACAATAACAGGTTTTGAAGCATCGAGGCAGCAGTAACTTGGCTTGTAATCAAGCCTGTTGTCAAAGTTTCCTGGTGTCATGAATTTGACATACTCTCCTCTACTGATCAACCCATTTCGCTCCAGAGTAAGTCTTGTAGGGGTGTCAGTTGCTGACGTGACGCATGTGACAGTCAGTTGTGTGTCGTCTCTCAGTGTGCCAACGCGGAACTGGTCTCCTGATACCCTCCCACCAAGTGGGGTGAGGAAGAACGTGTGTCCATAAGACATCCCTGGTGGTATCTGCTCTACCATGTGGTCACATGCAGTCGAATTGTAAGGGATTTCACCACACTGATGACCAGATAAAACTATGAGTGGCTTGTTTCCTCGAACAATTGTTCCCGACAGGTCGTCCTTGTGTCCAATCATGAGACTCTGTCCCGAATTGGCTGAGAATGACAGGGAGGTGTAAGATGTTCCAGGACCTGCTCGGAATCTGTTGGGACTCAAATCTCCCAACTGCCCAATTGTCACCAACTGACTGGGTTCCACTGTGACGGTTGTATCATCGTCACACGGAATGACGATAAAGAAACTGTTCTTAGGTGGATCTTCTGGAGATGGATGCTGGTCTGCTGCAAGTACGAAATACTCATAATCGTTAAACACAGGTTGGCGAATTGCATCGCACGAGATTGCAATAAATCCGTCAGTTGTTCGGACATCGTCGTTAAATCCCTGAACCGTGATCAGTGTGTTGTTTTGTGTATGAACCCTGATTGCCTTTGCTCTCTCAATGGCTGCTGAAGAACCTGAGCCAAATATAAGAGCAATGTCAACTGGCAGGTCCACTGTGTGAACTTCTCCATATGAGATGGTAGCAGTGTAAGGAAATCCTTCCCTCATTGCAGCTGGTAGGTTATCATTGAGAGACACCGTAAATGTAACTGGAGTCGACTCTACAGTGCTGATGAGAAGCTTGTATTGAGGCTGCGAAAAGAGAACTGGAGAGTTTGGTATGAATGCAACCAAAAAGTCGGTCCCTCTCGTGTTTCGTCCTCTTGGATCTGTTCCCATTATGCAAGATACCAAGCTATGATAATAATGTTATGCACATTAGTATCTGTACTGACCAAACTGAAGGGCATTCCGGAAAGCATCTTCGGAAATGGCGGTTACACTTGCCACCACAACTAGAAGCGCCATGACCAATGCTATTGTATGCCCCATCCCGAGCGTATAATATTTCGTGAACAGCCTGCAACTTCTCGGCCACTAAAGACGGCTTCCAATCCTCCCTTTTATATTCGGCGCGCCACTGAGTATATACGCGCGTGCAGATCCGCGCAGACGCCAAAGTGTTTTAGGGTGTGTGTGTATGTAGTAAATAGTTGCCAAGTGCATAATATGTAAGTGGAAATTTTATCCCGTGGGCGTTAGTTAGTTAGCTATGTGACCCGATCCCACATCCTGTAGCGGACAGCTATGGACTTTCAGCTGGATATTGCGACCCTTTGAGGTAGCTTATTATAATGTGAGTTGCTGGGTTTAACTGAATTGCAGACATGCTTATGATTCTTCCCAGAAAATCCTTCAAAAGTAATCGCATTGGTGTATAATTGTACTACCCTGTATAGCTATTTCAAAGGTGTGGGTGTATATACATGTGAGTTGAGATTGCATTTGGACATTTATTCATGTCTCAACAACTTTGTAACGAGGTATATAGAAAAGCAAACAAGTGAACTACAACTGGAGGGATTCAAAACCCACGACACTCCACAGTCTAGGCGAGCACTCTACCAACTGAACTACCAGGGCAACTCAGCTGGTAGGGGTTCGAATCTTCAACACAATACAACACAAAGACACATCTCAAACCACTGTGCTATGGCACAGTAAACTCTCACTCAGTATGTAGGAGCAGACCGGGGTAATTAAACCACCAATGACGCCCAACTCCAAACCGAGCAGCTATATGCATGTCTCAACAACTTGGTAGCTAATGAGGTAGAAAGGCAAGGCAATGCAAACAAGTCAACAACGCCCAGGACAACTCTTTCTTTGAAGAACAATGACACTTTTACAGGCTAGCATCTATAGTGATTGCGCTTGAAGTCATGAGAGCTCGGTGTGAAAGAGTCTTCTAACCCTTTCTTGTTTACTGGTAACCAATAATTTCAGCTTGGACTAACATCATTTTGCTGCAAAAGCACGGTATGCATATTAATTTGAGGTGCAAGAGTATGCCTTGAAACCACATTTGTTTCCACAAATTGCCAAGCAGCACACTGAGCTGTGCCAAATATGAGGAGAATTTACTACAGCCACTGGGCAGGGCTGCCTCAGACAGTGGTGGTACATATGCCCTTCTGAGCAGTGAGGAATGTCTGCCTGAAATTTGAATATCAAAAACTCCTTTTTGGGAATAGCATCATACTTCAGAGATCCCTGAAATGCTTCTGTGGTTTTGGTATTGCATTTTTCACCAGCTTTGTTCTCTATCACTCCAATCAGTGTTATTTTATCATCTCTCGATGATAGAATGAGTTTTGAGGTGAGGTGATAATGACATTATGTAGAGATGTTGGCTCACAGAGCAGGATGCAATTAAATAATCTGATTACCACACAGGAAGTACCTTGTTTGATGTGTAAATATGTAACTGTAAGTGTTCCAGGAAATTGACAGTGTGTTGGCTGTGCACTATTTGGGTATGATTGTGCAAAATATCAATGACACATTTTAACAAATTTAATGATGATCTCAAAAACACTGGATCGATTCTCTTGAGTGTCTTGCATGAAGCAGGCCTGCAAGAAGTAGTAAAACACCATTATTTCTAAGTTATGCAGTGCGTTATTTGATTAGCTAAACTGACATATTTGATGACACATACCACAGGGGTTACTTTGTCTCAAAAACCTGATCTGGTCCCGAATGACATCATGCTTGTCCTATGTACATCTAGGAGAAAAAGTCTTGCAAGACTAGAAACATAGAGACTTTTGCTGCAAGCCAATCCACATGCGAAGGGTTTCACATATTTGGCAGCAGACACACAGTTCATTTGATTGGGATACTAAAGTATGTTGTGGTCCCACCTCTCCAAATTGGAATTCTCTACCGTAAACAATACTTTGAGAAGTGCTGACGATGAATCACGGTGTGTTGGATTGCTCTAGGTTTAAGAAGCATGCAGGTGGGTATATACTGTTCTTCTGATCAGTTTGTATAACATGAACAGGACGCTAGACCACAATGATATTTGCAGGTGTTGTGCGATTTTTTGTTGCCTTGAGCATGAAATGCACTTGCAGCAGAATAACCCTGGTGGAGGAGCCTCATTTTTTGGTTGTACATCCTCTATAGTACCAATGGCCCTCATATTGGTTTCTGAGACAGACACAAGGTTAAATGTGTGTATGTGTGGTCCTAATGGTTCCACCCATTGCTGTGGGTGCATGATCGATGCCCCTAGTGCTATGGCTGCCACCTGAGTATTATTATATGCATAATAATTGAATGTTTGAAAATACTACTGGCCCCGCTATAGAAGGTATCTTGCCAGACAGTCTACTGTATCACAAGCAGCTCCATAATAATACACGCTGAGTCTAACTCAGTGACTTACTTACTAACATGCTATAATGAACATCACCCAACTTATCCAGAGTATATACCTTAGACATAGACCGACAACCATTAGCTACCATGGAAGAAAGCACTGTTATCTGCTAAGTTATAATAATTATGAATTATGCTCTAATGCTCATTAGTTATCACACCTGTATGTTTACAAGCCAGTCACATTCTGCACTTGCTTCTCCACTGCTTCATCTTGCTTCTAAAGGGCCGAAGGAAACATTACACTTTTCGTTGGCATGTGCAAATTCCCTCTATAGAATGTTGATAGGCAGAGTGCTATGCCAAAATGTAATAGTCCGCATGTAGTTGTGCAGACTTAGCAAGAGCTACTCCATACATGGTTGAGAAACACCACTATACTTGGCTGAAGTCAGGAATCTCTGGCCTTTCTGGTGCCTGAAATCGTATGGAATCTGGAGGCAAAGTTCATCAGGAAATTCTTGGAGGATGACTCATTGTTTGCGTGCATAGCTGGCTGTGGTAGTAGGGGTGAAGTAGCAAACTCGACATGTCCTTTGAAAAATTTGAAGTACAGGGATATGTTAGACCATACCAGACAATAGCACTCTTAGTATTGACCTTTTCTACTATGAGATAGCAAAGCTTTGTACCCTCACTTTGACATACATAGAACTGTTGTTTTGGCAAAGAATGCAAGCATGCATGGTGCAAGGGTGGTTTCACAACAGCATCATGTGACCTCAGTATTATGCTACTTCAATGTTGTCATTCTGTTCTGTAGAGGAAGAGATATGTCGATTTTCTCAAACCTTCGTCGCTTTGCTTTTTCTCTTGTGTATCATGAAACTAGTCCGTGGGATGAAATTCATGCATACCAAAGCTTCAAACAGCATGCGTATATTATCTTTGCTGCATTGTGACTATGAGTGAAATGTTGTTGTAATCAGCAGCTACCATTTTGAACTTGAAGTCATTTTTGACACTCCATCTCTGTTGGTGCTGGAGATTCCAGACTCCACAAAAATGTGAAAATAATTGTTGTTATGCAACATGGAGCAGCTTTATTACTATTTTCCATATTTGAGCAACCTCTCCTGGATTTCAGTTATGTCATAGCCTATGCCAACGCCTCATTGTACAAAATAACTGCTGTCCTCTTGTATTCCACCACGTGGGTGCATGTGTATACACTAGAGTAGTGGGGTATGAGAAACGGCAGTGGGTTGAATGACGTGCTACCGACAGAGCTTTGTGTGGTGTCACACCTTTATACAAGCCACAAGCCACATTACTAGCTGTTTGTGGATTCAACAATTGCCTTCAACCAATGGGAACTTTTAAACTCCATACCTTTGTACAAAGTTGAGTGGGCTTTCTACAGTCATTTTAATTGCTGCAGTCATTTTAGCAGGAGACAGGGTGTCTGCTAACCAAGCCAAGCAATTACCTGTACCCTCCACCAATCAGCCCGTTATCTTCCTCGAGTTTGCCAAGGCAGTACAACTGTCAACTACCAACAATTGGATGTTGTGTACCACCAGCGGAAGATGTATTATAGCTAAACTGTTTTTCATTCATCCCAGATGCTTTTGGTGGAGGTTATGCAAAGCAAGCCAGGTGTCATTTTCTGTTTTTCTGTGGAAATATTCTGTGAATTTGTACACTTTCACTCTGTGGACACTACATAAGATAGTGGTTATAGCTCAGCTAGACTACATAAAAGAGTGGTTACATAATTATAGCTCAGCTATCTGGATCAAACGCCGCAACACCGATGATACTGCTGATAGACTACACACGATTGCAAGGAAGAGCTAAATTGGCACTACTTCTGCTGGTAGTGTTGGCTTCAGCAGCAGTGGGTACTCATGCAGCTGAAGATAGGAGCTGTCCCCTCTGGACGTACTGGAAAAATTCTTCCTCGTCCTGTGTGTGTGGCAGTAGTGTGGATGGACTTGTCAAGTGTGACAAACACACTCACACACTGACATTGAGGTCTTGTGGCTGCCTAACTCACGACTACTCGACAAACAAAAGTATTGCTGGCTATTGCGCCTATTCGTGTGTATTAAATCTCCATAATCCAATTCATATCGTGAATGAAACCTCAAATTCCAGTGAAACATGTGACTTATTCAAGAGGACAGGCCCCCTGTGCTCAGAGTGTATTCAAGGCTATGGAGTCCCACTTTATACTTATGCTCTCAACTGCGTGAGGTGCCCTCGCTTCGAGACAGTGAAACTGGTTAAGTATCTTCTTGTGTCGTTGCTACCTCCGACACTTTTGTTCGTTGTTATAACAGTACTCCACGTCCATGTCCTTCATCCACCAATAAGTGTTTTTGTTCTGGCAGCACAAGCAATATCAACACCATTAATTCTGCAGTCTTCACTCAATGCAAAACAGTCTGCAGTGGGAAGTATTTTCCTCAAATTTGTAGCCACAGTGTATGGCATATGGAACCTTGATTTCTTTAAGGCTTTTTATAAACCAGAATGTGTTAGTCCAGGTTATACGACTTTAGAAGTATACGTCATCGAAGGGCTGACTGGTCTATATCCTCTCTTTCTTTGTGGGCTCCTCTATTTGCTGATAATTGTTCGTAGCCGTGGCTACAGGATAGCATTAAAACTCCATTACGCTTGTTCCCGTTTCCGTGGTACTTTTAACATCAGGGAGTCCATAATTGGCACTTTTGCCACTTTATTCCTTTTGTCGTACATGAAAATTGGGTTTGCTGCTTTCTATATCCTTGCACCTACTAGGATTTGGAGCCCTAATGGCCATCACTACTGGGCTGTGTACATTGATCCCTCGATGCGGTATTTTACATCTTCACATGCCCTCTACGCGTCCGCAACTATCGTCCTTGCACTCTTGCTGGTGATACTACCTGTATTCTTGCTGCTCTTCTACCCCCACCGCTGGTTTCAGAGGTGTTTGGAGTACTTACACTTGAGGTCACTGGCTCTGAATATGATCGTGGATGTCTTTCAAGGCTGCTATAAAGATGGAACTAATGGCACACGAGACCATCGCTATTTTGCAGCTCTGCAGCTCATGCTGAGACTTGTCGTCCCGCTTGCATTCAGCTTTACCAAGGAGGCATTTTTGTCTCTCTTTCTGTCTTCCCTTTTATTGGCTGCATTTATAACAGCGTTTGTTATCGCCCGCCCATACAAAAGGAGCTTGTACAACAATACTGATATACCGATACTAATGACAATATTGTGTCAAACTATTGCCATGAACGTTGTGCTTATGCTTGAGGTATATAACTACAGTTCACTTTCCATTAGTCTCCCGTACGTTATTATCGCATTCAGTCTTATCACACCACTCATATACCTTGCTATAGTGTCTTTTCTGTATGTGCGCTCTGTCATGATTCACCGCCAGTGTTGTAAGCAACACGGACCTGAGTCTGAACAGCTCTTGCCATATTAAATATCATCTTCTCAATTTTGTAAGGAACATTGACATTGAACAACTGATGCTATTGTTCCAGATTTTATTCCTACAGGTCTTATACTGAGATATTTGTATAAAGATCAATGTAGCTACTATCATTCATTTAATGTGAACCTTGTGTATGTATGTGCTCCAATACCCATATATAGCCCCTTGCATTAGCTCACAGATACCCTGTTTCCTTTCTACACACAGATCAATACGAAATCACGCCGTACAGCAATATCACGGCTGCTTATATCACACTAACTAGAGCCCCTTTTTCAACTGAAAATCCAATTGCTGATCACATTACAGCTCTTAGTGGAACTACGTATTATAACTTTTGCGTAGCTAAATAGTTATATACCTACTTCTCACTAAAATGACGCGTAATGCCATAACTTGATACTGAGCTTCTTATAATTGCTGCTAAGACTGTGGCTAAAATAATTACAAAGGCAGACAGCGCCCGATAATAATCAAGCCAACCAATTTTCTCCCCCACCGATGAAAACTTGTTAGCTTTCTCAGTTGTACCAAGGCAATCTCACAATGTGTGTTTGGACAAGAGTTAGAAAAACTTCTGCCATAATTGTGATTGCAGCACTTTTAGTCAATTTCACCTGTTCGATCTCTAGTTTTAGCTTTTTAAAAATCTGTACATGAGCATGTAGCTAATAAATTGAGAAGGCATTATATTTTACTCACTAGAGTCAGAGTTACGTCACTATAATACACTTGTTGGGGCAAGAATGCACTGTACATACATATGTGGCTAAAATCAATTCTTACGGCAGACATACGTACCAACTACTGCACTGGTTGTCTAGATTTCCAGAGTTTCATGTTTGCTCTAATGAAGTTTTTCCTTGTCTGTGACAGGAGGAGAGGTGGTGTAGCTCTGTGCTGGACCTTGGCTCCGGTGGCGGTGGGAGGAGAGTAGACTGCAGGTCTTCCCACTATCTCGTAGCACCACTCAGTGGACTGGCACTGGAAGGGAAGGAGTTTTATACGTGTAGGTAGGTGGCAAGAAGTATATACAGTGTTTACCAGGGTGGAGGATACATCTAATAATGAGTGGAGCAAGGCAATCAAACCTACACCAGAAGCAAGGCAATCAACCGATACCAGGACAAACCGATACCACGAAACCTAATTAGTGGAACAGGGCAATGCATAACATTGCAATACACCAGGATAGACTGTTTTGCAAAGAGGACTTGAACCTAAGACTGTCTGCTCTCTAGGCAGAGCACTCTATCCACTGAACTATACCAGGGCAGCTGGGCAGGCAAGGCTCAAAGTCTGCTGTAAAGCTCCAGGAAAAGGAAAAACCAACTCTTTGCTATGGCACAAAAAGCATCAATTCTTCTATCAGGACGTACATTAACTATGAGTCTTGCTTTGTGGACACGGCCGTAGATACGTGGTTTGTAGGCGATGAAGAAGAGTGTTCCTCTGCTGTTGACTGGAGCTAGTTCCCCACTAGTGGGAGAGACAGTGATGTCAGGGTCTGACCCCATGGGCCAGGTGGGCAGTAAATGGAAGTGGATGCCTGCCAAAGAAACACATCATACAATAAGAGTTGTGGTACGTACAAGAATGAAAGAGGAAGACTTTGTGAATAGCATGTTATTTTTGGCCCTGAGGTATGTAGCAGTACTCACTCCTGCATGCTTGTGAGTCGAAACTGAATCTGAGTCTCTCTGTTGAGGGAGGTGGCCTCGATGACGATGACATCATCAGGGTCGGCCATGTTGGCGCAGAGGTGGAGAGGAAACTTCCAGACACCTCCAGAGCCACTGCATCTCACATTCAGCTCCACAGTACAGCTGTACGTATAATTATACAGGAAGAATATTAGATGTGGTCAAGGGACATGCTGTACATGTTCCACCCACCATAATATGGCTGCCTAGTTTCCTTGATGAACCAAAATAGGAAACAAGCAATAGTTTGTTTCCTTACCATAGAGGCCAACACCCATAAATCAACATCACAACGTGCACTTTGAAGCTCCACAGAAACGGGTCCCAAGTATGCTGTGTTTGTAAGGAAGGAATGTGTGTATATACCTGAGTGCCCTTGGTGGGACAAAGACAAATCCAAATACGAGCTTCACGTGACCTTCTTCGCTGACCACCCTCCTCAGCAGTTTCACTACGACACAGTCTCGAATGAGGTCAGAGTACTCGCCGTCCACACACACCAGCTCGTAGGAATAGTGGCCATCAGCCTCACTCTGCTGGGGGAGACCCTGGTCGTTACCAGAGGAGGTATCGAGATTGGGAGCCTTTGAACGAAAAATGGCTGCATCCTTCATCTTGCGACTGACAAGCATCACCTCTAACTTCTCCTCGACCCTCTCCTTTGCCTGGCAGACTATCTTTGGAGCTGACTTTGGGGACAGAGGGCTGAACTGGGGCTGGCCGATGATGGGATACCGCCACACTAGTTTGTTCTCGCTCCTCGTTCCTTCGGTGCTCACGGTCATGTTAGTACGGTGTGTGTGCATCTCCTCGGGAACAAACATGACGGGAATGTCCAGAGAGACTCCTGGACGGAGTAGGATCCCGTGTGTGCGTTTGAGGAGGAGGCAGAAGCTCTCCAAAGGGTGTGTGTCACAGAGAGTGACTTGGAAGAGGGTGGGGGTGTCCAGAGGGTTGGTGAAAGAGACCACGTGTGTCGTGTTGGAGTTGAGGCTGGCCTGGATGGTGGTGGGCTCCATTTGGGAGGGCTCCGAACCCTCACCTTGCAGTATGAAGACCTGCTCTCCAAACTACGGCACAATAAAAGTAGAAAGTGAATGCAAAATCCTACATACAGGTTCTCCCCGTTCATGGTTACATGGGTAATGAAAAACCCTAATGCAGTGTTAAAGGACAAAATGTGGGTATGCCTAGGCCTGCATGGACAGTGTGCCATTTATACGATAAACCAGTCACTGTGCTCCCCCCACCCTTAGGTTTCAGTGTATACTATGCAAAACCTCTTGCTAAGAGGCATTTATTCCCATGCTCCCATGGTATCCTCTCTGTGAACATGGTCACCTGTTGGCTGGTGAAGGAGATGTGTGCCATATGGTCTCCTGAGCCAACACAAGATGGTTTGAACAGTACCGGGACATCAATACTGCCTCCAGCCTCTACCTCCACCTGAACAACCACATTAAAAGATACATTGTTTAGAGTTACTACCAATATAAGTGGACACGTAATGATGGGTGGGCTGGGTGTGAGGAGCTGCATTAGAAAAAGCAACCCAATTGCGTCTAACTTCTCCCGTCATTCATCTCAACCAAACTCATCCCATCACTGTCAAGCGATAAACTTTAACTTGTACGTAAGTATGTTTGAAGTACAGCACATTTGATTGTGGTATAATAAAGTTTTGAACTAACGTAATGTCTACCTGGCTGTCAGTGAGAGCTGGGATGATGAAGTGTCTGGTGTTGGAGCACTGACAGGAGAACACCACAGAGTGCCCCAGAGGATTCCTCAGAGGAACCGACACTTGCTCCGTTCTATGAGGTCAACAATCGTGTGATAGTCCGTGTGAGGCCAAGTGTAAGAATTGTTGCACCCATTGCGCAGAAAGTGTGTTAGTACACATCTTGATTGGCAATTACACTCTGCTAGTTCACTTTATGCTGTATGTACGTACAGTAGAGTGCATGTGAGTATTTCTTTGTGTTGGCAAACAGTCGATGGATAAACATGAATGCACTGCTTTTCCGAGGAACTACGTATGACCTATTATGATAGGAATTTCCTGAGTGTCTAACTTGGATGCTAATTGCTAATTGACATTGCTATACATAAGTGTGAGCGACACATATGTAGGTAATGTACTGTACTGACATCAATGTAGCGAAAATGGATTTTTCCTTCCTTTACAAAAACCTCGGCAAAAACAAGTGTGTCAATATCACTGAATTTCCATTATTTTTGTTCATACCTCCAGTGCTATATCGTGACTAAAATGTGGCAGATGACCTTAGTGAGGAGTACCCAAGAGGTTTAACTTACTTTCCCAGCTTGCAGGTGACATTAGGGAGGGTGATGGGAGTGGGGTCAGTGGCTGTGAGTTGGAGCTGGTACCAGAACTCCCCGTCAGGACCCCCATCAAACACCACCCTGCAGAGGTTGGTGGTGTCAGCATGAAACACGTATATTACACATGCAGATAAACTACCCTCTCCCTCCTTACACGCTTATAAAACCATTGTATGTACGTGTACCATAGTACCACATAGTAGCATCTATCATTTTGTAAGTGTTGCATGCTCCATACATATATGTGGGCACAATTTCAGGAACCAATGTACGAATACAAAACGAATAAAATTTCAACGAGGACACCAAGATACATAAATCTGCATTACCTCTTGCACCCGACTTTACTGGGAAAGAATGGGCAAATGACTAGACGATGCCTCACTACTCTATAGTACGTATGTATTCCTGATACAATGTACACTCACTCTCCTGCAGTGTCTCCAATGAGAGAGGGTGCAAAGGTGAGAGGGTAGGATGTGCTACTGTTGGCATCAACAACCAGAGAGCCAGGCCCAGAGACATACTCCCCACCTACCACCACCTGTGTGGATATACACGAATTATTCCTATTACAGTTTTTGGCCGAAGTAAGCTTTACATGACGTAGCGTAAAACTTTCGAGGTAAATTGAGTAATTGTGGAGGTTCCCTTAGGCATACAATTTGTAATGTCACATATGTATATTCCTCAACAGCTTGGCAGCATAGAAAAGTGTGTGCTCCCCACTTACGGTGAGTTGGAGGGGGTGTGGCTGAGAGTTGGTGACGTGGAGACGTGTGAGGGTGGAGGAGAGGGTGGGGCAGGTGAGGGGGACCACCTGGTCGGGCGGGGCTGGCTCCGCCCTCACCTCAATCTGGAACCAAACGTGGTGTGGGGCACTGGATGCTTGACCTCTCCTGCTAGACACCGCACTCAGACTTCTCCTATAGACGTATATACATTATGTATACACAATTATCAAGTATATACACTTATGGATATATTTAGTACAGTAAAGTACGTGTATGTAGTTGTCTAAATTGTACAAACACAAATATTCATGAATGTACGTACTCCATTTACGGGGAGTAACATACAGAGGAAAGGGCATGGCTAGTAATTATCGGTGGATAAGAGTAACAGCTACATATACCCAGCAGATAGTTTGTTTTTTTATGCCTGAGTACTGTTGAATGCATGAATGGTTGACTAGAATGGCTGACACAGAGTGTGCAATTGCTTTGAGCAAACAATGAACATATGTTTTCTACCCATACCATATATGACCCTGGGCACATTATTTCCGCTGCAGTATTAATTGCAGCACTGGTGTAACTGATAGGTTTCAACACACCACAAATGGACAAGGTATGCCCTGGGGAACTGCCTATGTGAGTGTGGTGAACGTGTAATGTTACGTCGGTACCCCAAGGTAGAGTACATATATAGTAGTAGTAACTGGGGAGTGGTGGCTGGCTGCCAGTACATACTTGGATAAATTCAACTAACCAGACATGGGGTGCATACCAATGTCCGTGTGTAATCAGTCGTGCATCTTTTTTGGCAATTGTTGCTACCAATCAATCTTGATAAAATTTGGAACTACATGTAGGGTCAGGGTGTTGTTTACACACGTGTACATTCCAATTCACATGGACCAAGTTGTGTGTTGACTTGTTTGTTTTGCCTTTGCCTACCTCTTTTTTCACATGCATACACGTAGCTGTCGCAAGTTTGAGAGTCCCAGCTAGGGTAGCTTCTTCGTTGTCCTGGGTGTACAATTGCATCGTTTGTTTTGTCTTTCTTTTGTGTTTATCTAGACTAAAATGAATGTAAGGCGAGTGAGTTCAAGAGCGCATGCATGTGGCGTTACGAAATTTCAAACTTTGTTACGAGTTTTTAGAAACATAATGGTATGTGTGACGGGATAGATAAGCAGAATGTAAGAACCCTCAGTCAGAGGACTAAGTTACACTCTCACTGAGGTCCTGATGTCCTGATACAATGTGTACATACAAACATAATAAATGGCAGCCTGTCTCACCTATCTCTTGTGCCGGGAGCTTGAGCAACAAAGGCCACAGCTCCAGAGACCACTCCCCTCCTGATTGGTCTAACGAGCAGGGGGTAGTCCACCAAGTCCCCGCCAGTGATGGTGACGGACGGTGGACCGCTCACACACGTCAGGTCAGACTCGACACGGAACTCTGTCGTTCTCTCATTGTGGTTGGGGACATGCAGAATGTGAGTCACACTGCATTTGAAGATTTTAAAACTGTTATTCACTTCAAAGAAGAACCGATGCACTACATATTCGATCACAAAACATGTGAAAAACCTTTTGTGTGAATCTCCACACTTCCTAGACACAACTGCAACGCCAGGATGGCTATAATAATGGATGCCATACCCGACATCAAAGAGTGTAGAGTGTCAGGTTTGCAAGCCGCAGCATAAATATTATGTACATCTCCATTTGCTAGTCCTCTGTTTGTACTATATTCATAATATTGTGTTTTGTTATAACAAGTGAAGCTATTGTTTCTCCTTTATAGTAGGGGAGTAAAGCGTTGATTGTAGGTTATTTCACACCTACCAACACACTACTATATACTAGGCAGTTATGGTGCAGGCATGTATGTATGTGTGTGGACCTGGTCTTGGCACGTGTGTGGATGAGGACATAGTCTTGGGCCAGTGGTTTCTCAGCCACTCCTCTCAACTGGAACCTGTGCTCTGTGCCATCATTTCCATTCACCAGACACAGCTCTCCCTGAATGTGGACAACACTCTCTCATGACACACGTACATACGTCCGTACTATACATATGTACAGTACATACAGACTTGTACAGTGTAGAGCATTGTAATGAACCTGCATAGTGAGATACAGAGAGCCAACTTTGACACTATTGTTGGGTTCAAAGCTGCACTGTAAATGCATAGCCGTATGTTAGTGTTTGAGTCTATGAGTATAATACTGGATTTGCCCTTGGTACCTCACTTCTGATCGATCATAATGCTTATGGTGGGAGGGTCTCTACATGTTGACTGTTAATTTCGCTTTGACACCCACCTTCTTTTGTGTCTCAGTCTCAGGAAATTAAAACTACTCAGTTCCTACATACTATGGCTGCAAGCTAGAGCTGCTTGTCTAGGCTGTGGGCAGTGTGGGGGCGCATGGTTATAGTGGTTGCTAGGATATCCAACACCCATAATGGAATGCTGTTACTATGGCCTTAGGTATGCCAGAGGAAGTAAGCAAAGATATACAGGAAGTGGAGAGGATATTAAAGCTCTAATTAGATAACTTATTCCCTGACTTCACACCTCTTCTTCCTTCAAAATTTGATTGAAGACACATCAAAGACATGCATACATAATAGATAGCCTAGTCCAAGATCAGGGCCCTTGCACTGTAACTAACAGATTTGACTTCAACTGCATGTACAAGTGAAGTTCCCTATCCTCTATAGTATGAACCAAACTTGACATGCACTGCATGCGGGCATAATGATGAGTCCCATGTGACTGAGTAACTATCGATATTTCGTGTATGAACATGTATAAACAAACATCACATCAATGTCAATGTGCACACTGTAGTAAGAAGTACGTACATAGCTACGTACAGGAAACATGGAGATGTTTTACTTCATGGTACTATACCTCTACTGTTCCCTCTTTCTTGGGGTTAAAGGTCAAAGGATAGGCAGTGGTAGAGAGTGGTTGTGAGAGGATAGAGTCTGGTCCGCTGAACCCCGACCCCCGCAGGGTGGCCCCCAGCAGCCACTCCACGGTACTGGGGTTTACCTGAACTCAGTCAGAGACATGAGAGATGAAAGCTATAAATTATGTCCCTCAGATTCGTTGAAACACACATGTATTATTATGGTAAAATTTCAATGGATCTTGAAGATGCACATTAGTACGTAGAGGCTTACTCGTTAATGTAGATTAGCCTGGACATAATCTTATAATGTGATGTGTCCTGGGAGCAAGTTGCTGCATAGAACATGCACATTTCCAGAAGCTTCATGTGTAAATGTAGCTTAACCTGTGCAGAGAACACTCCTTGTACGTACGTAGTTAGATGTAAGAGTCAACGCTAGCAAGGTCTCCTATGAGGGGATCGAAGATCTGAGTATACTCACAATGGGGATGTCCTGGGTGAGAGGCTGCATGGCAGTGGTGGTAAACTCCAGCTGAACCTCTCTGCATCTCTCCAACACCGTACTCTCAATGATGAACACCCTCACCTCGCGGGACGACCTGAGAACCACACGACACTCAAACTGGCCCGACTCCTCTGATACAAACCCCACCGTACACCTCCCCACCCCTCCCCTTCTCCCCGGGACACGCACGATCTCCGGCAATTCGAAATTCTCGCCCGATCCCTCCACGCTGAACACGAGCTCATCCAGGTGCTCCACGACGTTGTCAGTGGCAGAGAGAGTCTTCTCTTGGAGTTGGAAGAACTCCCTGGCAGTGGCGAGTGCTGCATTCTCGAGGGAGTCAGTGAGGACTCGTCGTCGCAGCTCCTCTGGGTCCATGCCCCACTGGCACACCTCCAGGAGGGCTTTCTCCAGCCCGGGGTTCTCTGAGTGGACAAACAGGTCCTCCTGGACTCTCTCACCTACGTAGGCCTTTAGGTGGAGCGTCTGACTGTCTCGGTTGACAAAGAATCGAGAGTCCGTTTCGTCGCTCGTTTTCGGGAGAATTGGGAAGGGAAGACTGACGGTAGCGGCGAGGGATAGGACGATCACCCCCAGGGCATCGTTTCTCAGGACCACAGTGCAGTGACGTGGCTCTGTCTTGAGGGGGACAAAGGTTAGGTTGAGTGTGGTTGGGATGCCTGGGTTGAGGGTGACTCGGTTGGCATGTGGGTTGAATGACGTCATTCTGTCTGTAGTACCTGTGTAACAGTGTGGGCATTGGTACATACACTATAGTACATGGTATGTAACAGCGTGGGTGTACATGTATCACTACATGTACATGTGTATGTGTACATAACATGTGTGGTATGCACTATGCCCCTGGGAACGGTAGTAATATCTACTGCCCGAGTTCTACATCACATTTGCTCACACACCACATTCATACGTGTATTCATATGTAGAGTGCTACTAGTAACGTGGACAGACGACCGACAGAGATGTGGGACTATTGAAAAATGGCCCCAGGCACAACAAACATTGACGGGATGTCATTCCCATACCAGTACATGTGTAGTAACCCACTGAGAGGAAGCTTTCCTAGAAAGGCACTACGAAACGTAATTCAAAATTAGTATGTACACACACACGATGTGAAGTATAAGTTAGAGATGGTGTGTGACATACGTTTCTGAAGTGCAGTGACTGGAATTACTCCAAGTGATCGGTTTACCGTCTTTTTCCTGGGAAAAACAGTATGTCGTCACAGTAGACGGTACCAGGATGAATGTGTAGCAGTAAACATTGCTACAATTTAGGCACAAAAGTTGGCAATGCACATACACGTACCTACGTACCATTCATACAACATAATACTTACATTACCAGTGGTTCCAGGCAGAAGAATTGAGTAGCACAGGTGTATGTACACATTATTATGTTGTTGGTAATATACTGCAGTGCATTACGTACATTTTGTGGGTATTAAATTTGCAGGATAGAGACAGCTGGGTGCACATGAGTAATGCTATAATTGGTGAGGGAAGCTACGTAGCTATGTACGGTTCACATAGTTGAACTGAGTCCTCTATGCATGTTGTATCCAACGTTGCCATATGTCGTATTTAGTAACTGAATTATGCAATAGTTTGCTGCATGTACCTGTAATTCTCATGTTTCTCGCCAAAATGATTGGTTTCGCTATAGTGTAATGTGTGTACCAGAGCCATGTATGTATGTAGAGTACATGTACATTGCTAATGTGTAAGTAAATGTCACCTGTTAGCAGGAGAGAGAGAAGAGAGGAGAGAGACGTCAGTAGTCTCATACAGACATACATCAAAGACAGCAGAGGACTGGAAGTGGCTGGCCACTGTGAGACTAACACTCTGTGACTGGTAGAGAGCCACGCCCACCTGGACTCTAGACTGCCGGGACGCATACAGATGAGAGAGAGAGAGAAGAAGGAGAGAGGAGAGTGCATTTACTGTAGTATATTTTTGGGTCCCTTACAAATGTATAGGAGCGGTAATGAGACCAAAAAACGAAGACTTACCATTTTTGTACCCTTCTCACTAGCTGTAGAAAGACTTAAATAGTTAAACAGTGTCGGGATTAACAGTGTGCATGAATACGGGAGTTGAAAAAAGTAGCTGCTGCAGTGAGATTTAGGATTGCCCATCACTAGAAACTAGGTAATATCCACAGGACAAGTGAAATGAAGACTGGTAGGTCAGGTTGTGTACACACATGTACTATATATATATAGCTGCTATAAGGCATGGAGGGTGCGTGCAGTGACTACATAAATATACCTGAGGAATAGCTCCAGTGACTCTGCCCAGGAGGTGGAAGGCAAGAGAAGTTCCGTGACCTCCGTCAGAGACCAGCAGAAGCACAGCTTCACTGGGGTCCAGGTGACCTGTGTACCCCACCTCTACACTGACACTCTTACCACCTTCAACCTGTGTGTGCATGTGTGTGTGTGTGTGTTGCAGGAAGGGGAGCAATTCTTTGTCGATGACTATATAGCCATGCATTTGGAAGTGTCCCAATTTGTGGGCAAACACAATTTCATGAAGTAATAGACATCTGTCTGCATGTCTGTCTGTCTGTACAGGTCCAGCCCATGTGGTACATGGAGTGCCCGCGGGCTAAAAAGGTTGGTCAGTATACTGTTTTACTGTTGACGTCGGAGCATGCTTGGCATGCATATGCACTTTTGTAATAATTGTGGAGGGGCCCAGTCATAGCCAGAGGGGTTTTACTAAACTAGCTGCCCATATATGTTTCTTTGGCTCAACATTTGGGTGAGGTCCTGTCTTTTGCATGACTGAAGATCAGCAGCTACTGTACAATACCGAATACACACTGTATGTATCCCAGGAGGAAGCTATCCATAATGAGCTATCTCAAGTCAGGTAAACTGGGGTAAAGGCAGCATTTTTTTTGACTAAGGTGCCAAACATAAAATTGCCCATAATATTTCACCCTACCAATGTACTGCATTGCATCTGTAAATCTGTATTCTACATGTCAGGTACTCCTTACTGTTATGGTCTCAGGTGATCCAACAATGATAAATTTAGAGGCATGTTCTCCCCTCAGCAAAGCTCTGTACTTCAGGGTCTTTGTACTAGGATTGTCCAGAGTGATCTGCAGGAAATAATAGTTGCTACACATACAGCTACACTGATAAAGGCTGTATACGTAGTACACGATGCTGCAACATCCGCTTGTACAGTACGTACATGTATGCATGCTTTTCAAGATTATTACTCTCATATAATGTAAAATTTTTCATGTCATAATACGTATGTACAGATATTAAGTCAATGTGTAACCCTTCTTTACAGCTTTTATGCAAGTGATAATAATTGCACGTACATATTTATTAAAGCATGTACGTACCTTTTGCCTGATTTTGGAGTGAAGCAGTCCCTCCAGGAGGATGGTTCGGGAGTGGGGAGGAGGGAGAGAGAGGGGGAGGGGGAGAGGGAGGGGGTCTGGTAGAGATGGCAACACAGGAGGAGGAGAAAAACTGGTGTTGGAGTTGTCAGATCTGATGCCTGGAGTCAAGATAACGGAACATGCAATTATAATTGAAGAGAGGGTTTTAAAACAGGAGTAAAGCAATTACATATGAAAGAAAAAGAGTACAGTTCCGTACTTTTGTGTGCATGATTACTACAGTACGTACGTGTGTACATGGACGAAGGATGTTCAAACAAACACAAGCAAGTGTATAGAGCATGACCTCTAAATGGCCCTACATACATTACGTACGTGATTTGTCGTGCATGTACAATACAGAAATTGTGCAATTCGGACAACAAGTTGGGTTTGCTTTGGTTGCCAATAATGTGTGTGCACACACCTATTAACCTCCGTTCTTGAGCTAACGAGGAAGAGAGAGGGAACGAGTGAGTTTGGAGAGAAAGAGGACAAACAGTAATTAGCAGAAGACTCTCGAAAGCTTACGCACAAACACACCAGCACTGTAGCTAAAATTGAATTTCGACAAAAGACATTCTCTCCTGTCCTACGTTAGAGCAATGGCATTGCCAAAAATTACTTCAGACCGCATGTTCACACGCAGAAATTTGCACTCTGCATTCCAGAAGGCTGGCGTACTTGGCAGTCGTAGGCGAGTCCAATGTTGGCGAGTGCGTCCATCAGTACCAGGGCATTGTGGGAGCACTGCTCCGGACTGGATGGGTGAGAATACAGAGTTGAGAAGTGAGACAACACCTGCAGAGGAGGCAACATTGCACGACGCATTACAGTGGAATGAAAGGAGATGGCATCTGTGCATTACTCTTGAACTTCTACCCTTTGGTGTTTAGTTCCAATTTCTAGTCTGGTTTAAAGGCTCCCATAATACACACTATGTATGTAATCCAAGTGGGAGTGCATGGGTTGAAAATTCCACACAACAAAACCCAGGATAACTCAAGAAAAAAACTGTCCTACAGGTATGTACATACAACACTCGAATGCACGAAAATCGTTTCTTTTGGGCAAAAGTGATAGTCTCATTGCATTCATTATATCACCAGATGCTTGGCTTCCAGCCAAAGGGATGGAAAGTTGTGTGAAGGGCAGGGGTATCTTACGAGGAAGGGGCAGTAGGCAGACAGGACACAGGCCAACACAGTACAGTCCATCAGGTCCATGTCGAAACTCACTACCTCTCTCACCTGGTCACCTGCACACATGTGTATACATGATGACTTTGGGCTATACTGTAGTACATAAACGTTGTTTGTATGCACAGGGCACGGTACTACGTATGTGCTTAACTAACTGTACACAGGAAATCTGTCTCTTTGTTAGATGGGAAGTCAGTACAAAACTAGAATGAAGCTACTACCTAGATATCGAATTTCATGCACTGTTGACGTATGGGATTGAGAGCACGGAGAGAGCTGTACAGGCCAGCAAATTCTGACAATACAATACACTTCATGGAATTACGTATGTGATATTATTCATATTATGCCCAGCGATGCAACACACAATCACGATTAAAAGACACATATGTATTATTGTAGAATCACAATAGTGAACAGATACGTAGGTTACACAGGGACTCTATAGTGTATCTCAGTGGGACTCTACGGTACATATTCCCACCACTCACCAGTGGATCCCAGTACAGTGTGTCTCTGTTGGGAGTAGTGATGGTTGAGCCAGGCCAGAATGACTCTCTCTGGGTGACTGTAGACGTTACTGCTGGTCCCAGCAGAGCCCACGCTCAGGTCTCCCACCTTGTCTCTCAGGTAGGCTGGGACCTGGCGAACCACTCGAGGCAACACCAACACCTGCATTCATGTACATACATGTTGTAGATTTGAACCCCTACCAGCTGAGTTGCTCAGTTGGCAGAGCACTGCAGAGTGTCGTGGGTTCGAATACCACCAAGGGCAGCTCTTCTTTGGAAAGAGCTGTCCTGGGTGTAGTTGACTTGTTTGCTTTGCCTTGCCTTTCTACCTCACTGCCTAGTACAGTTGATGCATGTGTATGATCTGAATGGTCTGATGCTGTCCACTTGTGACTCAGGGTGATCGAGTTCTAACTGGGAACACACTGTGCCTTGGTCGTTTTGCAGACCAGTAAAGTTCAACGGTCATTGTGTAGGCTTCTATTGGCGGATTTCAACAATATGGCACTTGAATGGCACGACTGCTACACTGCTACTGAATACATACGTATGAAATATCATCTCAATGTACAGCACAGTATACATATATGTGAAGAGGCACGGGAAAAGGGACCTATATAGCTGGAATGTGAAAATTAAGTTTTTGAGGGTGAAAAACCACAAAAACTTAATTTTCACATTCCAGCCATATAAGGTCCCTTTTCCCATGCCCCCTCACATATACTGAAAGCAGCACTTTTGGCAAGCAGGTTTGGGACATGGCACGAGCAGTTGTCAGGAGTATAGAGAGACACCTTGACTATGAGGAGGAGGAGGTAGGTCCAGGCCTGGTAGGACCTGTCCTGGAATTCCTCCGGGGAGGTGGGGGGAGGGAGGGGGGAGGGGCAGTGCTGGCAGTCCAGTCGCCACTGCTGGTAGTCTCTGTAGTCCAGGAGACTGTCTGGTGTCAGACACCATACCTCTCCTCCCTGGTTCCTGCATTCATCAGTGAGATCAAACAGTGCCTGATACATGACATCTTCCTTCTAAGGTAGTATATACAGCATGCAAAGTACCAGCACTCTTCCCCCTATTGAGCTAAAGAGAAATCTGAAATGTCTATGTGCCACACATTAACAAAACAGTTTCATCACCAGAAAAGGTTGCATCAGTTATGAACGCAACGTATGTAATAGGCACTAAATCATAAGTAAGGTATGAAAGAAAAGCAAGTGCAAAGCAAAGAAATAAAGGCACACAGGTGACACATAAGTATGTCTCTACCTGCATCAAAGAGCACTGCAAATATGTACGTAGTGTACAAAATTGCCCGCACAGTATTGAGGGATGAAGGTGTGATAATGTGTACCTGAGGAAGGAGATGATGGTGGAGAGAGTGGAGTACTGCTGGTTGATCTTCTCAGAGGGAGTGGTGCAGGGAGGGGGGTTCATGGGTATCCCTGGAGGGAGTCGACCACACAGATGAGTCACCAGTTCCATCAGCTGGCCTCTCTCCACTCTGATGGACGACCTCTGCTTCACCCCTCGCTTCGGGACATCTTGAGGGAGAAACAGGTGCTAATGTTAGCACAAAAAACTGAATCTCAGCCTCTCTTTAATGTATGTATGCTATTCTGTTTGATGGTTTATTGAGCTAAGCAAGTGTTATATATACCTTGCATAGCTGTCTGAAGGAGTGATATCAATTTCTACCTACAGTGTATCATGTGCATACGTAGATGGTGCTGTCCATAGTGTATTGCTCTAAGTTACGTATATTGTACTGTTAAATTTAACACTTGCTAATAATACATGGCATTCCATTAGCAAGTCCAACGAGATGAGATTTGGTTCTTGCTGTGGATAGTGTTTGTGTCCATTGAGGAAGAGCTGAAGTGCTCACCATGTCCAACTCTGTCTCTGAGGTCAGTAGGAGAGGTGATGTGTCTCACTCCCTGGGCCCATCCGTAGCAGGACACCCACCGGCATACTGCATTCACACTCTCCTGCACAGACACACACAGTGACATTGTGGCTGTTTCTCTGATTAGCATGTACTGTATTAGTTAAAGTTAAGTACAAGTTACAGCACTGTGCGAGTGTACTACGGGCACTACTGAATGCAGTTTGCAGTTAGAACTAATATGAACCAAGTAGCCTCAGTCAAAATATCTTAGTACTGTGAAATAAACCACTGACGAATGCATTGCACAAACGACATCAAGTTTGGTAAAAGGCTTGTCGTACTTACAGGCCCTTTGAATGGAAACAGGTCCTAGACAGCCTTGCTTAAAAAGACTTCAGAAGCCTTTCATAATACGGTCATTGCAGCACTTGTAAAAAGCATAGGAGGTCGAAGAAGGAACAGATAAGAGAGAGAGAGAGAGGAATGGATGAAAGAGGGAGAGAGAGTGAGGAAATAGGGTACGAGAATAGAGAAAGAGAGTGGGGGAGCATACCTGCATGAAGATGTCACTGTAAGAGAAGTCCTCGGAGAAGGAGGCAGTGAGGGGAGTGTGCGAGAAGAGCCCTCTGGTCTGAGAGGTGGCCAGAGACACTGCTGATGAGGCTGACACTCCTCCTCCACTACTGCTGTTGACTGCAGTGGGGACACAGGAAAAAAACGTAGCAATATTATGTTGGAGACTTGCCACGGGTGGAAGCATGGTGTATATTTTCCCCCCAGGTTTGTGAATGTGCTAGCAGAACTATCTGCTTCAATTTTATTATTACAGGGACTGCGTGCCATGTTCGACGAGACGTACCCTGACCCCGTACGAGTGTTGAGTATCGGAGAGCCTGTGGAGATGTACCCTCATCATCAGTAACAGTTGCATACCCCATCCCTACTTGTTTTTGTTTTTATTGCAGTATTCCCAAAAAAAAGAGGTGAGGTGGAGATGGAGTACACAGCTTTTTGTCTCTCCATTGAAACTGAGGTCTGTTTATTATCACATGGTGGATGCACAAGGCAAGAGTGTGTCTTCTTAGAAATAGGGTTATGAAAACTGCTACACCTTATGGATGCAAACTGGAGAGCCCACGAGGCCATAAGCTGTATATACGTAGCGTTTTTGCATCCTGCAAAGCAAAAATGAAGAGTCTCCAGCTAGTTGTGGTGGCAGCGTTTATCTTCCAGACTGGAGCTTCTCAATGTGAAGGTGAGCAAAATACTTAATGGAACAGTTATAATAGAAGACAAACCACTGAGGGTATTGTATGTACTTCACCTGAAGTGTATTGCAACAGCATGATATCTGTTACGAAAAGAACAAAGATCTGTTTATGGTCACATGGTGAGAAACACAATGAGATGGTTATGGTGACAACTCCCATTTGGTTATAAAGTGAAGCATAAAGTGCATATCTGTAGCTCTGTATGGCCATGTGATGAAAGAATGAAGAGTCTCTGGGTGGTTGTGGTGGCAGGATTTATATTCTCTCTACTGCAGATTGGAACTTGTCAATGTGATGGTGAGAATTGCATGATAGAAATAACGTGAGACAGTAAAAATGTTCTACATCTCTCAGTTGTGAGGCTAGCTGCAGCAGTACATGAGACACTGAGTCCATTCATGACTGAAATGAGGGAAGATCTTAGCAGAATTGAAGGTAAAGTTGATTCTCTGAGTGGAGATATTGAAGAACACAAGAACAAGACGGCTGCTGAACACAGTATGACAGTGACGACTGTGCACTCTGAACTGGAGCGAAATGTACTGACCAATGTTACAAAGGAACTGAAGAAGACTGCTGACTATATACTTGAACAACTACCCCCATATGAGTGTGGAGGTACAGGAGGTTGGAGACGTGTGGTCTACCTGAACATGACAGACCCCAACACCAACTGTCCCTCTGGCTGGCAGCTCACTAGTCACTCCAAGAGGACCTGTGGTAGAGTTAACACCAGCATTCTCTCTTGTGACTCAGTCTTGTTCCCTGTCGGTGGAGATGACTACACTAGTGTGTGTGGCTCTATCAGAGCCTACCAGTATTACCGGGTTGATGGATTTCAGGCCTACCATCTTGGACGTGTGACCACAATAGAAGGAGCCTATGTTTCAGGTGTCAGTCTCACACATGGCAGTCCACGACAACACATCTGGTCATTTGCTGCTGCTACTACTGAGACCTCAACTAACAATGAAGGATGTCCTTGTACAGGTTCCAGTTATACCGCCCCACCATTTGTGGGTGGAGACTACTTCTGTGAATCAGGAGTCAACTCAGGATTAGTTATTAGAGTCTTCTATCCAGATGATCCTCTCTGGGATGGAGATGGTTGCAGTAGCAGCAGTAGCTGTTGCTCATTCAACAATCCTCCATACTTCACTAAGACACTCCCCAGCCCCACCTCTGACCCTATAGAGGCCAGACTGTGTCGATGGAACAGTGGTGATGATTCTCCGGTTGAGTTCATGGAACTCTATGTCAAGTAGAAAAACACTGAGACTATGAAGTGATGGACTCTGTGTAGTTGTGTAGTTATTGTTCTCAGTGGTATATCAGTTTAGAGGTATGCAACTGTCTCATATACATCCTGCGTGGCGGTAACTATTATTGGCACTGGAGCAGGATTGCGAGCTAGTATTTAAATTGCTGGACTGTAGACGAAGCAGATAAGACGTGTTACCTATAATAGCAAAAATAGACCACACACCAAGAGAATATGGACAGGGCCAACAACGGGGAGGTGGTGTCTGCTTGGGGGAAGGGGAAAGGGTCAATAAGATCAAAGACTGGAATGATGAGTGAAGCTGAACGTAATAGGTGTAATCATTAAAAGTTCAAGTCTCTCTTTGGGTAGCTCAACTGGTAACAACGCATCACATCGGTCAGTAGCTATCTGACAAGTTCAACCCACAGGAGGTGTTGTGATTGTGAGGTCTATCCCTAACACGAAAACTGAGAAGACAAACAGTTGAGGGTATTGTACTTCACCTGAAGTGTATTGCATTGTGTATAATAGCATGATATCTGTTACGAAAATAGCAAAGATCTGTTTATAGTCCATGGTGAAAAACACAATGAGATGGTTATGGTGACAACTCCAATTTGGTTAAGCATAAAGCTGTATCTCAGTAGCTCTGTATGGCCTATGGATGAAAGAATGAAGAGTCTCTGGGTAGTTGTGGTGGCAGGATTTATCTTCTCTCTACTGCAGATTGGAACTTGTCAATGTGATGGTGAGAATTGCATGATGGAAATAATGTGAGACAGTAAAATGTTCTACATCTCTCAGTTGTGAGGCTAGCTGCAGCAGTACATGAGACACTGAGTCCATTCATGACTGAAATGAGGGAAGGTCTGGCTGCTGTTGAAGCAAAACAAGAAGATTTTAGTGAGAAACTTATGTCTGAACTACAGGAGACAAAACAACTTCTTCATTTATCTCTGGACCGAAAATTTGTGGAGGTACAGGAGGTTGGAGACGTGTGGTCTACCTGAACATGACAGACCTCAACACCAACTGTCCCCCTGGCTGGCAGCTCACTAGTTACTCCAAGAGGAACTGTGGTAAAGCTAGCAGCACTGGCTCGTCATGTGACTCAGTCTTCTTCTCTATCAGTGGAGGAGACTACACTAGTGTGTGTGGGTTTATTACAGCCTACCAGTATGGTGGAATTGATGGGTTTGAGGCCTATGACGAGGGGATATGTGACCACAATAGAAGGAGCCTATGTTGCTGGTGTCAGTCTCACACATGGCAGTCCACGACAACACATCTGGACATTTGCTGCTGGTTTTTCTGAGGCCACACCCTCTCGGAATGATGCATGTCCTTGTGATGCTAGCATCAACATTACGGTCCCACCATTTGTGGGTGGAGACTATTTCTGTGAATCTGGAGTCAACTCAGGGGCAACTTCCCTGAAATTCTACCAGGAAGATCCTCTCTGGGATGGTGAAGGTTGTGGTAGCAGCAGTAGCTGTTGCTCATTCAACAATCCTCCATACTTCACTAAGACACTCCTCAGCCCCACCTCTGACCCTATAGAGGCCAGACTGTGTCGATTGGACGGTGGAGATGATTCTCCAGTTGAGTTTATTGAACTCTATGTAAAGTAGTGTTTTATAGTGAGACTGTGACGTTCAATGCATTTTGGCGAGCAAACACGGAGTCACACGTGCACAGCATAGCTAAAACTTTCAGTTCTGCCATTAAGAGTCATGTACTACATTAAGGCATACGGTTAAGAAGATAATAAAGAGCACTAAAGTGCAAACCCTCGGCGAACTGCGCATGCGCGCTACTGCTAATTGATGGGCTGGGATATTAGTAGTATATATGCGTTCTACTCGTGGTCTCCCGCTAGTAGAGCGCTGACATGGGCTAGCTACGGTAGTAGATAGCATAGCATGCGGGAGTCGATACATGCCATGCGTTGTGATTTCCTGAGCCTCCAGGGTACACATAGCGAGTGGATCAGGTCGCAGTAAGCCCAATGCGATCATGCATATTGGCTTTTTCGCTTGTTCTCACGGCATATCTCTCGAACGCAGTCGTTTCAGGCCCTTTTATTTTTCAGGCTCGCGTAGTTCTGAAGCCGCTGGTATCGCTAATTCGCCGCCTTGTAGCCTGTAGTGCCAGAATAAGTCTCGACCACACACACACAGACAGACAGACAAACCAACTACTGTAACCCTCGCTGCGCATGCGCGCTGAGGGTTAATTATGTATCTCACCATTGAGCATGGGTATGTGTTGGTCATTGAGCTGGACCGAAGAGATGGCAACACTCTGAGCCAGGAACTGGGCCACCGAGAGGACACTGTTATCAGCTGCCACTGCATAGGCCACTCTCACTCTGAGAGGAACATGATTGAACCAGGGCATACATAAAAAAGTCATACAGCATTAATCATATGACTGCCTAGTTGTAAGGTTTGATGCACTTATAATTGTAAGACACATGTTTTAGCCATAGCGATAATGTGCAAGGTAGCCCCAGGAACTTGAGTCAGATTGGGTTACTAACAGTCATGGACTTCAGGTCTGCCTCATGATTAAAACCAGGTGGTATGCAATACAACTGATGACAAGCAGTGCCTCCATGGATGTGTGATTGTATCACTTATGCTTGTGCCCATGTGAACACTCCTTGTGTGGCAACGTTAAAACTTTGTGTATGTGCACTTCATTCATGCAAGAGCACAATACTTAAACATGTGCACAGGAATGACAACAAGCCTGAAACAGCTGTCCAGAGCTCCACATCTTTTTTCTCTTGGCATCACATGGTCTAATACCTTCATGGGCACATAATTATTATGTGACTCACTTCTTCCCAGAGAGTGTGTCTCTGAAGAGGAGGTGTCCAGAGAGAGACACTGGCTGGGAGGAGGAGAACTCCAGCTCCACCGGTAGCTCCACCCCCTCTGACCCACACTCTGACACCTCAGTCCCTCTGGGGAACTGTACTGCCAGCGAGGTACCCTCCGGAGGCTGAGGTACCACCACTTCCACATCCACAGCACTGGAAGGAGAGAGATCCTGTCATATATTGAACCTCAATTTTGGGTTATAGCTGTGACTTTGAGTAATTTAAGTTGAATTTAGCTATGTTTATGGCCACCCATGACTGCATTGCAAGTGTTCTGAAGACTCCACCCATTAAGGTATTTCATATTATTTTGCTTGTAAGCCTGTAAGACCACCCGGTAAACTGTAGAGTTCTTGTAACTTTGAAACTGGATAAGTGCTGTTGGCTACTACCTCAATACGACAGTTTGCTAAAATGGATGAATTGTGGAAGAATAGAGGCAGGGTGATTGAAGTAAGTGAGACAGGCAAATTGTGTGTAAGAGCTGTGCACAAAACAACAAAAGAAGAGCCCCAGGGGAGATTTGAACTCCCGACCCCTGGTTTACGAGACCAGTGCTCTAACCACTGAGCTACTAGGGCCAGTTGCTCACACAGGCGATATGTAGTGACAACAATCAATTAGTGCGCCGAGTGCTTGTTACTGTAACCTGCAATGTGTTTTGCAGCCAGCAATTCCAAGGAGCCCTAGTAGCTCAGTGGTTAGAGCACTGGTCTTGTAAACCAGGGGTCAGGAGTTCAAATCTCCTCTGGGGCTTTCTTTTCTCCTTTTTTTAAAGTGAGCAAATTGGATGGATTTACGATTATTGTTTTTGCGTTAAACACCAATGAGAAATTTTTTTACATTAACGGAGGTTCTCCTAGTAGTGCATTTTAAACATCCTGCCAAACCCCCATTTCCCAGGCTGTCTACCATTCTTCGTACAAGCAGGATAAAATTTCATGCATGACACATGTGCTTTTGAATTTCCACATATTTGTTAGCGTTGTACATTACAGAGAACTCGTATTACTCTTGGCTCTTATTGAGAGTGATAACCGATGATGGTGATCCTTGCTACGTATGTATGGGTGTTAAGGTTAAGTAAATCTTTTAGTGAGGACAACCTCATTGACTGTAATAGAGTGTTAGAAACCCTTCACTGCTCCACAGACGTTCTGGCATGGACGGTTCTGGTGTGTATCTGGTGTTCTGTGATACACGAGCAGCCCTAGTAGCTCAGGGGTTAGAGCACTGGTCTTGTAAACCAGGGGTCAGGAGTTCAAATCTCCTCTGGGGCTGTTTTTTTAATAGTCTTTTTGAGTTGTAGAACTCAAACTGTCTATCAATATAAGTTCTATCCGCCATTTTTGCGGCAACACATGTTGTAAACTACTTCATTACAGGTGAACACATTAAAAAGGGTCAGATCTCCTTTTTTGTGTATTGCAATCAGCCTGTTTCGTACTATGAAGCTGTTGCAACAAGACTGCCATGCTGAGTGGCTAATGGCATGGCAACAAATCTGGCTAATGAAGTGTAGATACCCGAGCATCATTCCCAGGCCTTCTCCACTACCAGTGTGTCACGAGGGATTGTAACGAATACAGGACAGATGCATCACTGTGAGATGGTCTAATATTTGTTGCATATACACATGACACTGAATATGGCTCTTGTTTCCAGTTGTAAGCTGCAGTTTTAGTGCTGCTACATTGCTGCTGCTCAAGGGGGCCAACCCTGTATATATGCAGAGTTAAAAACTGCCACTGATTCAGAAGTAGACGTATAAAACTGTGGGATTGAGGTTGAGTGATGTACTAGTGTGTTCCAGTCTGTTGCAGAGAAAAGGTATGTATGTAGTAGATACATACTTTTGAATATGGAGAATGATACTTTTATACAGTGCTACGTGTACATACTACTTTTCTTTGACACGGAGCTTAGCTTGTCAAATAACCAGATATGTTTCTTACTCCACAGTCAGCTATTTGCCAAAGCTTCAACCAAAATGAACACTGCACTTGGTAGTACCATGTTGATGTTCTTGTACCTGGTATCATTTGCTATGGCAGGGGACGATTGTACAAACACAGTGGACACTGTTCCTTACATTATATTCGATGGCCAGCAACTGTCGAATCATAGCTTGATTGACATATCCCGGTTGGGAAACACCAGTGAGACTGCTCTACAGTGTATCACTGACCTGAGCACGTGCTGTGAGGATACCAGCGGGCGGTGGGTCAGTCCATACGGAGATGAGATTGAAACTGGTGGAAGTTTCATAGTCAGTAAACTCTCTCAGAGAATTGAACTCATGTACAGTGGTAATGGTACACCGCCCAATGGGATATATCGCTGCGAAATTCCAGTTATCCCTGCCAATGGCACAGTAACGGAGAGTATCTACGTGGGCCTCTATTCCGGCTTTGATGGTATGCAAATCCCCTAATACACACTTTTCACTGTTTAAGTTCATCCCTCATTTGTATCCCAATAGGTCTCATGGTAACCGAAGCGTATATGATAGTAAACTCTGATCTGGATGGAGACTACCCGCAGTTCACGGTCACCTTTGTGTCAGTTGGAGGACCAGTAGCCTGTGTGGAATGGCAGAGAGAGTATTACGACATAATGAACCCCAATGCCACATCAACTCTCATAGATCCAGTCGAGGGGGTCTACGTGAACAGTCTCACAGTGACTGAGGTGGCTGGTGGATACTACACCTGTGTTTCTGAACAACAACCAGCCATGCTATCAATATGTGGAGTGTAAGTACTGCTCCACATCAACAGTACAGCTTCCAGTGCCGCTAAAGAAATCCCCATTAGCATTAGTAGCACGAACTTAGAGGAGTACAATTTGGAAGAAAATATACTTTGAAGTTTTCATGGACATGTATTAAGGAGATATCGATCTTGTGCTTCCATTGCTATTCATGTTTGGGAGTTACCGTTGATTGGAACCAACCACGCAAAAATAGGCGCTTCACGGCATGTGTGTTGATTTTGTTGCCATAGTGATGGTTTTCTATTCTCAGAGTGATTATTTTATCTCTACTGAATTTCCCAGTTGCAGAGACTCCACTGTATCTACTGGCTGTTCCTGTCGGACCGACATCGATCCATGTGACGTGGGGCACTGTCGACCCGCTGGTGATGACGACTGGCTACAGGATCTCCTACGAGGGGCCCACCAGTGGCAGTGTGGATGTCTACGATCTGCAAAAAGAGACTACGTCCTCACAGGACTCAGGAACAACGGAACCTACTACGTCTCCATCTTTGGAAAGTCAAATCTTCTACCAAGTGATCGCCAGTATGCTAAACCCGTCCATTTAGGTCAGCTTTAGAAAATACACGTAGCATATAGGAAAAGAGAGTAAGAGTATTGTGGTCTGTTAAGTGGGAGTAAGTCAATTGAGTACAACCGCATACATCTTGCTAAGTAAACCCTGTCCATTAAACAGTATTGCCAATACACAAGACAAAAAGACTTTGTAACCTCTTTTCTATAAATGCAGTGTGTCAGAGTGAGGACGTTACGGTAAGGGTGGCACTTATACATAATGTTCATATATACGTAAATAAAGACGTGTTGTAGACTCACTTCGCTTGCTAACTATGGTTCTTCACTGCACAAGCTTTGAAGTGGAATTAAGACGAAGTAACTGATATACTTGAAATTTTGCAGTTGACTGCAATAAGACAGGTTGTGCCTTGCACTCCTTTCCATGTCATTCCCACTAGACATGTTAACCACCAAGTTTGTCACTTCACTTACAACAACTGCTCCTTATCTATAACTACATTAGGAACACATGGGGACTGACAGAAACCATACTTCACAGCACTTGTTTTAAAGAAGAAACAACAGCTCGTTAGAACACATACCCAACACCCAAGGGCTGCACCATGCAATGATGTGAGCTCTCACATGTCTAGCTATAGGCACCCACAACGTTATCTGCATATCTCAATAGAAACACTTGGAGACTGATAGTTGCAAAGAAGAAACAACAGCTCATTAGAACACATACCCAACGCCCAAGGGCTGCACCATGCAGTGGTATAGGCAGTCCGTTTGCGTTCACCTTGCCGGTAGGAAATCCGCTGTAACTCAACACCCCCAATGCCTAATGCCTCTACACTGCAGTGACAGACAAACCACTTTCTAAAAAGTTTCATCCAATTTGTGAAAAGTTTGTGTTAACCGACACCCAAGGACAAAACTTATATCAAAAAACTCCTATGATGCACATCAATCATGAGCCAGTGAGCTAATGTTTCTCCACTGCAGCTCCAGGAGTGCCTGAGCACAGCTGGACTCATTTCAACCGGACAGTGTCACCTTCTCCTGGAGTCTTCCTCCTGGATCAGTTGTAGACTATTTCACGGTCAACTGGACCATACGAAACAACTCCACGACCGCACAACTGAGTGATGTCCTCCCCTCCATGTCAGACAGCTACACACTGACCAGATTAAAAGATTACAGAAACGCAATCACTGTCACAGCTTTTCAATGGAGTCGGTAGTAGCACAAGCTCAAGGATGAAGATACGGTCGAACGTAGACACAGCTTGTGGGGCATCGGGTAGTGACTCAGAGGGTGTTGATAAGGCTCTAATAGCAGGGGTCGTGGTGGGTGTGGTGGTAGTTCTGGTCATAGCTACAGCGGTTCTGGGGCTACTGGTCTATAACTGCAAGTCACAGAAGCAAAACCCGTGAGTTCTTACAGATCAACTGTGTATGTACTCACTGTACATTAGTCACAGTAGCATGTTTTGGTTGAACTAAAACCTGGGCAGTTTGCAATTGAGACGAAGGGTTGCCACAGGTTGCCTTCAACCTTATCGTGGTCTCGCTCGGGAGTAATCTAAGACAGCATGTTAGTTCATAGTGCACTGCCCAAGGTTAAATAAATAAAAGGGCGGGTTAATCGCTTGGTTGCCAAACACAAGCAACATTAATGACTATCTTTCTTCACACACACACATCAGTGGAGCAACAAATGACTCCACACCGATTTACTCTGCTCCTAGAGTTGCTCCTGGTTCTGCAGTTATTGAGACCTACCAGAACAGGTAACTCTCTACTTATTATTTTTTTAATTGTGCTGCTCATATGTATCTTCAATGCCCTACCTTTGCTCGATAAAGCATAATTGGCGAGCGGGAGCGAGCTAACCTAGTGGTACGAACGGCGCGATTTTTCTATATATATATATATCTACGACCGTCGTACGTCGTGTAAGTGCGCATGCGCGTCTTTGTACGTGCTTCTTTTTAAGCGATCAACCGGGCAAATCCCAAGTTGGGTCGCTCCCGCTTGTTGAATATTATTCTAGTATTAATGTTGTATACATAATCCTGCAGTTCATACAGTAGTACTCCTGCTATCCAGAGTGCTGACAACAGGTATATGTACGTATATACCCATTTGCAGTATATGCTTGAGAAAAAAGCAGTTTAGAGACAGCATTACATGGAGCATATCCGAACACCCCTGTGCTTAAAACATAGCCAATGATTCACTGCCTTTACATATGTATACATACACCAGCTTACCTGGCATGAGATCAAAAGTGAGACATGCTGATCAGTCAGAGGTAATCCCAGGAAGAAAACTAACATCTGCACAAGAACTTACCTGGTTATGAAGCCTACACCTCCATTATAATGTACTTGCAGGGGCAATGACGGGGCTACTGATGACTCATTTGAAGAAGACCAAGATGAATACATCAACGCCAAGTCTTGCCTACGACAGTACGAACAACAACCCCCCACCAGCGATACGTGCCGACAGACGAGGTGATCCGAGCAACACGTCTTTTCACGTGTACGATGCTATCACAGCTCAAAAATGAAACTTTTAACACTGGACATTCTGAAGATAGACTATTGCTTAATCACCATAAATTTCATTGTATTATGCATAATATTGTGACTGATGATAGTATGTACCTCCCAGACCACTTTACACCAGGCCTTCCCCGCTTATCAACCCAACGTAACATGTGCATGTGTACATGAAGAGGGAAAGGGCTAGATTCATGTAGACCTGTCATCGTCACATGAGAAGCCAGCAACTGATATGGAAGCCTTCCTACTGTATAGTATGGATGTTCAGATTACGTGTAGAATCACGGTGTTTATACATGGAGGGTACATATCACCAAGGACAACAATTATATCTTCTGAGTAAGACTTGCACCTCCACTGCTCTCTGCTCTCTAGGCAGAGTGCTCTTCATACTGAGCAAAGTACCAGGGCATGAAATTATAGCATACCAGCCATAGGCTCTCTGCTCTCTAGGCAGAGTGCTCTTCATACTGAGCAAAGTACCAGGGCATGAAATTATAGCATACCAGCCATAGGCTCTCTGCTCTCTAGGCAGAGTGCTCTTCATACTGAGCAAAGTACCAGGACATGTATGTATGGCTCACTTGGGGAAGTTCTGCAGCAGTAGAGAGTACTGAGCAGAGATGGTGATGTCGAGGGGGACAGGCTGGAGGATGATGGAGGAGGTAGAGAAGGAGAGACTGCTGGCAGGGACGCTGGCACTCAGAGCCAGAGTGCAGTAGGGCTCCGGTGGTGTTGGTGGGGAGCTGTCTCTGGTGGTGGATCCAGGAGGAGTGTGGAGGAGGAGGAGAGGGACTTCTGCGTTGAACTCTCCGTGGTGACCTGGGGCAGGTGACAGACAGACAGACTATACAGACCAAAAATGATTAAGTATAAATGTGATTGCAATGTATATACAAAGATATTTTGTTATGCTTGGCTAAATCTATAACACACACTAAATCCCTTCAGCAATATTGTGTCGATGTGTCTACGCAGGTGATAATTAGAATCGAGATGGAGCGAATTAAGGGTGAAAACACAACATCAAGGAGAAAGTCTCCTAGAAATATCTTGAAAAAAGGTATATGCTAACCAGGACTGCACTGTACTGAGAACTTGAAGCTCTCCCCAGGTCTGAGATGGCCCACCTCCCCCTCCCCCAGGCCAGGGGGTCTAAAATCATGAGGGGGGAGGGCCAGGGGGGCACCGGAGGGTAGCACCAGACGAAACGTCCCATCCTCCAGTCTCTTGACACCACACGTCATTAGAGTCCACCATATTGGGGAGTCCCCCTCGTTCTTGAGTTCTGCCGGCTGCAGAGACAAACAGTCTCAGGGTACACACAGTCATGTGTCAGTGTACATACATATCACTTTGTCTTTGGGCATAGAAAATTTAAGAGTGACGATCAATGTTTTTTTTATTGTCCATGTGTGTGATCAATTACTTCAGTACTGCTAACATTGTGCTTTGATATGATGTATAATTATGGTTGCTAAACTAGATGGGATAATGGACTCACATGTACACATGTCACGAGTTTAAACCTGCATAGCAAGGTGCAGTAGCATATGCACATGAACTTGCAGCAGGTTACGTATAATACATCAGTCATAAAAAGCTGCACTATACAATTACGTCATACACATGAACCACGCAAGCAGACTGAGTCATATAATACCGCACAAACACACGATGCAAGTGCAGACACTTCCTCTACACGTTCACCTCTGGTATTAGACTGAAATATAACACGGTTCATAAAGGAAAACCAAGGATATTTGACACTTTGAGAACAAATAAGCATTAATCACCTGGCAGACACATCTGTGCCCAAATAGGGTTGAAAAATATTTTTCACCATACCAACATACTTTGTGTTATAAGTAAAAGTAAGGCAAGATTTTACGTCAAAGGGCACATTGTACATAACATTATAGTGACCTTTATTTATACGTAATGAAGTTGCTGAAGGTTGAGTTCACTACCGTAACACCCACACATCTAACTGAATTACAGGTCAATGAAATGGGTACATATGATAGGCATGCACTTGTGGAGACAAAGTGTAGAATTCCTTGTACATACCTTAGTGTGGGTGTGGGTATATGCGTAGGTGTATATGTAAATGCAGGCTTCAAAGATTCTTGGAATGTCTGCTTAATTTTCTACCAATCAGCAGCAAATAACAAACGTGTGTTCGTCCTTTGTCATAATATGGTCATGCATAAACATCATGATAGTGGTGAATCTTGTAAGTGTAAAAATTCTGTACAGATGTTCTCCACATGCGTAGCGAGGGTTACAGTATCGTTGGTTTGTCTGTCTGTCTGTGTGTCGACGCTTATTCTGGCACTGCTGGCTACGAGGAGGCCTATTAGCGATACAGAACTACGCGAGCCTGAAAAATAAAAAGGAAATTTTGCTGAAACGACTGCATTCGAGAGATGTGCCGTGAAAACAAGCCAATATGCATAATCGGCACGTACTACATAAACGGCGCCCCGTACTTCTGCGACATCTGTCTTCATTGAAAAAAGAGGCCCTGGGGTGATATTAAAAAACTCAGCAGAGCTCTCTTCTTGCTGAATAAATATTTTTACGTACTAATACAACCCAAATACAATGGATTTTGAGAGGCAAGCAGGATAGAATAGGGTGGACCTACGTATGTACTGTACAACAGTCTGGTGTGAGTACCTTGTTGTGTAGGACAGGCTCAGTCATGGTCTCCAGGTAGGAGACTGGGAAGGAGAAGGAGAAGTGAGAGAGGGAGAGGGAGACCGGGGCCCTCACTGCCGTGGCCAGCACTCTCCGACGTGGCGTGTTCTCGTACGACCCCAGTACACCTGAAGGACAGGGTGTAAGGAAATACGTATACGTACTTGGTGTAAGTTGGGCTAAGGGAGCTCAAATATAAAGAAACTGGCCGGGGTGTCCGCTCGCTCTGTGTACCTTGGGGGCTCAGGAAGTCACAACGAATGGCATGTATTGACTCCCGCATAGTACCCACTAGGAGAAATGGTCTTCCTATACTGAGCTGTATACATGTATGTATGTATGTATGTACTGTATTCATATAGCATAGCAGCTCAGCAGGCTTTAGAGCTCAAACCTATACAACACAGTATAATACTTCGCGCATGGTGGCACAGTGTAGGAGCAGGCTATACGATAAAACTTGATTAAATCACAGATGTATAGCTAGAAATTAAGCTGGCTTAATGATCAAACCACTAGCTCACAACCAAGTACATACATACAGTATGCACAGGTGTTAAAAACAATACCAGTCTTTCCTCTGGTGTTCTGTGGCTGAGTGTGATGTGTGGGAGGATTGATGGTGATCTTGGAGGAGGTGTGCGATGAGGGTGGCCAGGGAGAGGGAGGGGGAGACGGAGGTCTCGCTCCATTCACCAGAACTGGCAGCTCAAAATCGTACGCTGCCACCTACATGCAAAGGTCCACACACAAAAGAAATTTATCTAGTGCAGAGTTTGGGGGCTGTTTACTCTGCTACAATTATAGTGCAATTTGAGATTTCACAATGCAACAACCTAATTTCTGTTGCTATGCACTATTTCCCATCCCCCACAAACACACACAAACACACACACACACACACACACACACAAAGACACATCATACAGTGTGCAATATCTTAAAATGTGAACTCCTTGGGTATTGAGGACACATGCAACAGTTATAGAGGGGGGACTGAAACTGTAACCATCCTCACAACTTTGGGAGAGAGGATGAGGTGACAGTGTGCGGAAGTCTTGGCAGGTAACTGGAGGGTGTAGATACCTGGGATGTCACCTGTACCACTGGTTACTTCAGCTGGTCAGGGAGGGAGAGAGGCAGAGGAGAGAGGGGGAGAGGGAGAGAGGGAGGGGATAAAGGGACCGAAAGAGGCAGTAAATGGGGTATGAAGGAAGAGAAAGGGTGGAAGAAAGTAACTCACATTTTGGACGTGACTACTTCTATATTGGAATTCTTAGCATTTACAGACAGAGAATGAGTAAGTCCATACCTACGTAGTGGTACTCCATAGACCTATACATACCTTATAGTATAACCACATACATAGTGTATTCATGTACTACATCCATGTGCACAAGACATTACGTATCATACGCAGTTGATAGTGGAAAAGCATGTGGGTGTGTTGTACAACTGTCACACTGTCTCCACTCCAATTACACACCCATGCGGCCCACTCACAACCAATGGTCAGCTATCCAAGCAGTGTTGTCGAAAATCAAATAAAATAATCAGGTGAGAAATGGTACACATGTACACCGGAATAATAAACAGTATAGCACTTTACAAATAATTGTCAAGTGATCATGATGTGACCCATCACAAGCTTCAGCAGTTGTGCCTAGTGTTCCATGTTACTACTACACCCATCTACAGATATAATATGTACACAGATATACCTACACTGCATATTATACCCATATGATATTTGTGCGATGTTCCATTTTGCTTTTGTCCCTTGGTACTTAGTGCAATACCTGTTGCAATAGACACAGCTCAGAATATACATTATGCTACTCTGTTGTCTTTGAAGGAAGTCTGAAAATTGCGCTAATCTGCCACCCACGCATACTCTCAGCCTAAGCAAATTCCTTCCACTTTTGCCAATCAGTGTGTTTTCACAAGCCCGCAATCCACGTATATACCTGCTAAGGCTTGGCTTTGTTACATAAGTGGTTTACTTTGAAGCATGTAACACTACACCAACTTTCAAGAGGTTGCCTGTGCACAGTGTCAGTTAGTGTCAGTTCACTAGCCCTAGCCAGTGTGTCTCTACTTCCTCTATCGCATAATCTCCAGTGTAAGTTACATTAAGTGTTATGATCTCAACAAACTGTGTGTGGTGGCGTCTCTGCTGATGATTGGGGCTCACATTATGGCACAAAATGAACCTGGATTTGTTACTGTATAGTTCCAAGGATAAGACCTTTCACAACACGAGAGCTGACCACAAAAAAGTTTTCACTGTGAGGAATTTTGTGGACGGACAGCGGGACAAGCAGTTGAGGAAATACTTCTACTCTGCTGCCGAATTACAGAAAAATGTTTCTCCCCTACAAATGTATGTGCTGTTTGCTTGTTTTATCTTGTCTTGGGAATGATGGCCACTTTAGCTTTGTTTACAGGTGATGCAAGAAAACACACGACCTTGCAACCAGGGGACATCCACTGATAGATATCACAACCCAACAGACTATATATAGTGCTAATGCACTCATCATAACCATAAGTCAAGACTACTATGATACCGTACCTCTTGGGGTACATCCTCAGTTTACAAATGATGTAAAATTGTACAAAGAAACACTGTTAGTACAACTTAGGGACTAGATTCCAGTTCCCCTACAAACCTCAAACGGGCAATAAACACACAGACACATGGCATCAGGTTCTTAAACAAACACGCCAATGTGTCACAATCTATAATATTACTGTACGTATAATACATGCGTGTCTGTTTGCTTCAAGAGTTCATCCCCCATTACCCCCTGCCCTTTGTCAGTGGCTATTACATCCCTTGCTACTATATACAGTCACTGCTGAATCAGCCACTGACTGGCTCCACCTTGCACTGCCACTACATTTCAAGGAAGTGGCAATTACATCACTGCTACTAGTGTACATATAAGTATGTACATAATATGTACATGTAGCATTCCAGTTTCAGCTCATGTTACTGTGCACTGGGGCAGGACATATAAGTGGGCTGCAGTGCAGAGTACAGACAGTTGTGCTGCAGACTGACAGAAGCAACTGTTGCATGTGATTGAGACAGAAAAGATTTTGACAGCTGACTAGCTGGACCAGTCAGAGTAAGTCATACTGCTATTGTGTGCATGTGATCCAGTGTATGTGCAGGTATAGAAAAGAGATTTGATGCAGTGTATGTATGTGCAATATTTTGAGTATAGAAGAGATTTGAGGTACAAGATGCATAGCCATGAGCTCTATTACATTAATGTGTTATGCAAGTCTATGTAATAGACCCAGAAAGCATGCTAGCGTGCTCCTGAGTAGTGATACCAACTTACGCTTGTAACTACGTAGTGCATATTATGTCAAACTGTAATGGAGCAAAAGTATACGTATGTAGTGTGGATGTACATGACTTGCAGGTATACAAGAGAGTACTACGTTAGCAGAGAATGGGACAGAAGAACTCCCTGCTCATGGTGGACCCTGCCACCTGGTCCACACGGGCAGTCCAGCTACACATTGCCTGTGGGAAGGGCATTGTTCTCAGCGAGGAAGGGAGCGTTGCTCAGAGGAAAGATGCCACCAGGCAGCCCAAAGACGGGCTGGTCCACACCGCCTGGCCCATAGCTGTGGGCAGACTGTTCCAGGTACTACAAATCACCTAATGCTGTATACTTTCAACTACTACATAGGTATCAAAGTTAACATGTCTACATCTGCACATGAAATGCTGTTTCCCATGCGCAGGTCACAATATTGGAGACAGTGGACAAGTGGTCTGGGAGCATGGTGAGCGTGTTATACAGAACAATAGGACCATTGTTAAACATACAAAGCCATAACATACGTAGGCAGGTACTGTACGTATACATGAACTGCCAAAGTATCCATTTTGCAAATTGACACAGGATCTGTGTACCTATGCAGCTACAGTAACATATAGACATGCATGCAGGCCGACATCAAAGTCCCAAGAGAATGTGTTAAAGAGTTGAAGGGCTCTCCCGTGGTAGGACTTCCTTACCTCTATCCACACACAGTGTTCATGCCCTGCTGAATTAGGTATTAGCTTACAGGTGTAAGTGTTCATGTGAAGGATTTTGATTGCTTTATTTTCCTCCTCCTCTATCCTTCACATGCCACCATCATTAACACTTAACAAGCCACTGACATACAATTTGTCCAAAGCCAAGCTCCTTCACCCAGAAAGCATGCTGCAGTTCACAAGTACTGAAACCGACATGTGTTCATTCTCTCTCTCTCCCCCTCCTCTCTCTCTATTTCTAGGGCATTGGGTTCACAACCATAAGTCCCGCAGAGTACAACGTGATCCCGAGCAGTGCGGTCTCCCGCCCTCTCGAGACCTCCCCGTGCCACTGGCTACTCTGGGGCACAACTCTGAGACACAAGAAGAAGAGGAAGAGGTTTGCGGACCTCACTCTCCTACGAGAAGGACAGACGGTCGGCTGTCTCGTGACGCAGACCGGAGAGCTCCACTTCTTTGTGGACGGGAGGCACGTGGGGAAAGGCTGGTCGGGGTTACCGGTGGACAAACCTCTATGGGGTCTCGCGGACGTGTACGGAAAGTGCAGCAAGATCAGGGCACAAGTGCTGAGCGACGGTACGTACGTGTGTGTGTGTGGCATTCGGGGGAAAGTGAAACGGTATATGTCACTGCACTAGAACCTTCAGTAAAGGAGCTTCCTCATTATCGAATAACAATGATGTAATGTTACGCACATGAGTTAAAGTACACGTATGTAAGGGTAGAGGCAATGGTGCTAAATGTCTCAGTGACTGGGTGTCATATCAGGCTATGACGCACGCACACACACGTACATACAGTACATGTATAGGAGAAGGGAATTAGAACCGCCAACATGAGGCACTTTCGATGTCAGTAAAGAGAGAAACGCTCTGTTCCTGCTGATGCAATAATAATTCTTACAATGGCACTATTTTGAGTACTTATTATGCAACACATTGTTAAAACATTCAAACCACGCCATGTGCAAGAGTACGCAGTGCTAAATTAAAAATGTATCAAAGTTTCTTTTACTTATATACATTCACAATGACGTGAATCGTGAATGCAACAATATGATTCCCAATATGGAAGCTTTGCTGTAGTATAGAGTAGGACGTGAATGATGTTTTGAAAGTATTGCCAGATGCCTGGAACTACTATATACATGAACTGATTTATCTTCTCCATTACACATGTTGTTCATACTTTTGCTTTATAACTATGTGCTATACTGCATTGTCAGTAATAACACAGTTCTTGTCCTGCAATACTATCACTAACAGAGGAGTGATAGAGAACACACATAATATTATGTGTATATATAATCGAGGACATCCGTAAAAACAATATGTTTGCACATTTACTATAAATTGCACATGAAGTACAGTTTGCGGCTTTGCATTCGTGGGTAGTGAGGCAGGGGACTAATATTATTATTATGGAGTATTGTGGGAGAGTGTTTGGGTGACGATTATTTCACCCAATTAGGGGGTGTGGAGCAAGAACTTTCTCCCGTACACAGCTAGATTGCCTTACATTATCTGATATGCCAACACACACACACATACACATACCTAAGGCTTGTTAGCATGTCAGGCTTGTTTGTATCAAATTCATATGCAGTAGTAATTACATGAAAAAAACATGTGTATAGCATACTAGCTATAAAGCAAGAAAAGAAGAGAGAAGAGATAGAACCCCAAACTGTATTTAGTGGCTAGGAAAAAGCAAAGGTACGTCTTTCCCTACGCTCCACAATCTATCAGCAACTGGCATAAACTCCCATTTCACTTGTTATTCTAATCTGTGAAATAATATGTATGATTCCTCACCTACGTAGGGCAGTTGTTGTTCTATGTACGTACGTATGTGTAGTAGTAGCTGGTTGGTTGCCTTTGGCTTGTGACCTCATAAGACTCCTCCATACTGGTTTACAGAGACAGGTGCCTTTGTCTTATGCTGATTAATTGATTCCTGCCTGCTCGCTGTCCCTGTTAACTCAGTACGAAGCACTCTGACTATAAATCAGCTAGCCAACAGTGCAGAGTGTGTGGGCTCAAATCCCACCCAAAGAAGCTGTCCTGGTGTAGTTGACTTGTTTGCTCTGCCTTTTCTTCCTCGTTACCTTGTTGTTGACACATGGGTTTGAATCCCACCCAAGGCAGCTCGAAAAAGGGGGTCAGTTGTGTTATTTGCCTTGCAGTACGTATGACGTCATCATCAACATCTCATCCATACTGGCCCACAGAGATAATGGTGGACCGTCAGCTAACAGAGACGACACACGAGCTGGTGAAGGCCAAGGACTCTCTGGAGCAGAAGGACAGTCTCATCCAGCAGCTGAAGGACCAGATAAACCAGATGGACTCTGAGATTCAGGAGCTCCAAACCACCATAGCCGGGAGACTCCGCGAGGGGAGTACTCTCACTCCACTGACTTGGACAGAGACGATCAGGGCACTTGGTACTTGTGACAAACCCTCCCTACCACCTGTGTACATTAATTTCTGTATGTACATATCATTCTGTGTATGCGCGCACATCGAAATCTCTGACTCCCACCACGTAATACTACTGCACATGTGTAAATGTACATCCATATGTAGTATGTACATGTGTCCCCAACTCATACATCATTTTGTCTTTATGTCATTTGTAAATTGTTATGTGTATACCTGGCACACAGGTTCATGACACACATTATACCACCACCACTGTCGTAAGACATTGCAACAAACATATCGTACACTTTACACCTTCACCCGGTATGTGTAATACACCATATATGTACATACATACGTACATGTTTGCACAGACTGAATCATTGTGTTGCATGCACACCAGGACTACACTGAAATCTCTACCACGGAACATGATCACACCAATCGTCTCAGGTTCCTAAATTTTCACCGCCTATTATATCTTTCATTGTCTCCTTTTTGTGTGATTTTAATCCGTCCATTTTATGAAAATACTTGGTTTATGTATGTATCGTTATCATCCAGATTTTTAAAGACATAATTGGTGAGCGAAGCAAGCCTCCCTTGTCGTCTGAATGTGGGATTATTCCATATCCTCTGTAACGGTGAACAGACTGCCAACACTGTGATTTTTACGTGTTTCTAAATACACGCGATAATAACGCGAAATATTGAACTATACACGCTTCGCTTCCAAACAATGTTTTGCTAGTAGAAATAGCACGGCTCACCATAGGGACTGGTCTGTCGTGGCAGATCTAGTGAGAAGTCGCTCAAAAATGAGAAATCAAACATTAGTTCACAACGAGTGGAACCCTGTAGTAAAGGAATAATTGCATTTGTAGGTTTGATGACCGTAGTCATGGAACATAAAACATGAGGCATAGTATGATATATGAGAGCATATAGGCATGAGTGATATGAGAGCATATAGGACAGTATACGTAGCATGAGACCAATTACCAAGTTGGAAACTGTAAATGAAAGAGAAGACTGACTTCCACAGAAGACTCCACCAAATATAAAGCTCTCCTGCAACAGATACAACTATTTTGAAAATGCTAGTGTTATATAACCCCCATTATAATTGCAGTTATATATTCACAAGCTCATACACCCAAGTATGTAAACACAAGGTAAGTTGGACAACCGGTTACACTAGCTACACTGAAACAGGTTTGCACTTGGTCTGCCTGATTTTGGTTACCACAGCTACACTTAGATTGAACATGTGCATAACAACAATTGCCTACATGAAGGTATTAGACCATGTGATGCCAAAGAAAAAAGATGCGAGCTCTGGACAGCTGTTTTGGGCTTGTTGGCCCTCATCAGCAGAGCATACCGTAACTTCTCTCTCTCTCTCTCTCTGGCATCACGAGTTTATAAAGGCTACCAGGAGCACAGCACTTGTGGTTCTGAACTAATGAGATTCATCCCCACAAGCTTGACTTCGGAGGCCAGTACACGCAATTGATCGCCCCCGCTGGATCCGGGAACTCCGGGTCTACTGCGAGATCCACCCCACATGCATGCACACCAGGAGTAGTTGTAGTTTCTAGTAAGTGTGGGTGGATGTGTGTTAATTCTGTCTGTCTGTTTATTGATTTTATACACCCATTTTAGGTTATAATTATGCATCAGTGCGACAAAAATTGGTATAACGTACTACCAACATGGAGTTGTGGGAGCGCTAAAAGGTGATTACACAGTATTGATCCTACCACTCCCATGTGTTGGGTGTGGTCTGATGGATAAGCACCCAGAGTCGTGGTTGTGAGGTCTTGTGTTGGTTTTTTTAATAATGATGTAATGTGAGTGCTGTATAAGAGGAACGTTTTTTCATCATCTCTGGTGGCCAGCCCAAGTGGCTAAGTGGTTAGAGACGTGGGGACTGTCACATAAGGTGCCCGGTTCGAATCCCGGACCCGCACTGAAACTGACAGGTGGTCCAGAGCATTGGCTGGGAACAGCTCTGGTTCCTCCCCTTACCCATGAATCTACCACTGAACTGCTTACATCTCGAAGGACAGCGTATAGTTCGGCATAGCACTGCGTCCGTAGACGTCTGTCTGGAGAGATGTTGGGTGGCTTTTTTTTCAACCTTAGAATTTTTTTATTTTGCCTAAAACAATCCATGGATAAGTAAAAAGGGCACATAACATTCAGTTATGTTTTTTTTCAATAATCCTACCATTATTGGTGTGTACATACTACGTATGGGTTCCCCATAATTATGTATGTATCGTTACTTTTTTGTGTAGCTACAACATTTAGTAACCCTCACCCATGCAAATTATACCACTCTACTTCTGCCAAAACTGTGCTACAAACAAGCCACTCTTTATGAACGAGTTTGTGCATAACAGTGGCGAGGATTGCATCAATCTCTGGAACTATGTAGCTCTGCACAAGTCACGAGAAAATAAGTTTGTTCCCACAGTTTAAAACAACATTAACTTTCCCAGTGCACCTCTGCATTATTCCCATTGTTACTGGGACGAGCATACATTCTCCTTTTCGGATTGAGCACTATACTTCATTGATGACTATCACTTTTTGCACTTTATTATATTCAGCAAACCATTGGGGTGTGTGTAGCTATCTCTTTTTTATGCTATTAATATGTAGATGGAATTGAAACTCGCGCACGAGATAGTTAACTGAGAAGGTGTTGAATCTTCGTTCTTTTGGGCAAGGATTTGGTATATCTCTTTTTTCGTCTCTTACTTGAAGCTCATCTAGCTAACACTGGTATCCATTTAGAATGAACAGACTTGCAGCTTGCCATTCTGTTACCATGTCTGCTTACTAGTATGTAGCTGCCTTTGTAGTAAGAGCTCTTTATTGGGTCGATATCCCACCCAGGGCAACTCTAGTGCATTATTGCTGTGTTCATTTTCTCTTGCCTTACGTACAACGTTCTAGCTGATTATGAATGACAAAACTCTTGGGAAAATGGAACTACTCCCAAAATGCTTAAACAACACAACACTAAACATACCTACAACAACAAATTGAAATTCAGGTATCTAATTTTTGCCCGCATAAGTTGAATCTGAGCCATGAGTTCTTGTTTGTTGATTGCTGGTTTTCTTGTGTCGGTCTCGCTAGTAACTTTTGAAGCTTCTGGAGAAGTTTGCCCGCCATGGTTCTTGTACGACAGCAACATTACCATCCACAGTGCACCTCAGCAGTACTCTCACTGTGTCTGTGGTGAGCCTTTACTTTTCCAGATCGAGTGTTATGCTGACAGTTACACCTCATCCCTATTATCCGGAAACTGTGCATTTTGGAACAACAGGACAGGGAGGACAGTGGTGGGCTATTGTCCATATGTGTTTGAGAATCACCTCCTAGCGGGCCGCATTATGAAGCTCCCACAGGATGTACTGACTCTCAACTCGTGGCTGTGTTCTCATCTGAATCGTGAGACTGGTACTACTGTGTGTGGTAGATGTACCAATGGCACAGGTCCCTCAGTCAGCTCTCTAGGTAGCCAGTGTACAGACTGCAGTCCAGTCAATATACTCTACTACATCCTACTTCACTATCTACCAGCCACTGTCATTTTTATCTTCATTCTAATAGTCCAGGTTAATATCACTTCGCCACCCATGGTGTATTACATCTTGTATTCGAATGCATGGGCAGTGTACTTGCAAACACCTGATGGGTTCTCAATTTACAGTTCAGCATTTGCTAGAGAGGACTACAAGTACACAATGAGAGCTTTTTTCTTACTTCAATCCATTTGGAGCTTTGATCCCTTGTACTTTATCTCCCCATCTTTGTGTATATCGTCACATTTGGATGATATAGATGTCCAATACTTTGAAATAGTAAAAACTTTATACCCGTTTCTGCTGCTGTTGTTGGCCTATGTTGCAATTGAACTACATGCACGTGACTTCAAACCAGTGGTCATACTTTGGAGGCCAATATATCGGAATATTACTCGATTCAGAAGATCCTGGAATCCTCATCTTTCCCTTGTGCAAGCATTCACAACCATCTTTTTTATCTCGTATCTAAAGCTTTTATCTTTAGTGTTTGTGCCTTTTATTCTTACTGATTTTATCGATGATCATGGAGAGTATGTGCAGAATTCTAGGGTCACTTACACTGACCCAACGGTCAAAATTGGAGACTCTAAGCATATCTACCTGGCTGTAGTCTCCATGGGTTTGTTAGTTTTCATCATTCTACCACCTGTAATGGTCTTAATAACATTTCCAACTCGATTGTTTCGAAAGCTTCAAGACTGCTTTTCCCCAAGAATAAACCTTGCTATAAAAATATTTGTGAGTACATATCAAGGATGGTACAAGGATGGCACAAATGGAACCAGAGACCATCGTTTTGCTTCTGGACTTATCCTTGCAGTATTTATAATGCTAATGGCTTTACAATTTGGGATAACTTCAATACCCATATTAAGTAATGGATATCCTATGATGATTTGGCAGATAAACATCATACTGTTCTTTTCGATCACTGCATTGGTAGGAGTTTTGCGACCACACAAGTCCGAAATTGCCAACAATGTTGGAGTAGGTCTGGGTGCTTTGCTAGGTATCGGCTCAACAATGTATATTTTTGCTGCAAGATATTTACCGCTCAATATGGCAGTCATATGCTCAGTTGCGGTACTGATGAGTACACCTCACTTTGTGTTCTTTGGCTACGTGGTGCACCGAATTGGATTAAAGCTCCGTTTCAAAACAATGTTAAAATGCTGCCGAGTAGTTTGGCCCAGAGAAATGGAAGAGCAGGCTTTTCTCAAACCATGACTACACTGACTACATACTGTACAACATAAGTCACATACGGTATAACATACTTTGTAAAAGGTGGAGTTAAATTTGATGTTGTATGCATAAGGTGTATTACTATTATTATTATTATACAAGTACCTTGTAAAAGGTGGAGTTTAATTTAGTAATATTGTAGCCACTAGAAGCATGGACATTTGTTATGGTGGCATTTTGCAGGTATATATTCCTGTCTTAAATTCATATCATCCTCGTATAATTATATAATCCTGTACATCTTCAGACTCCCACATTAAACTGTACATTCGTAATTGTAGCTCTTATGTGCTGATCGGTTTGCTTGCATAAACACCTTTATATAGACAATTCTGCTGCACAGTTTCAAGAGAATACACTCTCATGCAAGCATATGTTACTTATAGCTTTGAGCGCCCTGTAGATTAAACAAAGACAAGTGTCAAGCACTCTAAGGTATCATAATTATACGCACATCTGTATCAATGTAGCCCATCATTTGCTCATTCTGCCACCAACAATGATGGTTTTAAAGACTTCAAGATCACAAGAGTAAACACTGAGGCTGTGTCACAGTAGGCAAAGTAAGGGACTTTAGACGGTTATTATATCCAAGCTAGAGCACACTTTTAAAGTGAAAGCAACAGCATTCATAATGGCTATACAGTAAGGTCCTTCATAATATCATCTGCTTTTCTTACATGCTGCACTTGAGAGTCAGAAATGGAAAACTTGGGAATCATTCAAAATACAATAGCAATAGCCCACATGCCGAAGACCTTGTAGCTACAAGTTTTCATTCTCAACAAGATCATTCGTGATTAGCCACCGATTTTCGTGCATGGTTAGTTACGAGTCTAGCAGTTAGTAGTTCAAGCTGAATTTCAAACATGACTTGTGCTTGTCTGCTTTTTAGCTTGCTAGTCACAATCTTAGCGGTACATTGTGGAGCACTCTCACAAGGACTTTGCCCGCCATGGTTCTTGTACGACAGCAACATTACCATCCACAGTGCACCTCAGCAGTACTCTCACTGTGTCTGTGGTGAGCCTTTACTTTTCCAGATCGAGTGTTATGCTGACAGTTACACCTCATCTCTATTATCCGGCAACTGTGCATTTTGGAACAACAGGACAGGCAGGACAGTGGTGGGCCATTGTCCATATGTCTTAGAGAATCATATCCTAGCAGGCCACTTTATGAAGCTCCCACAGGATGTACTGACTCTCAACTCATGGCTGTGTTCTCATCTGAATCGTGAGACTGGTACTACTGTATGTGGTAGATGTACCAATGGCACAGGTCCCTCAGTCAGCTCTCTAGGTAGCCAGTGTACAGACTGCAGTCCAGTCAATATACTCTACTACATCCTACTACACTATCTACCAGCCACTGTCATTTTTCTCTTCATTCTCATAGTCCAGGTTAATATCACTTCGACTCCCGTGGTGTATTACATCTTGTATTCCAATGCATGGGTAGTGTACTTGCAAACACCTAATGGATTCTCAATTTACAGTTTAGTTTTTGCTGGAAACTACTATAAGTACATATTAAGAGCTTTTTTCTTACTTCATTCGATTTGCACCTTTGATCCCCTATACTTTATCTCTCCACCTTTGTGTATATCGTCGCGTATAAACGACATTGACGTTCAGTACTTTGAGATGCTAAAAACTGCGTACCCGTTTCTGCTGCTGTTGTTGGCCTATGTTGGAATTGAACTACATGCACGTGACTTCAAACCAGTGGTCATACTTTGGAGGCCAATATATCGGAATATTACTCGACTGAAAAGATCTTGGAATCCTCATCTCTCCCTTGTGCAAGCCTTTGCTACCATCTTTTTCCTCTCTTACCTAAAGCTCTTATCTTTAGTGTTTGTGCCCTTTATTTTCACTGATTTCATTGATGATCGTGGAGAATACGTCTCACATTCTAGAGTTACCTACATTGATCCAACAGTCCCCGTTGGGCATCCAAAACACATAACTCTGACTGTAGTCTCTGTGGTCATCCTGGTTTTCATCATTCTACCACCAATACTGCTTTTAATGACATACCCAACTCGACTGTTTCGAAAGCTGCAAGAGAACTTTTCCCCAAGAGTAAACCTTGCTCTCAAGATATTTGTGAGCACATATCAAGAATGGTACAAGGATGGCACAGATGGGACTAAAGACTATCGTTTCTACTCTTGGCTTACCTTGTAGCATTTATAATCATAATGGCGATACAATATGGAATAACTTCAATACCCGTATTTAGTTACGGATATCCAATGATGATTGGCACATTAACATTATACTATTCTTTTCACTTACCACCTTAATAGCAACACTGAAGCCACATAAGTCGGAAATTGCCAACAACGTTGGAGTATGTATTGGTGCTCTGCTAGGTATTGGCTCAACAATGTACGTCTTTGCTGTAAGATACTTACCGATGGTTACACCGGTCATGTATTTAGTTGCAGTATTCATGAGTATACCTGACTTTGTGTTCGTTGGCTACATCACGTACCGAATTGGATCAAAGCTCGGCCTTAAAACAGTGTTAAGAAAATGTTGCCTAGTAGTGCCGCCAAGAGAAATGGAGGAGCAGGCTATTCTCAACCATGACTGAATTATACATGTTTAAATGCACACTATATTATGTATTGTCATTTCTGTATACTGTAATTCTTGGTTGCAATTAACGAAATTTTGCTGACGAAATCTCAGAATCCCATGTCTTTTGGATTGGACGATATTACTGTATGTGGTGCATTGTATACTTACTCTGTCAATAGTGACTTTTGGTTCTTCTGCTGCCCCCACTAATTTCAGGGTCAGCCTCTTTCCTCCCCTAACAGCTACCACCAGCTCCGTGTCAAACAGCGCCTCGCTCTCCGGGTGTAGGTGGAGCTGGAGCTCCGAGACTCCGCCCACTGGGACACACCCACTCTCTGGATGAACCTTCAACCCAGCACAAGGCTCTGGGTTTACAACCTGTAGACAAAACAAAAACAATGAGAGAGATGATCACTGGATGATCTGGAAAATATAAACTGGTCGACTTTATACACCACCAGATCATGGAAAGTAAATACCTCCCAAAAACTTAGAAAAAACTTGTGTATGAGAATTACATAGCAATATCACACAATTTACGAAAGTGCCACAGGGTTAAAGAAAGTTAATGGGGTCACGTTACTTTTCTCACTTGACAAAAATCATCATGCAAGCAAAATCATTATGCTTGTTTCACGGAGAAACTTGCATCATGGTCGCTGATGTGTCACCTTGAAGAATGCGTGGCAGTCTCCACTGTTCTGGAGGTGGACAGTTTGTAGAGTGGTGAGACCGAGAGGTACAGAGCCATACAGAACTCTCTTCTCCTTGAACGAACACACAGGATGACACAGCTGGACAGGGAACAGCAAATGCAACACTTACAGCACATCAATGCAAGGCAGTGTGATATTACAGCAGTTTTACAAGCCATCAAAGCATTACAGTTTGAACAGCACAGTCTACATGTATATATTTATATACACAAACATTTCGGCAAACCAGACTACATACTTATGTAGGTGGGCTCGCTTTACCTACAATTATTACTATTCAACATCCACAAACTCCTACACGTAAAGAGCACATGCATCCCACCCAGGGCAGCCATTCTAGAGTTGTCCTGGGTGACTTGTTTGCCTTTGCTTTGCTTTGACCTCGTTGTTGACATACACGTAAATAAGTACAAACCTCAGCCTTGAGAGTGAGTAGGTTATCGGTTCCAACTCTGCCGGGGGTGTCACTGGATGCCACACCCCTCTCAGCCCCTGGCCCCAGGACCACCAGTCTGAAGAGAGCTGAGTCAGGGCTCTCGTAGGTCGGGAGACAGACAAATTCACAGAGGAGGGAGCTGTGAGCTGGCACCACACCTGAACAGTCATTGCAGTGAAGAATAATACATGTGTACCATGTACGTACGTACATATGTACTATACGTGTATATAGGCATTAAGTCACATTGTAAAAATAGGCTAAGCTATCCGTGCTGGTGCTAATGGAGTGTTTTTTGCATTTTTTTCAGGAAATTGGGTCAACAAAATCCCAAACTAACTTTCCCTACTACTTTGACTATAGTTGAGAGGTGGAATAGGAACACTATCTCACAGCACCCATCCCTCTCTTTCCTCTGTTTCCTCTGTCCCATCATGCACCCCTCTTCCTGTACCTCTACCACCAATACATAAGTGGGTTTCAACGATTGTTACAGGCACGTGAGTCTGACCTAACCAGTTGGGCAGTAAGAGCAACACCTAGTACTCACTTCCATCTATGTACTCCTTCACACATGCACACTGTGCCACACATGTACCGTTTGGATGGACCATGAAGAAAACCGAGGTGTCCACTCCATCCCTGGCATGCCACTGGAAGGAGGACGGGACGTTGAGCTCATTCCTCACCTCCAGAGAGCCTCGCAGACCTGTGCAAAAAGTCACAACAATCTCACTCCTTGGCAGAACTGTGCATCCGTATGTGCATGATGTAGTGGATGTAAAGGTAAACCTGGTTCACAGAGCACATCAGTGTAGCTCACAAAGTAATGCAGCACCATGCTACACATACACACGGTGGGAACTAAACTTTTAAGCATCCAAGCCATATAGCTAAAATTGTGCATAAATTCTTGCCACTCGTGGTATGATGCACAACTTCGTAACATTGCTAGCATTAAGATGTTTTTGTATACCTACATATACGTAGAGTGCGTACGCATGTACCACTCTATTACAAACATGAGTGTCATAATGAACTGAGAGTGTTACCAGCAGAGGGAGGGGCAACGGGAGGTTGTGAGAGGGTGAGGGTGTTGGTGGAGAGGGAGAGGGAGAGGAGTACTGTCTCCACACGGACTGGCAGTCGAACCACATGTCGGGTATTCACAAGACATTCCACACACCTGCAGCAGTTTGTGCATGTGAACAATGTCATACACCAATTGTTCAAGACGCTAACGAGCATGTACAAGAGGAATTTGGTGAATAAATGTGGTGTACTCTATGATGTTGCAATGAATCACCTTTCAAGGAGACCAGTTGTGTCACGATGAACGGTGAAGGGGAGATTGGTGTAAGACAGAGGAGGGAGGACGAGATGAGAGGAAGAGGAGGAGGAGGAGGATGAAGAGAAAGGGAACAGTGGACTCTTCACTCCTGACCCAGCAAGCTGTAAAGGAAACACCTATTATTAGACACTATCTTTGTGGACTTGTAATACACACGCAAGCAAACTGTATGGTCAAACCTTGAAAGTGAAACAGATGTGTTGGTTCAGCTGTTCTTTATTGGTTACAGTCTTCTCCACCACTGAACTGACTGCAATCACACCATAGTCCAGAACTCCCGTGCCCGCGCCTGTGGACATACATAAGAGCGCTTCGGTGTGTGGTCTTTGACCTACATCAAGTGTTGGTCTCAATCTGGGGAAAAAAAAAAAGGGGGGGGGGGGGGGGGGCTTCGTCACTCCTTCCCCTTCTTTCGGTTGTCTCGGGCGCAGGGGTGTGTGTGCGTGGTCGTGGGATGCATCTCAACATATAAGAAAAAAAAAAAAAAGTAAAAACGGTTCAGGTCGCAGTCTACTCATGTAGGCTTGGTTCGATCCCACTCCTGAACTCTTTTTCTTCTAATTTTTTGGTTCATTCGTACTACCCGTTTAAAAGCATGCACAGATGATGTTAATACTCAAATATTGTGATAAGAGAGAGCTGATAGGAGAAAGGCAGCATTGACTTCACTAGCGCTTGTGCCTCTCAGCAGAAGTTGAACACTGCTCATCAACCTCCCTTGAAAAGGAAAGATGCAACACAAGCAGAGTAGCATATGCATTCTTCGAGAGCAGATCATCAGAAACACAGCAATGCCTATGCTCATTATTTTTCATATGGTTCAACTTTGTGCAGCTACTTGCATTGGTTTCCATACCAGGTCTACGGAGGTGGCAGTGGTGACATCATCAGTAGTCATGATCCCAGGTTTTACCAGCACCTCTTTCCTCTCCTCTTATTCCCTCCACTGGCAGAACTATCACTGGAGACAGTGGGGGAGTTGGAGAGCTTCAGGAAGCAGCCCAGCTCCCTCTCGGTCCACAGGCTGCTGTTACCAGAGCTCTGAGTGAGACAAAGGTTCGATATCACAAACACTCTTGCATCTCACTATTAGGAATACATTAAAACAGTTCCTGTGGGTTGTTCCGTACCACACTTGTAGAACTGTAATTTCAGCACTAGGAAGATGTTTGAATCATTTGGGACACCTATTGGGCAGGTGTGGAGACATTATACCTGTACACCCCACCTATATGATGCCATCAGTACTCTTGGAAAATTTACAGCACCCGAAGACACATGGCTCCTATTTTATGCATAGTATAGAAACTCGTACAATCTGAGTACAGTACAAACCTTTCTCTCCTGTTCCACAGTCGGAGAGCCTGAGAGTGTCTGAGGTAGTGAAGGTAGTGGTCTCTGTGCCACTGGATCTCGCGTCTCTCTGCCTCACTGTAGGCATAGTCTCTGTCCACGTACGTGTAGCGGGGGGTCCGCGTATAGGGAGTGCTGCAGCATAGTGGGTGGGAGTGAGAGCTGTTGTGCACCATCATGTGGCACCATCATGTGGTCAATTAAAAGACACAGTAGGGGTCAAAAAAGTTTCAAATGAACGAAATTGGAAACATTTTTTGACTCTTACTGGAGTATTTTAATTAACGCACAGTTCAAAAAAAGGAAGCACAGTTCAAAGAACGTCCATCAATAGAATAGAACAGGGAAAGGCTCTACTGGATTGTGAACCAGTGGATATATGTACATGTAAGTCAGGATGGCCGAGCGGTCTAAGGCGCTGCGTTCAGGTCGCAGTCTACTCATGTAGGCGTGGGTTCGAATCCCACTCCTGACAGCTTCTTTTTGCTGCAGTAGCAGAGTAGTACATATTACTTACACGACTTGATATCCATCGTAAGGTCGAATGCTGGTAGCCATGTCATCAGGATGGGCGTAGTTGATGTTACTCCCACTCTCGTCCCCTCTTCCCCTCCCCCCAGGCCTGGACTCACTCCCTCTCCTCTCAGATCCACCACCAGTGTCTTCACTATTCCTCCTTCTTTACCACTCTGTAAGAAAGGGTCAGCAGAGCATACACAATTCACCAACAGCATCTCAAAAAGATATTTCAGGTTGAGAACTACAAACTACTCTTGAAAAACATACCAAAAGCACCCAATCTATAATGCAAATACACACAAAGAACAATGAAACACATTATATTTCGTTGGATAAGGGAAGAACTACTTATACTACTTACATACTTACGCATTCAGAAGACTACATACTGTAAGTGGATTACACCAATAATAAACAATGTGAGCCGGCCTAACATTCTGAACTAGTACCTGCAGACTTGTATGTGTTATAATAGGCAATGTGCATGTCATGTATGTACATACTCTGGAGTCTGAGGTCAGTATGTCGATGAGTAGTCTGGCATTGAGTGGTCCGAGTTGCTTTGGAGTGAAGGTGAGGGAGAGGGAGAGGGTGTGTGAGGGTGGGATGTGCCCGGAGGGAGGGTGACAAGTGAAGTGAGGGACACGGTGAGTGGTGAAGTAGAGAGGAAGTGTGTCTGACTTTGTTGTGGACCTATGGAAATACACACCCTGCTGTACTATGTGTAAGATATGACTACAGGCCATGTTGCGTAGTGTGGTAATGCAGAGATAGAAATGGCCTTGCGGCGCAGAAAGCCACATGTCCCACACATCTCTGTTGCTAGCATTTAACAGTGTACAGGACATCACCAAGTGTACTATGGTAGTGACAAGCAGTGTTTCTTTTCCAGCTGGGAGACTGAAAAGAGATGTACTAATGGTAAGTAGACCTTGACATGCTGGGTGGTGGGGGACATGGTGGGAGTGGCTCCAAACTGTAGTGGAGGGCTGGGCTCCAGCTGTACGTCCACTGGTAGAGCAGTTGCACACACTGCCACCTCAAGGTCACCTCCAGAGGCTGGAGTGGAGAAATCATCAACAATAATTATGGTGAGTATATGTACATCGGTTAAAAGAGTTTCAACATCAATCAGGTCTCAGCAAAGCAAAGCAAACAACACAACTACACATACACAGTATGTTCTGTAAAACACTTTTGAAGTGCCATTATAGGCCCAAAAATCACTGAACATAATGGCAGTCATTTCTTTTTACAATACGAAGTAGGCAGAATGTGGTGTACATACATGTGGACTCTCTGTTGGTGTCAACAGCAAGGAAGCGAAGGTAGAGCGTGTAGTCACGTCTGGTGGGTGTGGTCTGGAAGTGGCTCCACCCACTGTCGGAGGAAACGAACCTGGGAACCATTCAACAGCAAAGGGAGTGGGCTTACAATACTATAAAAGATAAAATGTGAGTACAGAATCGATTTTATACATGTATATGTAGCAAAAACATTACAGTATGGAACGTATGGTCTACATACAGGTACACGCATAGTGCAAGTGGGATCGTTTCACTGGCCAATGTGTAGGTGTACCTGAGAAGGAAGGACAGATATGATAGACTCGTGAGGAGGAGTGGAGCCCTGTTCCCTCCACCTCTCCTGGCCGGGACCTCCCTCAGTGAGGGCTATGGCCACACCCTCTGCCCCGCCCACCTCACTCCCTCGGGCTCTCTTGTCCAGGAGACACAGGTAGTCAGTGGACACTGGACTCTCGTTGAACAGAACAACTTGTCTGGAGTGAGCGGGAGACAACTTTTATTGTACATTCCCTCTCCTTAGAAAGTTCACCAACTGCTTCACACCCATTAGCAAAGAGTAATGCATGCGACATATTTACACTTTAACAGAAAGCTGTATGCCACAGTATCAAATTTTCGGTAACCACCCCTGAAATATTGAACTGCTCACTTTAGCTCCCCAAAAATGTGCTGCATTCTCTAGTATTAGACTGCCACAAACAGAACCTGGAGGTAGTTGTGTCATAGTAGGTGGGTGGGAAAGAGAGGGAGGGGAGGGAGGAGAGGGAGAGAGGGTCCAGGACCCTGAGAGCTCTGGACTCCAGTCTCCCACACACTGTCAGGAGGAGAGAGGGAGCTGCCTTCTCCTCTTCCTCACCCTCACCACCAGTATTAGCAGCTGCGGTGTCAACAGCAGTGGGTGGAGCTGAAGTACGGATTCTGAGGGAGAGGGTAACATTGTTGAGACTTACGTTAAGTTGAACTGTACACATCTCTATCCATTAGGATTGCTCCAAGTTGCATATGAACATTATGCACATAACTATTTACAGTAATACCCAAAACAGTTTTGTGTAGAATGGAAGAGAGAGTTGTGAATACAAACCTGAGAGCATAGGAGAATTCAATTTCTTCCTTGCACAAAATCTCCATCTGTGATAAAAAAATACACATCATCAACGTGATCTAGTAGGAACTCACAGTGCAGCAGCAATACAACACACATACAGATGCTCATACTATACAATAAAGCCAAAAAGAAAATTTTGAGCTCGTGATTGGCTGTTTTCTTTGAAGACTTCTGAAGCCCTGTATTCTTCCCTTTATAATGCTTTGTGTACTACATATGATGTATTGTCATACCTGTATTCTAGTGGACTGTAGAGGTGGTAGGTGGCCAGTGGTGGGTTGGAGGGAGATCCAGGCCGGGAGAGGAGAGGTGTCGATGAAGAAGTCTCCCTCGCGAGTCCCGAGGTTGGAGAGGGAGAAGGAGGTGGTGTGGATCTGGTTCTCTGTCACCAGACACCCCACGTCCACCACCTCCTCACTCAGGTGGAGTCTGGGACTCCGAGGAACACTGCAGGACACACGGGGCAGGGTTCGCGAGGAATGCAGACACACAGTTGGGTTATTTCGTTCATAATATCACAGTTTACTAAACAAAGGCCAATTGGCAGCGTAACTGCCACTTACAATAATAGTAGTCTACAGTGCTTTTGGAAGAAATCAAGGACAACACGTGTTTCAATCTCTCTAGGTATCTGATAACACTCTATCAATGAGCACTTTCAGACTCATAAACATCGTGTGGATTGAAGATTGCAGACAACATGCGTATATGGTCTACTCATGCAGACAGACTCATAAATAAGTCTGAGTTTGTTATGTACAACATAAAAAAATGAAAAATGCAGCATAAGGTCAGCTAACGCAGAGATGGGAATGGTGAGAGAGAGACTGGAGTTGACAAACACCTCCAGATTGCCACGATGATGGCAGGCATCATCATCTCCCTTAGGAGAGTACTGGAGGACCACGGGCAGCTTCAGACCTGGAGCCACGTACTTCTCCTCCCCACCACTCAGCAGAACAAACACCTGCACGACACCACACGGAGAACAGGTTTGTAGCTAAGAAGGGCTTTCCAATCGGAGTAGCCAAAGGCTCTTAGGAAACGCGTGCAAGTTTCTGGCGGCGAGCCAAAGTCGTAACTGATAAATGTGTAGACATGATTTCGCCTGAAGGCCGTGTTGTAGAGCCTGGGAGAAGGTGTACTCACAGGGTCGCTGTCGGCTCCGATGGCCGCCCGTACCCTCACGGAGCCTGGGCCGCGGTTCTGCAGCTGGTAGGTGTGTGTCTGTTGCTGGCAGCCGTCGTTCACCAGTTCAACTCTCTCCTCGCAGAACTCCACTTGACACGGTGACCTCTCTCTCTTCTTCATATCACCTGCCTCAGGCCGCAGTCTATGGAAACGTCGCTTAGCAAACAAACACTAAGGATTAAACCCCATGCGCACTGAGTTTGATGTGCGCGTGCTGTCTTTCTTCTCTGCAGTTCTAAGCTCCTCTGATGCGCCTGCAGCTCCTTGCGTCATGTAGTGGTGGACTGGTTGGTCTCAGAAGACTCGGAGGTCTCCCAAGAGTAGCGGGCAGCTCTTCACTCGGTATGGCTCGGGTCCTCAGTATTGAGAACGTAGACCAGGTATATACTGCTACATAAGTTTAGCAAGAGGTCAGGAAAGTATCCTTACTCAATTTATTCATTTTGTTTGCGTGAAACTAGATTAGTAGTTGGTGTAAATATATGTGAGTGTGACTTTGTTCTTGCCACAGAAAACTCTAGAAGAAGTGTTGCAAGAGACATCTGCTGCTCTGAGAGGAGGTGGAGTCGTTGCCATACCCACCGATACAATCTACGGCGTGGCCTCGTTAGTTTCAAGTAACGAGGGGATAGAGAGGATATACGAGATGAAGGGGAGACGGAGAGACAAGCCCCTGGCCATCTGTGTCAGTGATGTTGAGCAGGTTTATAGGTGAGTTATATTGCATGTTGTGTTCTGTGTTGAGTAGAATGGAACTTCCTTCAATTGAAGTAGACTCCTTAATTTTAAATTTTCAATTGAAGTATATAGTTGTCTTAATTTGAAGCAAGGAAATGCCAGTTTCAAATTGCAGTGGTTTTACGCATCACCTAAACCATTACTGTCTGGACATCATGGATAATTACGAAATTCAGACAGCTATAATTATGTGTAGGTTGCCTGATTTTGCTCACTGTCTTTGAAGCAGCTTCAACTGCTATTGTTCCTTGCACCAGGTGGGCCAAAGTGACAGTTCCGTCTAGTCTCCTGTCCCGTCTCCTCCCCGGGCCAGTCACCACAGTCTTTGAGAGAGGAGGAGACCTGAACCCTATCCTCAACCCGGGACTCCCTCTGGTGGGACTCAGGATCCCAGACTCCTCCTTTGTCCGCTGTCTGGTGGAGCAGTGTGGCTGTCCTCTGGCCCTCACCAGTGCCAACCTCACTCACTCCTCCAGCACTCTCTCTGTACAGGTCAACATTAATACTTACATTGTGACACCTCCAGCATTGCATGAGCTTTAGATGGAATGTGGCAGTATAGAGGGTTAAATTATAAATGTACTAAAAACGTGACTCATTTGCATTCCTTCGTATTGTATTTAGCCCACATATACTGCCACATTCTGAACCCATTATACCTGTGTGCATTTCTAATAATTATGATTGCTTAGCCATTAGAATCTTTTGTACATCTCTCATTTTCACCCTGATAGAGAGTTATTACCTGACTCGGTGATATACATTGTGTTTATGACAATGTGGCACTATATAGGGCTAAGAAAATGTTGCTAAAACAGTAACATAATTATTTCATTCTTGCCCTATTCTAAATTTAGGCCTTAAGCTGCCACATTTCCTTAAACACATTTCCTTAAACACTTTCCTAAGTTCACTGTTGTCTCCCCTGGTGATTGATATGACACAAGAGCTAGACCAACTTTTTGGTAATTCCGACCCCTACAAGACCTCCAGCATTGTGAAGAGCATGAGCTTTAGAGGGAATGTGGCAGTATAGAAGGGTTAAATTTAGAAATAATTATTACTAAAAACGTGACTCAATTGCATTCCTTAACTGTGCTCCTATTGTTTTGTTCCATCTTTAGTAACATATTTCTTAATTTATATTATACTGCCACATTTTGAACCCATATACCTGTGTGCATTTTGATTGCTTAGCCTTTAGAATCTTTTGTACATCTCTCATTTTCACCCTGATAGAGCTACAGTTATTACCTGACTCGGTGATATTATATCATTTTCTCAGGAGTTCCGAGAGCTGTGGTCGTTCCTGGATGTGGTGGTGGATGGAGGAGTCATCTCTCATGGAGGAAGAGGGGGAGAAGAGGAGGCCAGTAGACTGGGCTCTACTGTAGTGGACCTCAGTCACACCGGATCATTCTCCATCATCAGACCTGGAATGTGTGTCGGAACCTTTATACACACATTGTACACAGCTATATATACTAGGAGTGTTCTCTGTTTAGCAGCTACAGTGGAACCTCGTTAATACGAACTGTTTAGCAGAATTGATAAACTATCCATGTCCTTTGAATTGTTAGTTCATCGGACACTAATTATTCGTTTCTCATTTCCAGGCATTACCAGCAGACTGTGAAGTTACTCAGAGATGAATATCACTTGAAAGAAATTGTCATTTGATGATCATTTTATCTCCCCACAATCACCAACTGGTGGAAATGCCTGTAATTTTGCAAACTCAATTCATTCTCATTAGTGTTTATAGTCGCGACACAGTGTCTGCTGCAAACCCAATAATTATCGTTAGCTAAAGTGGGTGGGAAAGGAAGAATGCATCATGAATACACTTTAGACGCTGACTTCGCCGTCACTCAGTAACAGGGAGACTCTTTGTTGGTCGTGGCTAACGCCGACAGGATTACTGGTCAACTGAAAATACAAGGTAAATAGGTACTTAGCTAGCTAGCTCTAGCTGCATACCACGGAACGGTGGGTCCTCGGCGGGGTGCAATCGCGTCCATTGCAGGCGGAGCCACACCCATTTTTGCATAACTACGTACACATGCTATAAGGTGATGTCTGCTCAGGCGTTCCCCCAAATAGCAGAAGTGAACGTAGCTAAACGTCAACGGCAAATCGCCACATCGCGAGTGAAGCGAGTCTCCAATGTCGTCGGATTTGTAATGGTGGACGGGCACTACATATGTGTTGACGTGTGCGGACTCGTAATTAACCCATAGGCGCGTATGCGCAGTGAGGGTAGGCACGGCAGTGACAGCACAATGTCTGCTGCTAACATCGTTAGGAATAGTGGGTGGGAAAATTAGATGCATCATGAATGATCATCGACCACTTTCAAGTGCTAAAGGATTTGCATCAGGCTGCATGAATCATTGTCTGTGGTGGGGAGTTGTGGGGTCTGACATGGGCCATTATGACCTACGAGATTTCTAAAAGCCCGTGATTTCCATCTGATTTCCTTATTTCCTCATGATTTCAGCTAATTTCCTGATTTCCACATGATTTCAAGAGATTTCCAGATTTCCGTGAGATTTCTAGTGATTTCCAACTGATTTTTCCAGTGATTTCTACATTTCTATAATTGGACTTCTATAGATTTTTCGGTCTCTTGAGGATTCTATAGCAGTAGCTACACTCTCTAAAGAGGAGTTCCCTTTACTGGCATGAACAGTAGTCATGCGCCACAGAACACTGAGGCCCATAATACTGTCCCTGGTGCACATATTATTATGCAATTGAGTAAATTTATAGCCAGCTACAGAAACAATAAAACACTTATGTGCCTATAAAGTAAAACTGTTAGTGGTGTGGTTATTCTTGTTCTATATAAGATATACTTTTCTCAAGCCTCCATTCAATAATGTGAGGTTCAAGTTGTGGTAGGCCGGCTAGGTGGTACGTAGGAGTCCCAAGGGAATTTCTACAAGTTTCTTATTCTACTCATACTCTTTTAAAATACCCCTAATGTCCCATCCACTCATTTGCTTGGTGTTTTGTGAGGGAAAAGGGGGGGGGAAAACGTCTCTGTTGCTCTATAACTTCCTGTCCACTAACAGATAGAGCAATACCGATGGTCTCTTATCCCACTGCATATGCTAACGGCACAACATGCCTCTCCGGCTGCTATCCTGGCGTTTCCACCTGAGCAAACCTATCCCTAGGCCAAGGCCGAGCAAGCAAGGCCCTACCCTGATGGTTTCAGTTTTGTGCAAAACCCGGAGCGTGGTATTATGTGTGCGCACACTTGAATTGATACAACATTATTGTATGAATAAATTCACATGATCTTCTATTATGACTGTGATGTCATTGAGCCATCACGAGAGCAGACAATTATTGGTGGTAAATTTAAATTCCCTGTTTCCTTTTTTACCTTGCGAAAATCCTTCCCTTTTGCCACTCGAACAGGAACAGGGGTACCTGAAAAGAAGGTTTTTGTTGTAGATATACCACTGTGTCACATGTAACTATAGAGTGATATCTGCACAGGTGTTCCCCCAAATAGCACAAGTGAATGTCATCGGATTGTAATGGTGGACAGGCACTGCACAGCATCGTATTTACGTGATGCGGATTTCTTGTAATAATAATAATAGTCAGATTCACCTATCATAGTTATCAAAACCCTTTAGATTAGGTATTGCGGTCATCGTATACCAAACCGAATAAATACACGTCATCTTGAATTATTGCTGTGCTATCATTTTAGCCATCACGAGAGCAGACTGATTAAATAGCGGATGAAAGTACTCTCTTTCACGTGACGTTCGTATCTGTCTTGTTAGAAAGCAAGACAAAAAATTTGCGCCGGGTCTCCGCGTTTGTGTAAGAGGTGCGGAGAGTCCTTATGTGGACTACCGTGTCCAGTAAGTGGGGCCCCTATCGTGGACGAGTTGGCAATAAGAGTGAGCCCAAACGTGGTTCCCCGTGTCCATGACATTCACTTCAGCATTGTAAGGCGTCGTGTGCTGACTGCGAGAGAGTAAATGCACGCTCATGCGCAAGTAGAGAATACGTAGCAATATGATCATGTACATTTTGCATGAAGCAGTACGTGAAAGCATCGTTTCTGTCCATGAAGAAGTGAGGCAGAGCAATGCATGTCATATGGCTCATGGTGATCTATACATCCATCAATCAACTTATCAAATATTAGCTGTCAGCAATGTTTGCAGTTGTCCTTAATGTGAAGATAAATTTTGTTTGTACATACTTTGGGTGAGTAAGGGTTGAAGTAGAGTACGGCCATTTACCTCTGAAACTGATTGCCTCCCTGAACGGAAAATTACAAACAAATATCCCTTCATCCCTTGTTACCAGGTCCCCCTTCATCTAAAGCCGCATGGCTACGTCAGCAGATGTCCATGTACACCTTGGTGGTCAGTTTGGCTACCAGAATGTCCACGTACACACATCCAAGGTCCTGGGGACAGGCTCCTATGGGAGTGTGGTCAAGGCCACTCTGGACCACCTCCCCTGTGCCGCCAAGATCCTTCACACCGTCTTCTTCCGAGACGACGACCCAGGGGCTGCCGACTTTGCCGCTCGTTTCGACCAGGAGTGCGACATCTTGCGAGCTCTAAAGCATCCCTGCATCGTCCAGTTCCTCGGTGTGGTCCAGGACCCCAGCAGCCGCAGACCCATTCTCCTGATGGAGCTGATGGAGGAGAGCCTGACCGGGTTCCTGGAGCGAGCCATGACCTCCCTCCCCTACCACGTCCAGGTCAACATCACCCACGACATTGCTCTGGCCTTGGCCTACCTGCACGGCAACAGCATCATCCACCGCGACCTCTCCAGCAACAACATCCTCCTGAGAGGAGGAGGCAGTCAGGCCAAAGTGACCGACTTTGGCATGTCCAAGATGGTGGAGGCCAATCCTCGCATGACTCGCAGTAAGATCACCCAGTGCCCCGGCACACCTGTCTTCATGCCTCCAGAGGCCCTGCGTGCCAAGCCTCGCTACTCCGACAAGCTGGACACCTTCTCTCTGGGTGTTGTGACGGTTCAGATCATCACTCGCTGCTTCCCCACACCCACAGATGCTGAGATAGTGGTGGAGGATGAAACATCACCGACAGGAGAGAAGATCCTCCCAGTTCCTGAGCTACAGCGACGTCAGAGAGACATAGGGAAGGTTCCTCCCGACCATGGTCTCCTGCCCACTGCCCTCCACTGCCTCAAGGACAGACCTAGAGACAGACCCAGTGCTGCCCAGCTCTGCCAGAGTCTGGGGCAGCTGAAAGACGGCTGAGGCCTACACAGCCAGTGAGGCAGAGGACCAAGGGAGGAGACTGGAGCAGCAGCTACGACTGAAGGAGGAGGAGAAGGAGGCAGAGATTGCTCGTCTCCAGGAGCAGATGAGGCAGTTGGCCACTGAGAAGGATCGTCTGGCCTCAGAGAAGGATCGTCTGGCATCACAACAACAGAGGGAGATAGCGGAGTTGAGAAGTCAACTGCAGACGTCACACAAACCACCAGTTCAGCGAGGGAGGGAAGCAACGACTGTCTCTAGCCCCAAGGCAAGTGTATAGAGGGTTTAATCACAAAGTTGTATTATCACAATGCATCACAACCTAGCCATCTTTGTGTAGGTATACTATCAATGGTTCAGGATTTTCTCACAAGTACAGTATATACACGGCAAAAAAAGTTCCCACTACGCCGCCGTAGTACGGTGTAGCAAAATGTTCTACGGTGCTTCTACGGCGGATCTACGGTCGACCGTAGCTGCGGTACGCTGCGAGGGTGTGGCAAGTAAACGGTGGCAGCTAAAGGCCTAGCAAGCAACGAGCGTTGTTTCTAAAACTGAGAGTAAGCTAAGAACACTAGCGTTGTAGCGCAGTCGTGTCTAGCAAGGCTACTGCTGCTTGCTATCGCTTCTCGCTCTAGCTCTCCTTTGCGCCCGCGCTAAGCGCGCATGCGCGCGTGCGACCGCGCCCACTAAACCACGTGCCTCGCCGTCAGTCAATGTTGAATGTTTTCAGTAGTTCTGTATTTTCATGACAGAAATGTGCTGTTTCCGCAAAACCTTTGCACACACTCTGCAATACTTCTCCAACTTGTTGTTATGGAGTCTAGTGTCATTCTTATGGAGTCTAGTGTCATTGACACTTGCCAATTAATGCGATTTATGCACCTCTGGGGAATGGCTGTAGTGCACAGGAAAAAATAGTTCTAGTAACTAAATACTGTTCATTCTGTAGATCAATTGTACCACTGTTGAACTAATCTTTTACTTGCCTTGAAAAAATTGTGTGCTGGCCTTGACAGGTGTGAGAAGAATGGCATGCGCAAACCGCACAGCCATTTTCGGCGTTGCTAAGGAAATGATATCCAGGCGCAGTAGAGTTACGCGGTTACTACGCTATGCGCGTTACCGTAAATATGATCCTGTGCCTTTTGTGCTGCTTCTCTACACGTTCCATAACTGAATTCCAAAGTATATGTAAACAAACTCTATGGGAACTGAGGCGGTGGCGTTGCTAACGTGGCGCACGCGCGGTTTGATTTAATTTATGTAACCGCGCGATTTAAGCGCAACCACCATTTGCACGCGTAAAACACCCGTGAGCAATGTCGCTCAACTCCGTGTGGATTTCCTGGCCGTATATACAGCTAGCTAACGCTGCATGGGGCAACGCTGCTTGGTAGAGGACTGTATCTGGGTGTTAGTAAACTACGGCATACTGCGCCGTAGCAGGTCTACGGCTTCCACCGTAGTACGGCGTTGCTACGGCGTAGCAGCAGCGTAGCAAGACCGTAGTTCTACTACAGTGTGACCGTACTACGGTACCGTAGTGGGAACTTTTTTTTGCCGTGTACTGTATTGATGTGATTCATGCACTGTCATGATGTCTGCAGGACGAGAAAGCTCTGTATGATGCTGCTGACGGGTGGAGATGTGTCTGCAGTGAGAAGACTTCTGGCCTCTAATGTCAACATCAACTGTACACCATATCCTGTAGGTACAGTGTGACTGTGTTCCATCAGATGTCCAATCTGTTTCACCATCTCACAGAATGGCTGTACTCCACTGATGACAGCATCATTTGATGGACATGTTGAAATTGTGAGACTACTGATTGAGGCTAAGGCTCAGCTCAACATACAGGAAAAGAAGGTATTCTATCACATTGTTGCACATTGTGAGTGTATGCAGCGATGACTATTCACACTATTTTTCCGGTTGGAACTCCTATAATTGTATAATTGTATAATATAGTGTTGAATTTGTTTGAGTACGGACTCACTCACTGAGACAAGGGTACCTCTAGTGTATTAAGGCCTGGGTGCATCAAAATCATGGAAAATTTGAGATTTTTGTTTGTTTTGAGAGTGTCACATTACCTTTTACTTTCAAACTTGGTACAGTGATAAAACTCATAGGTCTTAACTCCCTTAACAAATTGTGACCACGCCCACATTATTTGTTTGTTTGTTTACATGTAATTCGCATATGCGTTTAGGCGGATTGCTTACACTTCGAATTAAGAATTCATCTTGAGCTCAGAGAAACAAGTACATACTAAAGTAAATCTTTATCCAACGGGGAAATGAAAAAAACTAATAACGCGTCGATAACGAACTAAAATATCGAAACCGCGCCCAGTTTTACGAATAAAACGGGCCCTGCATCTAAAACTGTCAAGTTGCTCACCTTCCCCGTTGGATAAACAGTCAGAGGACTTTGCGTTTGTCTTTCTTAACGTCAAAAAGTAGCTATAGACTAAGCGGAACCCTTCCGCCTAAGCGAAAACAGTTGTGAAAAACTTACTACCCGTCCGCGTTCCGCGCATGCGCATATTCGTAAAATGACGTCAGTACGTGGCGTTATTCCGTATATTTTCCGTGAAACGTTACTGCGGGGCGTGGTTACGTGATTCCGTCCAGCTTCCGGTTTGCTGCTCGCGGACAGGCCTTAACGCACCAGAGACCTGACTACATCATTTCAATAGTAACCACCCAGCTATTATTCAGGGAGAACCTAATTGTTTCCTTATCCAGGCGCCGCCTCCCTTTCAGACTCTGCTTTGTAAAGCATGCACAAACTGGATTGTTGGTACAGTGCAAATTACTCTCCTTCTGCAGGCTATGACCCTGCATAGGACTGGCGTATGAGATATTTTGGGTAGTAAACACCTCAGCTGAGTTGAAGAGAATACGGGGGATCGAAGTACTAGTGTTCTTCATCATGGTTTCTACTTCTCTCCAGTTATCTTCAGGTAGGAAGCTTGCTCGTTTGTCGGCTGAGCCAATGTTATTAACACAAATGAAATATGTGGTCAGGTTGTTGATAATGCTTTCCCCCACTGACACCCTGTAACACAGCCCCGCTCAGCTGCCACCTACAGAAACTTCTAGCAGCTCACAGACACACAAATGGAATGACCTTTGAACTGCTTGTGTGCATGTGAGCCCTAGTCTCGTGCCCAGACCCTCACATGCTAGAGGGTCTGGTACGTACATTTTCTTGGTTGTGCTGAGTCACCATGTTCGGAACACGGGTAAGCCAATCAGATTGCTAAATAATCAAGGTAGCGGTCTCTCTCGGCACACATGCGGGTGTATGCAAAAATAATTATACCACATGATTATGTACTGCATACTCTTTCAGTTCGGAGTGTATATATGGGGTGGGACAGAGGCAGGACTTCCCTCCAAAGAAGATGGGGAGAGATGGAGCTGAAGGGAGAGAAATCTCTGGTCTGCAACTGCAACGAAGGCTTGTAGGCTCCATGTCCACCTCGTCTCTCCGGTCCTCCCGCGGCGCATCAGCTCCTGGACACGGCCACCTCCGCTCCGTCCTCCAAGTCCTTGCGGCCGCGCCTGGTCTTCTGCTCCACCGCACCCGAACTAGAAACTCGAGTAGGAAGGAGAAAAGGAAGACGAAGGGGAGAGGAACAGGATTCCACTAAGACGACTGAGAGCTTGAGGTCAGGGGCATCGGATACTCCGCGGTATGGCTGAGTCCCTTCCCCGTACAGGTTGCAGCTGAACTATAGGCGCTCTGTTGTTGTGATGCTGTGTGCGAGTGGTCTTAATCCAACACAGGGTGAAGCGAGCATGGTGGAAGCAGTGGAGAAGAAATGCTGCCTTGGAAAATAATTATCTGGTGAATGTGGGGAGGCGGTCAGGGTGAGGTGAAGCTGTTTTTTCTGTTTGATGGTCACAGAATCATGAGCAAGGGCTCACATGTCTCGTTCCCAGTCCCTCATGTGCACCGAAAGAGGGTATGGTTTGTAATGTCCGATTTTCTTGGTTGTGCTTTGCAACATGGCATGATCATGATAATGCTGTGTTATATACTGGCATATGGACGCCACATCAGTCACACACGATGGATTCCTGCCCCCTCCCGCCCCTCCCCCTTCCCTCTCCATACACCTAAACTTGTTGATTTTGTTTGTTTATGAGTTTAGGTGTGGCGCACAAACATGGTTGTCACTGTTCAGAGTCCATCACCTATGTGTCCTCACCACCTCTTTACCCCTGTACCATGGAAACTTTAACACCACCACGAGAACGAGAGAGAGAGAGGAGGGTTGAGGGAGACAAACAACCTTCACCATAGCAACAATGTGTGACGGACACAAATCTTTCCATAGTAACCACCCCAGCTCATATTGCAGGGAGAACCTAATTGGTTCCTATCCAAGCCAGCCCTCCTCCCTTTCAGACTCTTTTGTAAAAGCATGCACAAACTGGTTGTTGGTACAGTGCAAAGTACTCTCCTCTGCAGGCTTATGACCCCTGCATAAGACTGCAGTATG